GTTTTTTTTGGTGTCTATTTGTTTTTCTCGCTGTTCTTTTTTGTCTACCACGCATGCGCGGGGGCTCGCGGGCGGCGGGCGCGGGCGCCCGCGCCGTGACGAAATAATACTTTACCGTCATCTGTAAAAAGTGCATACGTTTAAAGAGGTGTGCACGAGCTATTCGAATAATATACATATAGCTATTGAATCTATTTTCATCTCCTTTCCCTCTTCATTACAAGGATGTGTATTTTTTTATTTTATTTTGGTTTCTTCACGTAATTGTTTGTAGTTCAGATGGCGCGGTACAATGGTTATCGAAAAAGGGAGGTGATTTAAACGTCTGTAAGGGGCAAATTTAGTGTAGTGTATCTATTTCTACATGCAGTTCTTCAATCGTTTAGCAATGGCGAAGCTATTAGAATTAGGAAGGCAGTACTATTTCAACTGAAGCGTACTCAAGAACATGAATGGTATCGAAGTGAACGTAGGCGCTGTGCCATTTAGGTAGTTTATCAACACCAATACTGATCAATTGTAGAGTTTGCATTATTTACAGGGTTATTACCCGATATCGCAAGAGTCATCAAGAATTCTGTCACGGAACGACATAAGGAGTGCAGTACCTATGCCACTACGCCACCAAAAGGTAACGACGAGTTATCAAGTCGAAGGCTTGACGTCTCTGCACTCACTATATAGTACTGTACTGTGACAAATTCATTGACGTCGTTGCCCCCGTGAAAGGTGTATGTTCAGAACAAACCCACGCTGTCCTTGATATTCGTGTTCCTGTAGCTCGACTAGTATGGAAATAAACATGCTCGAAGATGGATCGACAATAAGAGTAGAAGCTCTTGATGTTGCAGCATCGGAATATTGAGAGCCAAACCGGAGGCGTAGGTAATCGGCCGCGACATAGTCCGCAAGGACTTTTGACTTCATAAATCCCTGAACGCGACTGAATGCGTGGTCGTACTGTTGCCAAATAACACAAAGGGGACGCTCCATGGTCGAGTAAGCGACAATGAAGCCCCTTCGAAAATCCCGTTCCGAGCTCTCGTCCAGCTGAAGATGAATATAGCCGTTGATCCCTTGGCCGTGGTTGAAGAACAATGACCTATTCTGGTCCCACAGCGCTTCTGGAGCTGTAGTTCTTATGCGAAGAGTTTCTGGAAAACGGACGCAAACAGCGCCCTCAAAGCACCTATTGATACGCGCAAATTCTAGTTTGGTGAGATGCGCTTGCATGTAGAAGGCTCCGAATAAGTTTCGACCTCGCCGCTGTATGCCCGCTTCGAACAACAGATTCGGTTGAACACGGACATATCCGTTGGCTGTTTTAGCCAAAAATACACCTAAGTAGCCCTGGATTTCCAGCTTAGACCAATCATCGCGCCATGAGCATCCCAAGTTCCATATGTAGTCCTCACTCACGCTAGGTACCGTTACTAATGCTGTCTCAATGCGGAGTCCTTTGTTCGTGAAGGTATATTCGTTTGTCAAGTTGGCGTCTCGAATTTTGTGCTTTAGAGAGCCGCAATTGGCGAATTCTGCTGAGGACTGTGCCAGTATCCCCCGATATGGTGGATCTGGACCCTCTTGTTGCCATGCAAAAAGAGTTAGGTCACAAGTTTGTTTAGCGATCTCTTGTTGTAGTCGCATAAAGGCCTTGCCCCCCTCGCCGTAAATCAGAGGCATATTGACGTCAAATATCCCCAATAGACAATACGCCCTGTCCTCTTCTCTCTGAGTTTTGCGCTTAGCAGCCCATGACATACGTCTACCCACGGGAACCGAAGAAAGACATTCAGGGTCTTCTAGGACGTCTAGATCAATCCCCGTTGTATTGGAAATTAAAGACTTCCATTCAGATTTGGTTCCTCGACAATTCCAACTGCTATCGTAGAATAATAATCTGGAGGACGCGATCAACTCTTGTAGTGTAAATCCTCGCGTTAACCATCGACATCTTGGGAACTGGTGTGGAAACTTTATAGTATCTTCGAAAGGAGACGAATTGGGGGGAAGATCAGACAGAAAGACAATGCAAACTTCGGACGCCTGGTACCATTTGAACATCGAATTGATGGATTCGGAAAGCTCAGCACTGGAAGACTTGTCGATGCAACAGGTGTCGACCCAGGCATAATGTAAACCGCGAGAGGCCGCGATCCGGCATGTTTCATGGATCTTAACGAAACCTTTCTTTTGCCGTGCTTTCTCCAGGTCGTGAAACTCCTGGAACGTAACCTCCTCATCTTCCCAAGTGTGCGATAGAATTGCATACGGGGTTTCCTCGACATCCACCAATTGATGCAGTTTCATCGTCTGGGTGTGAATAAGCCACATGATTCCGAGAGTGACGTTCTAACGATACTACAGACCTTCGTAACGATGGGATGCAAGTTACAAGTCGCTGCAGGCTACATTTCCGTCACGGTTTTATGCTCCACGCAGAGCCTCAAAGTCTCACTCAATACATATTATATGCCTACATATAGAAGCGGGGTATAATCACCTATCTCCGGCGCTGACATAATTGAACATTTAGAGGAAGATTCATCAATGATATTGGGCACGCATCTCACCCAAAACGAGAATTGCCTACTTATTGTATTTGAATTGAAATGGTTTGATATAAATTGTTAATGTTTACCTCCATTGATTTCTTACACGAAAGGTGGTGTTTCTACGCGCAAGAAGACTTCCGACATTCATCTCAAGGAGTTATAAGGAGTTATATAAGGAGTGAATAGCGGGGTAACTTAATACCTCACTCTTTATCCTCGCAGTAGTGGGACTATTGGAGACTCAGTGAATGACTTATAGATGGGACCATATGATCTCCAACGGCTAAACCGGATATCGGAGGGTAAAAGGGCAGGTAATAGACTACCGTTTCACTTGACACTTACCAATTTATATTTACATGTTGTTTGCCAGGGTTGGAATCTCACCTTCTCGTATAAAGCAAACCTTTATATACTAAGCAATGGGTTTAGAAAATTGGGCTTTAAATTATAAGAAATAAGAAATGAAGTCTTATATGGCTGCTGGTAACTTCATAATCCGGTGTATTTTATTTTTGCGTTAAACCCCTAATTACCGCTACAATCTCCAAGTAATGAAGTAGACGAATAGAAAAATACAGGATCCTTACCACCCACACCTATAGAAATCGATATTTCTACACTTCAATAAGCATTTACGTCATTGACAATGTAGAGAAAAATGACCATCGGGATATATATATGATTCAATGAACTGATTTGAAGGAAAGCGGCGTGAGTGTCCCTTTTTATGCTATCACAGATCTCATAGAATACAAGGTAATCTCCGAGATGCTGACCCTATTGCTAAGTTATCTCCTTTCACCTACACCAAACTGGTACTTTAGTGTATATACTTATGTTATTGAAATCTTGATTGTGTAGCTTGCTTGGTCGTGGTCGCCTGTTTTCCCTTCATAAGTGTGAGGGCATTTACTTGCTTGCTTCTGTTAAAAAAGGCGGGGCGCAACTAATATAGTCAAAATCGTGAAAGGCTCTTGGGGATTGATGCCCTTACTGCCACATTTCCGCTGTTTGCTATTCATCGCAGCCCTATGTTACTCCCTTCGTGTCTTTGACCCCATGGCCCTCTGGTACCAGCCACTTCGTAGTTCAAGCTGTCTAGACAGAAAAATCCGACTAATAATTACAAATCTCGTAACCCTACTCGGAGGAAATGGTTCTTGATTTTTACTCAGTGCTTCGTTGATTGGTAAGGTTTTCTTATTCTTTCCCTTTATCGCTATATACGCTCCTATAGTAAATACTCCAAGTCGTTTACTAAACTATACGTGTCAGTTAACCCCTATCTTGCCAAGTTCGACACTTGAGGCCGACAAGCTTGTGTCGCGATTGCTCTTATGTTTCCATTCTGGTCAGCAACGTTAAAAGTGCAGACATAGCTTGGGGAAATCGTAGCCTGGTTTCTAAGCATGAGTTATTAAGTCACAAGAGCCAAGCCATATATCGGCAAAGTCCGTTACAGCGGTTCGCATCCGTCACCGAAGTTCGTGGAGAGTATTTTTATATTTCTGACTAGTGATTAGTCATTTTAGACCGCTGATATGGCACCATAAGGGTATAGTGTGTAGATGGCTATTCATTTTCGGCCCCCAATGACAACCTTCACCAATCAGCATAGGCAGCATCAAAAGCCGACGCTAAAAGCTGACCAAACACTGGCAGCCGTACAACAAGCGAAATGGGAAACAAGAGGCAAACGGTCCAGAATAGAGAATATAAATTTATGATGCCCCACGGTGGGATCATCGCTAAGCTAGGAATCGAATCCTATACTAATTATAGTTGGGAACCGGGATAAAGATACCTGGTTAAGTCCGATCAGGCAATCGCATACCCGATATATATTGTATATTGCATATACTTCAAATGGAGTCTCCATTTAGAGTAAACAACCAAATGGTAAATACTAGCGTTATTATTATTATTATTTAATCAAGAAACAATCGTCAAAATGCCTATTCAAGATACACTCGAATTCAGATCGGATGACTTTCGTCGGGTTGTCGCCGGAGCCTCCACCGAATGGCTTCGCCAGCAAGAGGTGATAGCAACTCGAAAAGAAACACTAAGCAGTTTTGGAGTCGGCGCCGGTGTCGGCGGTGCCGTCGCCACGGGAGGGATCTCGGTGTTATTCGCAGCGTACAAAACTCGGAGTGCATATGTCGCCCACAAGAAACTTAAGATCATCGAGGCCGAGCTTCGAAAGCGCAGTGTCGAACTACACAAATTCAGTAAAACGAAAGACTTCCTTGGCCCAATTGCAATCGGCACTGTGAGTGTTGCTGTTGGAGCTGAGGTCACTGGCCTATTTGATAGTGTCACCGGCATCGATCAAATAGGTGTACCAGACGATGTTTTACCAAGCACAGGTCTCTTGGATAACCCCGGTGAGGCAGCTCGTGGAGCTGGAGGTGCAATAGAGCGAATTTTTGATTCTATTACCGGCGATACGAGCACAGCAGCGGCCATTGCGACAACAGACGCAGTGGCGTATCATGCCGGTATGGTTCAAGTAGAAACAATTGCTCAGGAGATGGGTCAAACGGTCGCCGAGACGCTTCTTTTTGCACCAGGGGAACCGAGTCCGGAATGCAAGCGTAGTGCTGGTCTGGATGGGTTAAGTTGCGACAAGTGTAAGGCTAAGATCACGCAAGGCCAATATTGGCGTAAGTTCATGGATATCGTGTTTCACAGCGCTGAGCTGACAGTCATGATTGTAGATTGCTGCGATTGTCGCGATGATAATTATGACATCTGCGATGGGTGCTACAGGAACAATATCAGGTGTCGAGATTCCAAGCATGCTCTGAAGAAGTTTCAAACTCCCGGTCGGACAGATTTCATTGACAGGATATCCAAAACCCCTGGCTACGGCTTATGGAAACCAAAAACGTTTAAAGCAGAGCTATTGCAAAGTTACCTCTTCTCTTGTAATTTCTGCCGAGCCGAAGTCCGACAAGGAAAGGTCTTTCGTAGGTGCTTCAGTCAAAACGTTATAGGAGAGAAGAGATATGAACAGCTAACGGTCGCAGATTGTTTTGAGTGCGGCACTTTCGATCTTTGCGACGAATGTTATCTCTTGGGCAAACGTTGTGACGGTAGACACAGTTTGGCCGCGGGACTTTGCGCGATCGATATCTCAGACTGCCCAGGGTATTATCTACGCAATCTTCCAGTCAGTAGAGACTCCAATCCATGTATTTGCGCCAATTGCAAGAAGTCAGCGAATCAAGGGACTTTTTACCGTGAGTCATTACCCGGTCCGGGGTTGTTTAACCTTATGCCTTGTACAGATTGCTCACGCCAGATGCTAACTGATGTGCTCCCATCACAGGTTGCTGCTCATGCGAAGATGGCTCTGGTTCTAGTCCTTACAGCCTTTGCCACGACTGCTACGTCAGCGGGCACCGCTGCAAGCAGCCTGGCCAGCATGTTTTATTCCTCTACCTTGTGTCCAACGGCGCTTTTCCAACCAAATATCCGAGCACCTGTAGGCGGAAGGGGTTGACGCGAACCTTTAAGAATGGAGGTGCTTGTAGCAGGTGCAAAGACTACATCACAGAAGGTTCATTCTTCCGTGAGTGCTAACTATGCTCACTTCTCGTGAATTGACTGCTGATCTGAACATTTGTGTCGTAGATTGTTGCCGATGCCCCGGTGGTGGTGGTCCAGATGATTTCGACATTTGTATGCGCTGTTATCGAGGAGGCAGGCATTGTTACGACACAGATCATCTCTTGACGCGACACTATATTAAGCGATAATTACTTTATAACAAGGACAGAGATCTGGGCTTGGAATTTGATGCTATCCACAATATTCTGATCAATTGGGGCTGCAGGAGTCCTTGACCAACCAATTCCTTTTTGGCCTTGGCGGCTGGACTCGACTCTGCTATTACATATAACTGGTCTGCTAGACCTGACCGCCTAGATCTCATTGGGTTGTCTCATGAAGCGATGTCTGTATAACCCTACTTTCCAATGTTGCCTGCATGTCTCTAAAGATCATGAACAGCCTGCATTAGCCTTTCGTACGGCCGAAGCACAAGGCGAACTGCATGTTCAGCTTGTACGCGTGTAACATACTTGGTGAACTATCCTCGCCTATGTACTCTATTTGTATCTATACTAATCTTGTAAAACTGCCCTTGGGTTCGTACGATCTTAGAATCAGCTATACTGCTGCTTCAAAAGGAAAGAGCATATTTGTCACGGAGAAGTGTATACTGAGCGGTAGAGCCTTATTGCGGAGATCGCCTATTAATAAAGAGATATCCAGAGATAACATCACAGGTTAGAACTTAGACCTCAGATCATCTGAATAGACCTCAGCTGATCGCTTCTGTAAGTATGGTACTGGTTCACTTCCACTGATTCCGCACCTTCGCAACAACATTATCCTAAATACAGAATAAAACCTGAACACCATCAATGATGTCCCGTTTCCAGGGGCTGAGTGAACAGCTAACCACCCCCCCAATACCCTTGCATACCCCTACAACTGTGAACACGCTCAGTCAAACCTGGTTAGACTAAGGGGCTTACCGTATCATGACTCTGGCTAGCTGAAATTATCTTCTTTGAGACGCATGCAGTGAAGTAGGAAGTAGAGAGGAGGAATGCTAGCACTAAGATGTAGCATGACAGCCCGGAACCGCCTGAAACATTTACTGAATTAGTGCGCAGGTGCACTGGCATGTCTTACTCACCTCACCATGCCCGTACGCAAGGGATACTATCGTGATCCATTTCCTGTACCAATCGAGCCGCAAAGCTTGGGGCTCTGATGCAGGGATTTAGCTCTATCATACTAATTACGGTGCTGGATGCGATGTTCTAAACAGTCCCTTCACGACAGGCGATCTATGTCGTAGGTTTCTCCCATATTGCATGGAATCAACTGATGATAGTTTTTTTTTGAAACATTGGGGAGACTGGTCCATGAATCTCCCACCTTGCTTCTATTTTAATCCGGGCATAGATGGACAAGAAGTATTCCTGTCGCCACTATTGCGGTTGGAGTTGCTTTTCCCCTCCTTCATTTTCACCGAGATCTTCGATAACTACCTCAGCAAAATGCCACCAAAGCCACATGGCTCAACTACCGTTTTGGGGCAAAATTATGACCAATCAAATAGACATGAGACGCTCTCAGTGACTTTTGGTAGTCACGCTGTCTCAACGCATGGACCATAGTACCATGAACCGACTGCGGTGCTCATACCGAGCTACCTATATAAACAGGCCTGCTTCTTCTTGCCTCCATATGCGGCAATCCGACGTGGGTATCTAGGTTCTACTGTAAAAGACGCGCTTAAGATGAGACCATCACTGTTCCTGCCTCATTTGTTGCCCTTGGCAGTCTGTCGAGTGTCTGCTTTGCCAACAGATACCCCAGAGGCCAGTATTAAGCAACTCAGAGGAAGCGTGGATGAAGATGTTAACCACACACTACCTAAGCCTAGATTTGCCAAAAGGCAGGCCCCAGACATCATCCCACCCTTCGACGCGAAGAAGCAATATGTGAGCACAAAAGGAAAGCATGCGTTCGTGCCTCCTAGTGGTTCTGACAGACGAGGCCCTTGTAAATAACTCTTAAAAACTCCGTGAATAACCCCCCGAACTGACATTATCGAGGCCCGGGCTTAAATAGCATGGCAAATCACGGATACATCCCTCGCAATGGCATCGCAACCATCCAAGAGATCGTATCAGGCTCGATGGACGTTTTTGGCATGGGAGTTGACGTAGCAACATTTCTTGCCACTTATGGAGCCATATTTGATGGCGACCTCACGTCGTTCTCTATCGGAGGGCCTCCCCCATCTTTGCTTGATCTTGGTAACCTCCTTGGTGAGCCGCAAGGTCTTTCTGGCTCGCATAACAAATTCGAAGGAGATGCATCGCCCATCTACGGCGACTTATATCAGTAGTAAGTCGCATGCACATGGGCTTTGGTACCCTACTTCCTTATCGCTTCGCAGAATCATGGCTGACATGGTTCAGTGGCAACAATCTCCCTCAGGTATCTCAGTTCACCGCACTCTACGAGCTAGGCCAAGCAAATGGAGACTCTGTAGACCTAGGCGTATTGGAAAAGTATCGTGTGCAGAGATTCGAACAATCAGTGGAAAATAACCCTTACTTCTTCTATGCGCCGTTCTCAGGTATCGTTACTAATACGGGAGCATACATCTTCATATACCGACTCATGGCCAACAAATCAGCTGAACATCCGGAAGGTTTGCTGGACGGCGAGACGCTAAAGTCCTTCTTCGCTGTCACTGGGGATTACCCACATTTCACTATTAAGTCTGGACACGAGCGAATCCCGGATAATTGGTATAAGCGCCACCCTGTCGATTCTCACACGCTTCCATATCTGGCCGTAGATGGGCTGGCCGTGTTGCTCCGACATCCCCAGTTCTTGTCTGTGGGCGGTAATACGGGGACTACGAACTCGTTTGTAGGCATAGACCCAGCAAACCTAACGAATGGTGTGTATAATTCCGCAAACTTACTCGAGGGTAATAATGCGTTTTGTTTTGGTATGCAGCTCGTTCCGCAGGTGGCACCCGACCTGCTGTCCGGTTTATACAATGATATCACGAACGCATTGAGCATTTTGACGTCCGCGGTTGACAATGCTACTTCGGGTTTGAATTGCCCACGACTGAGCGGCATCAACAAACAGAAGCTCAACAAGTTCCCCGGTTATACAAAATTAAAACCTAATGGGATGTACTAAAAATTCAAGCGTGGTAGAGACAGGTGGAGGGACCACGATAATGGATTATCCCACTAACTGTGGAAACTGTCAGTTGGACTGCTTACCTAATTGCCTAATTACTTAGGTAATTGTTCTTTGGGAGCTATGCGCTACCTATATCTCGCTCATTAGCTGGCTAGCTATAGGCAATATGGCCAACATCGGTGCGAGTGTGTCTGCTGATTAAAACCCGGGTCCGGCGCCATACGGGTAGGTCCTAGCCATTAGCTGCCCATGTTGGATTAAGACTAATAATAACGTTTTATCTAAGTAATAAAATCTTTTAATATAATAATAAATCCAATAATTAAAAGTCTACTTGTATTAAATATTATTGGATTTCAGCTTATTAAGCTTTTTAAATATATATATTAACTATCGTTTATATTTAATAATTAAAAGTTTTATGCATATCCTTTGGGTGGTTGGTGATCACATTTGAGCTCTGACCACAAGGCGAATCCGATTCATCATTGCTTCGAGTTTCGACAGGGAAACGGTTGTCTTGCTCTTCATAGCTCGTCCTATTACTTCTTCTTGGTGTTCCAGAGAGCTCTTGGCAGTCGACTAAGGGATGGTCGCCTTAATCCTCCTTACTGTTCCCCGCTTCAGTCAAAATAGGCGTAGGTAATAACGCTTTCTCTTTTGTGCTACAGAACACGGGATGCTCCGGGTCAGAAATGTCTACAGGAGGTAGTTGAACTCCTGCGTCAGTCGTGGGGACTTCTTTTGCGTACCTATACTACGAATCATCTCCTATCGGCTCGTGCGTAAGGCGATGTAATTGAAGATGCTCGTTTGTCACCCATTCGAGATGAGCGTATTGGCGGTACTTTAGACGCCTGTGGAGACATTCAAATATTAGCTCAAGAGAATAGGACATAACAGTGATGAGGATACCAGTTATATATGTGAAATATAGACCGAAAACGTTGAAAGACGTGTATGCCGTGGTTCGTATCTTCTGTGACATGTATTAGCTAATTATATCGTCTAATTCCATTGATGTCTAGGTTTTTACCTGACGCTTTAGCACATCTTCTCCTCTTCCTTGTTTAGCGGCCCGAAGCGAAGATGATCTAGTTGAGGGTTTGTATCGCTGTAAATTGTTTGGACAAAAGATGCCTCAAACAATGAAAGCAACATTTCGAACCAATAAGTAACATCTTCTTTCCATTGTTCTAGGTGTATTTTGATTTATGGGAGCGCCGCCTTCAAGATCAAGTTAGGGATCCCATCTGGGCCCGGTGCCTTAAGAGCTGGCGTTGCTTGGATTGCGTTCTCTATTTCCTCGGGTATTATTGCTAGTATAGGTATTTGGTCTGTATATGTAGCATTTTCGATATCTTCTAGGTTAGCATTTAGTAGGGTTGGAAAGAATGTCTCTTTGAATAACTGTACTTTTTCTTCTGGTTTAACTGTTTTTTGTTTAATAAAGGGGTGTTTTAGTTTAGGAATGACATTTGGTGCTTGGTTTTCTTTATTTCTTGCCTACTTGGCAACTTTTTAAAGGGATTCTGGCGACTTTGCTGCTTTTTCCACCTTTTCCTTATACGATTGTTGTAGCGCTTTCCTATTTGTTCTCGTTTTAACGTTTCTTACCACTTAGTAGGTTTCCCATAATTCGTTAGTATTGTCTAAATTATGTAGACGTTAGAGTCTTTTTGCCTTGCTAAGCACTTTCTTGCATTCCTTGCTTCATCCTTCCCTAGACTTGTTGTAAAAACGTTTCTTAAGGGCTGCCTTATCGGCGGCTTCCCAAATAGCTATGCTCACATTGCATACATAATCTTCAAAGGCTGCTCTAGTTCTCAGCCTTCTTAGCTTTGGGAGCTTCTACGCTAGGGTTTCTTAGAATTTCTCGCTGTTAAGTTCCCTTTAATTCCTTGCCGGTTCCTTCCGCAATTGGGTAGCCCTTAGGTTAAATATAGTAGCGATGGAAAGATAATCTAAGTCATAATCTAAGTCTCGATCTACTTCGCTCTGTACTATTCTGTCTGCCAACCCGATTATAACCAGGCATAGATCGATTGTCGGGTGTGCTCCCGCCTCCTCGTACGTGACGGTTCCTAGTAAGAGTGTGTTTGTAAGACCATAGTCCTCCATAATTTCGATTAGATTATCTGCTTCTTAATCTGCTTCTCTGATGTCCGTGCCTCCCCAGAGTTTGTGATGTAGGTTAAAGTCTCCAAGGACGATTTGTTCTTCGTGGCTATACTCTTCAAATATCTAGCGCAGTAAGGAAAGGACGCTTTATCTATCTGGCGCTGCCTAGCCTAGGTTATATATAGTTGTGCTAGCACTGATCATTATAAGTTGTTACAGAGCTTGAGGGCTCTACAGAAGTTGAAAAATCGCTACAAGAACACAGATGCTCGAGTTCAGGAGCCCAAATCCTAATGCGAATACTTTCTTTCAGATGTCAATAACACCCCTTTTGCGATATGACTGCTGTTGCATACATCAAATGTGCAATGGACAGGAATTTATATCGTCTGACTGTCCCCGCCATCTGATTTAATATGCACACAGTCAGTAGATATTCCATTAGCAGGAAAAGCGTGCCCCCTGGTGTCCCAGCACTGTCTGGTCACTTCTGCCCTCCCTTTGTGCAATCTACCTTGTGAAAGTATAACCTCCTAAAACACGATCATGCTATCTCCCAAACAAAATAGACGTTTTATAATTAATCTACTCTACTGGGACACTAATTTCTAGAACTGATTTATAATGCTAGTTATTAGGCATCTTCATGTGCAGGTATATCATGGACACTAAAGAAGGTTTCAATCTGTGTTCTTAGTTAGTATTAAGGTCTCTTCGGACCTCAAATAAAACCCAAAACCTGCTATCTCCTTCCTAACCTTTCCTTTTTTTCTTAAATAACAGCCCAAGTATCGTTCTCGTTCAGACAGGTCTTCACTCAACCAATCTCCTTACGTCCATCTTTTAGATCTCACCCCCTGGCATTCACCATGCGTGCCAGTACCCTATTCGCTTCCGTTGCCTCCCTTCTCCTCGTCGATGCCGCCCCGCTTAACATTGGCGACAACGAACACAGACACATGGTCCTGGCCCTATATCAAGACAACGACTGCCAAATACCCATTCCTGGAGATGGCATTACCCAAGTGAACAGTGGGACCTGCGATACCAACGTCAGAACTGGGTGGTCATCGGCTAAAATCATCGAAAATAATATTGTCAGGCCACCCGCCGGTTGGCCTTACGGTCCGGAATTTTATGAACGCAACAACTGCGCAGTAGCTCAGAAGAGACATGGCTTCAGCGGTTTACCGGGCCCTTGCCTGAAGATCGGATTCATTGCCAATGCTGTCGGGTACTTTTAGTAGATGAACCTTCCGCCGCAAGATCGCGCTTACCTTTAAGTGGTTCACGGGTCGAACTTCATGGGTACAAGGGGAAGTCTAGGTCAAGATACTGATCAACTGTCAGACGTAGGTGGAGTCGGGGGGGGGGGGGGGGGTAAACTAGGGTCCGAAGATCGCATATATATTCAGCACACCGCTCAGTCGCTCGTAAGATGGAACCTAGCTAGCTAGAGCACTCAATACTACCTCGATACGATCCTCCGTGCTCACTACAGGGACCGTGAGGCCCACCTACGTCCGAGATCAACAGACAGTCCTGCTAACTTATCCGTCGATGTGATGGTCTAACTAGCTCTTCCTGCTGCAAGCCCATCCAAAACCTATTAGTCGCTAGCACTTGACGATGTTATACTACATCTCTTACTCCTAGATGGTCGGCCCAACAGGGGCCATTTCGTTAGACCTTGTGAAAGTTCAGTAGTGATTCTAGGTTATTAAGGAAGGCAGGGGGTCTATGATAGACTCCAATATTTCTTCTAGATATTCACATAAGTACAACTGAGTATTAACGATGCTGAAGTCCCTATGTTTCTCAAGGTGAAGAGTAGTGTGACTATATATAAGTCCCCTCCGAAATGAGCGAGCCGGTATTAACAGCCAGCATTTTATCTATTTTCCGCATACCGAAGTAGCACGTTAAAGGTCTTCTTGATAGGTATGTAAGCAAAAGCAGGTGCGTCGGAGTTTCGCCATCGAAGACGGGGGACATAACCTGGGCTACTACCGCCCCCTTCTTGGCAGAAAGACAAACGCGGTAGTCTCTTTCGAAAGCAAATAGACCTTTATGAGTGCATTGTACTGCTTTTGGTTAACCAGTTGAACCGGACATAAATCAGATATAAGCAAGATCGTCTGGGCGAGTGATGTGTCTTCGGTAAGACACTATAAGAGCGCCTTACTTTGGTATTGTCCTGTTCTTTTCTACGATTTTGTCAACGGCTAGTGTAAGGCAACTATCAGGCACTGTGTCGTTTGTGATCGATGCGCCATAGGGGAAGATGATTCGTACAGATGCGGGCGCCGACGGGTCCAATGGTGCGTAAGCTCCAACTTTGAGCACCCCGAATATGGCAATAACCTAGTTTACTGATCGATCTGCGTATACGCACACCGTTTCATTAAGTTGAACCCAGCTAAGTTCTTGTGCGATAGCGGATGCTGCTTCGTCGAAGTCATCATAAGAGATGTCTTGCCCACGGCCACAAGTAACAGCTATTGTATCGGGCTGCCTTGCCACGACGTTTTCGAATAACGTCACAAGGTCATCATTCTTTGGCTCGTCCAGAGTTTCAAAAGACTCACAATTACTCCGCCAATCGTCTGCTCCATCTCCTGTGGCATGAGCCGCTGTCGGATGCTAGGCGCCAATGGTATCTCTTCGCCATCTGGGACCAAACAGTCCATTGCATTCCGAAAGACAGAGAAAACGTTGTTGATATCTTCTTCAGAATAGTCAGCCGTAGAGTAGAGCCCTCGGAGACAGCTCTGCCCCTGGATAATAAGATTTAGGGGTATTCCGGATTGCATATCAAAGCAGTCGGGGCTGATTGGCGGAGATTGTTCCAGCCTTTGGTGTTCGTTAAACTGTGTCGCCATGATGGAATTGAACTTTCTGTTGAGTCCATCCACCTTAGACCCTTCCTAGCTAATATAACTAGTGGGCAGTGCATACGTACTCTTCGAGGCTCAACGAAACTTGTTCATTCAAGATTGAAATTTTCCCATAATACCATACAGCCGAACAACCTGCTCCCGCGAAGATTCGTCGAAGATTCGATGAGCTAGAGAAGTGAGACGCCTATCCCCCTTACCTGGTCATTCTTACTAACACTTATCAAAGCGACGTACGGTACTTTAAGTGTCATCATCCAAAAAGGTGTCCTGAAGAACAGCAACCATAGCGGATCTGGGCAATCACCTCATCTACCTTTCAACGCCGATACGATGGAAATTGATCAGCAAGAGACTGGGAGTTTCTTCGAATCACTATACCTCCATGTGATATACATCGCCGCCGCAATCATGGCGGCTGCCGGTGAAATTTTCCTTCCGATAATATTAATCCATTGGTCTTTACCCGAATGCATCGCGTGGACACTGTCCATTGTATGGTGGGCCTATATGATGCATGGATATATCTCTAGCCACCTGCAAGAGCCCATGCCCCACCAGGAAACCGTTGCTTGCAAAAGAAGGGGCACTTAACCTCATGGAACGCACCGCTAGTGATTGTTATGCGGGGGGGACGACGACTTCGAAGGAGGTACTCTAGTGTATAGGCTACGAAGCCATGCGCATGGTGGAGTTTTGCTGTGGGAATGTGTAAGAAAAGAAATTGAAAGTATCAACAGGAAGCTAAGGACCCTTACTTCCGACTTTCTAAACATCGCGCATAATAAAGCTTTCCTTGTTTAATACTTCAAATACGATCCATGGTACCAAACAAGTGAGCATGAAATATGCCTACGCTATTTGGTGTAAGGTGCTCTGGCCCCTGAACCCCTTTTTGACCTCGATGCGCCAGTAACTCACGACGACAGTGATCTTAATTTGATATCTATCCTCTACCAGCTGCTTCCAATGGAGTTAAGTCTAAATCCATTCAACATCTACTAGTTCTATGTTCTAAGAACTGCTTTTTTAAAAGTGACAGGCATCTGCGTGATCCCCGGGAATTTTGAGACAGAAAAGGCAAGAAAATATTAACAGTGCAATTTCATCATGAAGAATAATTTCTATTTATACTCTTCTAGTCCCAGTGGTTTCAATGATACACCACCTATTGCATAATCCAATGCCAATAATGATGTGTCTATTCTATACGATTAATATGTTATACTTTCACTATAGTAATACCAGTCACGCTGCTTGGCTCAAGAGCAGGCCAGGTTGTACTTTGGGCTTTCATCGGTAGAAGGTGTGATAGCAAAACTGAGATCTGCCGTCGTTTTTGCTCCGTCCACGAGTGTGTACCAGAAAGTACTGCGTTTTCCAAAGAGTGAACAGCCAATCGTGTTCCAATACGTCTTTGCATTATCCAGCGAGGGTACTGCATCACGTCGCACCGGTCCAGCTACATAGCCATGAGTCAGTCTCATTGGTGATGCTACGAGTTCCATTATTTACAGGTAGTATGACGCAGGAAAGAGACTGGGAGTTTAGAGTACGACTCACTATCGGGCCAACCTGTCTCGGTAATCCAAACATCTTTACCCTGAGCTGCACCCTCAGTGGCCGATACCGCCGACCAGAAATTGTCTGCTGCTTTCTCGATCGCGTTGGGTCTCGCATCCTCGAAGTATGGAAACGAGTTGTGACATAGGAAGTCTACCGCCTTGACAACTTTGCTGGCCTCAGGTAGTACCCACGCCGTCCTATCACGATCGCCTGTTAGCTAAGACAAGTCTTGAAGTGGTTCGATACTACTAAGAGTCGGTCATCTCCGAGCAAGAAGTCTGTTCATGAAAGACACCAGACAACGGGGGGACGAACCAGGTATCAACATGAGTAACAGGTATGTGCTCTAGATCAGTGCCTTTGAGCCAGTCTCGTAGCCAACCAATGTATCCCTCAATTTCATCAGCTGTACAGCCTGGGCCTTCTCCATTGATGACACCCTGCGGAGAGCTTCGGTACAAATCTTCGGATCCCACACTGATGCCGACCACGCGTTTCGTAAAGTCATCTTTGAGCGCTCTAGAAGCGCCAATGAGAGCGTTCAGCTCATTTTCAAATACGTGGCGACCTGCACTGGCCCAGAGCCCGACGAGAATTGTCGTGTTGGTGTCAATGGCTGCTTTGTAAGCTTCGATATAGTCTGCCGAAGTCCCGCACTGGATTGAGGTATAGAGTCGAGCGGCCGTGAAGCCTGATGCCCCATGAAGATTCCTCGCTCGTTCGAAAAGATACTTGAAGTCGTCATATCTTCGACATGAACCGTCCGTATTCATTGAGCCGTAGCTAAAGCCTTGGACAATCCCAGCGATGGATGGCGTAGCTAGTGCTGCTAAAGCAATGGAAAGCGATTTGATTTGCATTTTTTACTTGATTATGTATTCTTTTGAGAAGAATGCTGTTTGGTGTCAATTCCTTAGTTCCACATAATTGTAAAGAAGACTCGCATGCGGTAGAATACGCAGAGGAGAATGAGAGAAGAAGACGAGTCGCAAATGTGCCAAAGGTCAAGACGAGCAGGCGTGCTTGCACATATAAGACAGGTCTCTGGATCATACTTGCCCAGCCCCAACTCTCCGATGTAATCAGGCAATCGAAAGGAAAGAACACAGGAAATAAGATACTGTCGTAAACTTCCCCTCAGAACATATCCGGACGTTCCTGTTCGAAGTGTGCAGCATGGCTAGTGTTGAAGCCGCCCCCTCTCCAATCTACCAAGACATGGATCTGTAGTTAGTTACCATTTCCGGTACAAATTTCTCGTATCTGACCAATGAGCTTTCTCAAGTTATCCTGAAGCGTGGCGTTTCGTAGATTCTCTTGGCAGGAACGTGGCCATGGCGACATCATGGATGTTCCTTTTCCTCTCGATGGGAGTACCGAGAAAGGGAATTCGATGGTGTACGGTCGAGGGGAAGTCATTATTCGATTGGTATATCTAATGTTTCAATGTGCTACCGGGCGCCTGTCAAGTGTTACCAAATCCTATTGACATTAACCTCGGCTCTTTGCACATATTGTAAATCCAGTGTGATGATACAATGAATAATAGTACGACTGGAACTGTGTTGATAGAATCAATGTTAATGTCTGCTATGATACCCTCAAGAACACCCTCCCAAAATGTACACGTCGATGCCAGTTTCACGTGTGAGAAATTTTCGAATACATTGGCAAAGCATCCCGAACAACTAAACAAGTCCAGCTTGCTTCGCTATAATAACACAAATAGCAAAATAGTAATACAGGAACCAAGTGATGATCTTAAGCATTCCAATCCGAGATATTTCTATCGCGGGCCAAAGCTACCCCGCCGACTCTCAAGCGGACTAACAGCCATAGGTGTGCCTCTGCCACTTGCATCGCTAGGACTAAGGGGCGACACCATATCATCATCAGGCTCAGGATGATACCCGGGACCAGAGATTCCACGATTAGAATAAGAAGAAACACCGTCGTTCGGCAACTTTTTAGCATTCTTGCCGGAGTTGAGAGACGTCGGCCCTGGTGTGGTCTTCGTGGGGAAGGGCGCGCGCTCACTAACAGTATCCAGTGTCCTCGTAACCTCCTGCTCGAACGTCGTGTCAATCGTCGGCGGCGGAATGTAGCTCGTCCGTGGGCTCTGCAACGCCAACCCAATGGCGCCGGTCAAGCTATCTTTACCCTCTGGCTTCTTCAACAGCGGTGGCGATAAAGTCGTCGCTGATGTAGGTGGAGTCGGCATCCGCAAGATTGGCACCCCTCGCCTCGTATACCGGCTGGAATGCGATCGTGAGGGACGCTCATTCTGATTGGATCTCCTTTCGAAGCCTATCACGGGGTGTGAAGAGAGCGGATTCCTCGGACTTATAGGGGGCGCTTCAGCGCCGAGCGGCCAATTCTGTCCGTAACTTTGCGGGCGAGCTGCAATTGGTGCTGAAGCCTGTTTACCTCCTGCTGAAACAGTTATAGGCAAAGCAGCTTGTTGTTCATGAATAGTTGACAGCGGACGTGTGTGTGGCGGCGAAGCTTTATCGATGATGGCTGTATTTCCTGTAGACGGAGGACTTATATCTGTGGGTTTTATAACTTTGTGTATGCGTTCTTGCTGTCGTCGCCGCCTCCTCCGTATAAAGAGAAATAATCCTAGAATCAGCAATGCAACGAATGCGACTGGGCCAAGTACTATCCCTGCAATTTCGCCCCTAGGGATAGAATTCGATGCCGACGGTGACGGTGACGATGAATCGGTGCTGTCTACGGGTTCTATGGCTATAGTGCTAGAGGTACCCTCTGTACATGAACTCTGAGAAGTCGTGCTCAGTTCGGGAGGGTAGGGGTACAATTCGCCAAAGCCGGGCGTTTCAGCGCATCCGACATGTGTGAAGGTTGCGCCAGGCAGCTCATCTGTTGAGAATTCGTACGTAGCGCAATATGCTTTTGACTCTGGACTACCGAGACTCTGTCAGCCATTGACTTATCCTCTCTCTCACTTTGAGTACTAATCAGTCCACCTACCAACATAGCGTGTGAGGCCCGCACCACATTGCGCTCGGCATCTCCTCATAGTCGAGGCAGCCAGTGTATATAGACGCGTTGCAGTCCGCGCCGGCCGCGCAGCAGCCTCGGTAGTTGTCTACATTTACGCAGTCATACCCGACATCGCAGGTAACTGATATAGGTCGTGGTCAGTGCGTGTACTCTTTCCCAGTCTGGGCCTCAGACTTACTTGCACCGCCGACCGTGAACCCGCACGTATTCGGCGCTACTACGAATGGTGATGTCTCGGCGTCTTTTGCTGCCGCTGTTATTACTGGTCGCTCTGATCTAGCATTGCTCGCTTGGTATATATCGGCGGTCTGAGTGGGTATAGAAATGAAAGGCATAGTTCTGCGATGTGGTCCCCTTTCTCGATCGTCATCACGCATCACAGGTGTATATACGGTAAATTCGAAGAATTCTAGAAGGAAAATGTGAGTAATTTGTCGCAGATCGAGCACGAGGCAAGCACGAATCTGGTCTTTGGTTTCGGGGACTCATTGTTCTAGTCGTCAGGATCCTATGATCAGTTCCCCCTTTGTTAACGAGATTATGAGTCTACGTCATGTGACAAAGCGCTCTCCACTGGGATACAAAGCATATCTACTTATGACATGATGAAATCACAGTTTTACTCAAAGACTCGATGTTTTATTCGCTTTATCTTGCTGTAAAATAGTTTGCCGCTCGCTTGACCCCTCCACATACGACATTGACGCACATGAAAATCTTAAATGGTATTAAACACATCCAAGCTAGACAGTTCTTTCCCAGGGTACTATAGTATGTGTTAGTAATGGGAAGTTGCAAGAAATTGAAATAGATTGAACTGACAGCGAACATTGTGTTCGATGAGCATGATGATCCCAAGCCTGCGTTATCGACCCAAGCGGGCTCCCAGTAGAATATTCCGTTTCCTTTGCTTACACCAGCAACTATCGCGGCGACCTGTTGCATGAATGTAGTCTGGCCAGCGGCTGAGAACGGGATGCTCTTAAGGTCGCTCGGGAAAGCGTATCCGGGAGATGGGCACGACGTTGGCCAGTTTGTCTCGGCAACAACAAGCTCTTTACCCCATTTGTTTGCCATGTTGTTCAAAGTGGTCTTGAGATTGGCTAGGGTAGCGCTGCTGCCACTGTTGACATGTCAATTCTATAATTTACGGAACTAAAAGATCTGTCGGACAGGTCCTTGGTGAACCCAGTGAATGAATGAGCAGATCTTACTAGAACTGAAGTATTGTTAGTATGCCGTGATGGCCGAGGTTGCCTGACGGTTGAGAACTTACAGGATAAAACGATACTCCCATCATGTCAAAGTCTGACGTAGAGAGAGGTCCTTGCTTCAATACTGATGAGTAGAACCATTCCTGGGTACTCCAATCCCAGCCATTGTCAAGATGAATCACTGCAACCAATAGGGTTAGCTATGTTCCTTTATTTCCTTATTCATGTCTTCCGAGGCATAGAAAAGGCCATTGCAAAGGTGTTTCTCTGGCTGCCCACTCAAAGCAGACAAATTCAACGAAGGACTGACTTATCTTGGGCTTCGGAGATAGATTACTATCCTTGATGCCGTAGGCTGCCGAGTGCAACAACCGTGCGATGTTGTATAGTTGATCGTATTTTCCGGTAGGCCAGAGTAACCCCCCACGAATCTCATTTCCGATGGACATGATTGTCGGGGCAATCCCAGCTGCGGCAAACTGATTCGACACGTCTAACGTGTAATTGTACAACTTCCAAGACAGGTTTTCTGCATCCGTAGGCCAGCCGCGAGGGATTGTCTTTCGAGAAATTAGACTTGCTCATTCAGATAGGATTGAGAGTTGGGAGTACGTAGGCATGCAAATTGAACACAATGCATTGGATGGACTCTGTCAAGAGAAATAATGTCATAATCCTTTAGAGGAGCTTTACCTGATGAGCTGGATCAGCCCAAGTGTCACTGTAGTGAAAATCCACGTAAACGTTCAACCCTGCCGCCTTTGCCCTTTTGGCGATCTGCAAATTGTACGCAGTGTTATAGTTGCCATCGGAAGGGTTCACCCATACTCGCTGTCGCACAGTGTTGACACCGCTTTCTTTCAGGATCGACTCTAGAGGCTTCACCGCTCCGCTCGTCGTAGTGTACGTGCGTCCAGCTCTCTCCTCGACCATCACCGATGACCAGTCCACGCCCTTGTGAGTCAATGCGCCGCGCACCGGTGCCGCCGCCAACGCTGCGAGCGTCAAGAGTCCAGAGAGAAGCATCGTGGCTAGAGATTAACTAGCTTGCTAGGCGGAAGCGGTGATTAAACCGTGAAGGTTATTTGGCGGTGGAATATAGCGAGTTCAAGACGTGCGCTCGCATACACGTATCACACGCTGATCATATTGATTATGATTGATGGAAAACGGCATACTTATACCGGGGAAGTGGAGTGCCCGCGATGGCAACGCGCCACGTTTGGCATATCTAAACCATATTCAATACGGCAAAGAACTATATAACTGGTTCCTAGCGCACGTATCAGAAGTCTGAGGTTCCGTGGACCTGGCCCCTTGGCATCTCCGCTCTTCCAACGGGAATTAATCCGGTACGAGAAACGCCTCCGACGGCTGCACATCCTCCGAGACCCAGATCCGATTTCCTATTTAGCTTGGCGTGAGCGCCGCTTCTCATCAGGTTTCGATTAAATGTTCCCAGCAAAAGTTGCAAGGAAGCATTATGATTAGGTAAGTCTAATATATGAAACGACCTATTTATGATGGAGTACGACACCATTTGCATATTGGAACGATTGGAACGATTCCAGCGTGACACTCTGTTAGCGTAGCAATTACGAATTGATTCTTTGAGTCGTATATGCTCCCTCTTAACAAATCGCAAGATGTGATTAGTATAAGAAGGTTTCACCTCCAGCCTTGTAACTGAAAGGAAATTTCAGTAATTACCAATCGTTTAGGCAGACGTTGTCAGAAAGAAAAGAAAAAGCTATGGTTCTTACAGGGTTGAGGGGAGAGGTATAAGACTTAGGTTGAGACGCAGGCTTAACTCTTACCAAGTAAGAAAATTTGTTCATATTGAAACTGTTATCAAGGCCCCTACATGGAGACTTATAATTGTACAGGAAATCGGAGAGTGGGAAAGGGGGAGAGGAGTAATTAAAAGGGAAATCGAGGTTGTGAAGCATTAAAATCTAAATTGGAAAGAGAGCGAGATTATTTTATATATGTAATCTAAGTGATATTGTATCTCCGTACCAGATCAGAGAGATATGAAGTGACAAAAGAAAGATAAGTGTTCATCAACAACAACTACTGCTCACCATTCCTCCTGTCGCTGTCCCTGCTGCCTGCTTCAGGCCGTTCTCTGCGGTGGTGGGGTCGTTCCTCGTCATACAGCCTAAGGATCAAGGGGCTCTGTGCACTCCCCGAGGGCGGAGGGCGCGTGTGGTGCCGGGTCGACGAGGCATCGGGGGTCCTCGCCGGAGTAGATGATCCCGACGAAGAGATCCGCGAAGGCACTATTGGCGGTTTGGAACTCGAGGACGCTGAGGATGAACCGGTGCGAGATGACGTCCCCTCAGGACCTCGTGGTGTGGCTGGTGCTGGTGGGGTCGACTTACTCGGTGTGGTTGAAGAATTTCTGCCACTGCGAGATGATTCCGATTTCGACCCGGAGTGTTTTGTACTGGTCGATCCAACGGCCTCGGTGCTCCATCTCAGTGTCGCCAATGAGTTGTTCTGGTTAGAAACGAGCGGCGATACTGTCGCGATTACAAGTAGGCGCGACCCTAGGGAAAGACTAGTGCGTAAGTAACGAGTGAGGTTGTGTCCGGGATGGAATTTACCACCTGAGGCAACGCTCCTGATGCTCTGGCCGAGATCAAGCAGGGATTTGTTGATGTCGTTGCCTTGCTCAATCTGCAGGGCTGAAGAGCTAGATTGCAAGTTGTTCTTGCCGACGCTCTCGCTCCCGGCCAGGTCGACGAAGGATGTAGTGCCCTTGGTGACTGTACCGTCGGCGATAGAGTGACGCACAATGGTCACAGAGATAATGAAGTGCGAGCGTGAAGATGTTTGGTTTTGCCTTGTTGAGGCGGCCTCCCGGCGATCAATCGCTGTCTTGATGACTCCGAATGCTTCTTCCTGGGTGGTCAGCGGCACAGAAGTTTCAAACCCTATCTTCGTCTCTACCTTCTGCCCGCCTGCTGATGATTGGATCAAATCATAGACCTTATTGAGGTAAACCTCAACTGCAGTCATCTGGAACTCGTAGGCGTACTGACCTGCTTCCTGGCTGGCAAGATCGAAGATCAAGCCGATAAAGCTGTGCACGAGCCCATCGCTGGACAAGAACGTATAGCTCTTCCCTGTGCCCGTTGCTCCGTACGCCATGATGGTGCTTGAGTTACCCAAAGCAGATGATTGCGCGAAATCCTTGATCTCGTTGAAGATGGCCTGGTTGCTCTCCCCGGTACCGAAAGCTCTCTGAAAGTCGAAGTCTCGGCTCTCTTGTCTCTTGCTGTCATCCAGATAACTCACTCGTAACTTGGACCATGGGACCATCGAATTGATGTTGTCCGGGTTATCTGGGTTCGAGAAATGAATCAGCTCTTCGTCGGGGGTGTCCTGGGCGGGACGTACTCTGCACATCACTCTAATATTTCCTTTCGCATTGGCGAGTTCTTCAACCATATCACGGTACCTCTTGATCAAAAGCAGTGAGTCCGCATCTTGTCGATTGATTCGAGCTTGTTGTATGGAGATGGTCTCTTCTTGCGTTTTGACGGCCTCTTCTAATTCCGCCACGGCATTCTTCCAATTCTCAATATCATTGGTCATGTCGGAGGCTTTTTGAGACTCTACCAGTTTAAGCGCGGCCTTGAGCTTCTCTATCTCCTTTTCCCGTGCTTTCAGTTCCTCATTTGCTTCGTGCGACACTACCACTACTTGTTCAGCTGTAGATTCCTTGATGGAGCCTGCGCGCGCTACTTCGGCCTTGAGCTTCTTTATCTCCTTTTCCTGTGCTTTCAGCTTCTCATTTGCTTCGTGCGACACTACCACTACCTGTTCAGCGGTAGATTCTTTGATGGAGCCTACGCGTGCTACTTCGGTCTTGAGCTTCTGAATATCTGCATCCTGTTCTTTCAGCTTGAGGTCGGTTTGAACTAACTGCGTTAGCGTAGCATCTGGGATGGTGGGAGTTATCGTCTGCTGTTCCGTTATGACGTCCGTCATGGTTCTGACGTTGGCAAGAGCAAGCGACAGTTCAAAATTATTGATCTTCAATAAGTCTATCTCCTTTTCGAGCTCGGTGTGAGATTTATTGTGGCCTGAATTTGCGTTACCAAAGCAGCTGACGATGTCCTCGGCCAAGCTGCGAAAGTGCTGTTCAATGTGCGGGAGCACGGCGTCAAGCTGCGTCTCGAGCTCTCTAGGATCATATGGGATCCTTCTGACTGCCTCCGTTAGCGAATTCAAGTGGTGGTTGACTCCGTCAACATGTTCTCGGATTAGAAGGGACAAGAGATCACGTAATTCGTCTAGGAACATTGGTTTCGCAGAAGCGACCTCATTCTTTAACGAGTAAATCACAGCCTTAAGGCTTTTTAGTTCTTGTGCGATCTGGTTTTCGTCAGACATTCTTACTCGAGTCAAAGTAAGTTATGATAGGTTCTGAAAAGGAGGTTAGTAGTTGTAGTTGTTGTTGATAGTGATGGCCCCAGGAGAGCTGGAGGGAAGGAAACTACAATTTTATATTCACTGCAGGTACCAGGAAGGACTCAGTCCTTTCAAGAATGTCATTGTATGCGAGCACAATAGCTATGTATTTCCAGCTAGTGTCCTCTCTTTCAACGGCACTGGCGACTAAGAGGATGTATTCATGTGTCAAATACATTCAGCGAGAGTGTGAACAAAGGCCGACATAGTGAACACTCAAGAATTTTTTTGGTTCCCCTTCTTTTCTCTTTCTTCCTCTACAAGTGCTTGATCGAGGTACTGAAGCTGTTGCGCATTTAAGAGGTCTCAAAGCGGTCGTCAGCCTTACATAACACGATGTAGATCCGGCAGGCGTTGCGATCGCCAAGATCATGCAGCTACCTATGTACTACCACAATAGCCAAATGCAATGGCCCGCTGCAGACATAGATCTGTCGGGTACACTACCTTAATTAGAATAATCGCAGATGTTTCTCTCTCTACACGTGTAGGCGATTCTCTCTTAGGGACGCAAGGTACGTGATGTTTATAGGTTGGCAGCTTGAGGCCTGACTTGTAGCGCTAAGAGATACCTGAATTATTAATAAAACAAGGTGAATCTGAAGAGCGCCCCCTCCCCTCCCCTCCCCCCATCACCGTACGGCATACACGCGAATAAGATATTGAGGGCATAGCTTGGACAGCTTATATACTTCCTTATCTCTAGTAGTTATGACATTGACCTGATGCACCGAAGTGCTTCACGCTTACTTACTTGAGGCGACGTACCTGTGTTCTACCCGTTTCGAGGGCACAGACAGCCTGGGGTAGATGGCGTTTCACAAGTGTTCCAGAAATTGCATTGTTGCGGGTAGGTAGAGAAGGTGCGCTAGACTACGTAAATACTTACATATCTACTGCCTACTGTATCGTAGATACATGTAGAAGATCCTCATGATTGATGACCGGACATTGTGGTGAGAAAAGATAGACTCTGCAGATAATATGGCCGAGATGAGATGGGATTAAGTAGGTAGGTCTGTAGTGTTCGTTCCCGAGCTATGTAAGCACGCTACTAGACATCGACTCCGGATGGATCGGCACCAAGCGTGATACGGAGCTCGGCTCATGCGCAGTACCAATACATGGTAGATACTACTATTAGTACTATATAATAAAAGTAAATTAGGAGAGGTCGAATGCAAATGCATACTATAACTGATACAACCTCATCAGCTTGTCACCACTTGCAGATCTGACGACGGAAACAGCGAGAGAACCTTAAATACATATGTATGTACTTAGCTTGACTGGGATGACACGTGGTGTATACAGACAAACAGACTTCAGTAAAGACTTACAAAATCTTCAACAACAACATCTCATGGAGTCATTGGAACGTTTGAATCGGATTGGATGGATGAGATGGACTAAATAAGTAATCTGCATGCGCGACGCCAAAATACGAGGGACGATGGTGGGAAAAGGACAGGCAATGAATCCCATCCTCCGTCCTCCATCCTCCAACACGCTACCGGTACCACCGTATCTTAAGTACGCGTGTCTACACTACATATCTCCCTTCCCCCCTCTACCGTCTCATCTTCAATCGCTTTCGAAAGTGATACACCATTCTATGTGAGATTCCAATTGCTCATTTTCGAGGGTTCTTAGATACTCGACAATTAGCTCGAGATTGTTACGAGTTATTATAAGTAGAAGAAAGAAAGCCATGATAGCTTGGTCGGGTAAGTACCTAGGTACCGTACTTTTTAGTCAAAGATAGGTGGCCAACCCAATCGGGTTCCTCACTAGCTCGCCCGAGCAATCTATAGCAGATACAACAAAGAAACTCTATTCTGTCCCCACAGTCCGTCACCTACCCGCTGAAGATAGCCGGGGATATGTAACGTAAGGGCGGTACTCTTAAAGTACTTTATTCGTACCTCTCTCGTCGGAGAGTCGTAACCGACATGCGCTACTGCTGCATTGCTCCGTCAGAGCTACCTTGTCGGGATTAGTCTGGGTTAGCCTAGGTTAGTTAGCCTTGACTAGCATCCCTATCCACGAATCCGACCTTTTGCGTTATTATCGTGAGCTTCAACATCGTCAGGTTTTCCCATCTATCGTGTTCCCGTCCATTTCCACCTCGCGTCTCCGTTTTACCTCCGCTCAAACCAGGCCCAAACCCAATTGGGAGATGCGCATACTGGTAACCAATTCGCTTACCCGCAACGGCGCCTAGCTATGGGCTCTGAAATCAAGCTACATCATATCCAGCTAGACATGTCTTGAATCACATGCACACTCAGTAACTACATACGTAGTACATGCATGAAGCTTGCCTCTTATTTCTCTATTTACCTACCTATGTATCTATCAGGTGTAGTATCAGTGAAAAGATACCGCCTATCTACCAAGTATGTATGTACTACCTACATGTAGGTAGGTAAGTAGTGATGTGGTGGTGTAGGTATCGAGATGGGTTAGGCACGATCGGCCGGCCGGTTTTGGAGAAGGAGGTAGGTAGCAATGACCCCGGGTTGTTTGGTCAACTCACTCATACACTTGGGAGCTACCGCTTCCAGCTATACTCTAAGTATGTATTTACAAGCGCTTGGTTCGTTCCTTCACCCGCTGTGATCGCCTTCCGTGCCGGGATTTCTCTGACCTGCGCTTGCTTCCCTCCCAAACCTCGGCCACCTCATTTCATTTCATCCCATCTCCTCGCTACCTTTGCCGTCGCCACCCTGTTCCTCTTCCATTTCCTCTTTACAACATTCCAAACATCATACTGAATACATACACCATATTCCTCAACTCTCAGCAACAACGTCGTACTTCTTCTAGCTACTCGATACTGGTGGTGACCAGCTCTCTTCGTTGTTGTCTTTGTCCTTGTCTTTGTCTGCGCTCGGCACTACCCGAACTTTGACACCCGATCGACAACACCAGTCAACCGATCGTCCTCTCGTCTACCACCATGTTTGCCGATCGTGTTGCGCTTCTCGCGCTCTCGACCCTCTCACTGGTCTCGGCTCAGGCTAACTCAAACTCGACCTTCAAAATCAACCCCAGCGAAGTGACTCCCCTCGAACAATGTACATCACCCATCCCTTCACGCTTGATCCGTGTCTTAGACATGAATTACTTGACTTGATGATGCTAACTCTGGACATGTAGCAAATTGGTGCACTTCGCAGCAGAACAGCTGCAACACCCTATGTGGCACAGCTCTCCGCAATGACTGTACACCTGTGCGCTCTTCTGCCGTTCCCTCTATTCAAAATGCAATTGACTAACCACAACCCGCCGGTTCGTCTTTTTAGGAGACTCTCGACTTCTTGTGTGAATGTGAAGGTGGATCCTACCCCGATATGAACGAATTCGAGAACACAATTCCTTGGGTAAGCTTATATCCCGGTCATGCAAATTCACCAAGCTTCATTAAAAAGTCGAACCGCTACAAGCACGCACGATTTATTGACTATTTCGCCGAATAGTTCGTTTGCACCAAGCTCCAGGATAATTGTATTGCTGAAAACGCGGGCAATCTCGCCGGCCAAAAGAACTGCACCGCAACGTATAAGGACAACTGTGGAACCGAAGACGTCAATGACCACAAAGGCGAAGGCGCTGCCACTGTTACAACCAGCTCTAGCGCGTCTGCCGGGCCCCAATCGACCTCGTCAACCACCTCCGCACCAAGTACCTCGTCATCAGATGGTGCTGCTCCTACCGCTCACGCCCAATTCATCGGAAACGGTGCAGCCGCTGTGGCTCTCGGCCTGCTTGCCTACGCCCTCTAGGTAAGGGCATGTTGCAATTCCGAGCGGATAGGTTAAATGGCATGTCATGATGTACACAAGAGATTCCGTTTTTAGTCTGTGGTGGGACTGTTGCGGCTATTTATCATAGAAGGCGCTTATAACATGGGGGTCTACTCCGAGTTTTTCGATTTGAACGCTTAAAGCGATGCACAATAATACCCCCGATTCACGATGCGAACGATTGGAGCAGTGGTTTGGTATACGAAGTGAGCCGATGCGACCGGTGAATATAAAGAATTTGGACTCGGCTCTTTCATTTCTTGGTGCCTTGAGCAGTCTTTGGAGCAGTCTTTCGCCTCCTGAGCAACTGTGCTATTCTAGTGAGGGTATTGCCGTGGAAGGAGTGCAACGCCATTATAGCGATGGTGACTTGCCGATCTAACAACAAAAACAATAGGATTATGCTGAAAGCTAGGTCCGTAATTCTTTGTTTTCTTTCTTTGACCTTGAGGACGTCAAGGAGTGTCGAACTTGAAGGCCGCCACCTTTTTGTATACCACTCCAACCAGCTTTTGAGTAAGTTTCATTGGGAGTATCCATCAAAGCATTGCTGTTAAAATCCTTTCAATAGCATCCATCAATTAATAAGATCGTTTTCGCACTCCTTAATGTTGTATCATGCAAAGTGGTTTTGTACAAGTCGAGATCCCCCCATTCGATATAGGCAGGCAACATTATTTGCTAAGAGGAAGACGAGAAGCTGGTATACTTCCAAGTTCTCCTCTTTAGCAATTCCTGGGGATTCCCGATAAAGTATCAAACCAGATCACGATGGCGTCCAGTGAGCAGGCGAAGACATTCACCGTGCCTGTCGGTACGCGGCTTAGTCACGGCTTAGAGCTCGAACTACTCGTGGCGTATCTGTACAAATCTGACGTTTTACCCAGTGAGCTAGATAACTCGAGCCTACCCCCTATACTACGTGTTGATGGCGGTGAATCTGGGAACATGGGTGACGTATCTAACGACGGCGTTGACGGATCTAGCGACGACTATCTGTGGATAGGTGCCTCAAACGTACGGGATCATATCGTAGCGACACTACATGATCACGGTGTCCGAGTGCATGCTGACTCGGAACTTTATTTCGACGACGACGGGCACTCCCCTCACCTCCATGGTGTCGATAGCTGGGACATCGACCTCGATCCCACGGTCGCGCCAGGAATACAAGAGTCGGCTCTACCGAAAGAGTACAAGTGGCTCAACGTCGAACTGCGGAGCCCGGCCTTTTGGGATGTCCAGCACGCTTATGACGAGACGACCTTCGTCGTCAACTTGCTCAAGTCGAAGTATTGTGTGCGCGTCAATGCGTCCTGCGGCTTTCACGTGCACGTTGCCAACGGCACCAGGTACTTCGACACGACGACGCTGAAACGGGCTGGTGCGTTCCTCTGGGCTGCTGACCCCATGTTATCTAGGTTACATGCGCCATGGCGCCGCGTCCACGAGTATAGCACGAGCATTCGGTATAGAAGTCGGCTTGCGCGCGGCGATCGGGTACGGCCGGAGGAGATCCAGGCTTCTATTGATGTCTGTGCGGAGAGACTGGACGAACGGAGCAACGGGACTGTGACTATGGACCCTCTGCCGGTTCTCCCTTATTCCAGCACGGCTATGGAAGAGGCTGCGCTCGGAGGCAGGGAGAAATGGGAGGAGTATGCTCGCGAGCGCGTGCAGCAAGGGCCATTAATGGAAGTGCCTGAGCAACCGCCCTCGCGAGCTGAACGTGAGTTACCCACGTCTGATTCCGAACCCTTTTCTTTCCTATTTGCATCTTCGCCGTCAAGTGATTGCGAATCGGATAACCCAGGTAATCTAGGAGGTGAGTATGACCGCAACCTTCAGGCGCTCCTGGACACGAAGGAGCTACGCGCGCGCTGTTATAAGGAATACGGACACCATAATGTCCGTGCTCTCAGCATACGTCGGCAGTATATGCTCTTACTCGACAGTGTTTGCGAGATGATGTTCGGCCATGCGGATATTAATGAGCTCTCGGACGACGGTTACGAGGCTCTTATCAGTCAATGCGAATCGTTCACGCAGGTTACTAGATCGAGCTATACATGGGACGAGGACCTCAATAGGTTCGGTCTCAACCGCGGAGCCATAGGCAAGAAGCTCCGGGCACCCCCGGCACAGAATTATAACCCCGACATCGCTCCCAGCTTAGCCGCGGTTCGCCTGCAGGAGCTCGTCGAGGAGCAGGACAGAGGCGAGATCCCCGACGACGAGGTCCCGGATTATAGCGACGACGACGACGACGAAGACATATCGGGCGGAGTGGACGATTTGGAAAAGTTCTTGTATAATCGTCTGGAGCAGTTGATGCAGCAGCCTACTTTCCCCCTGCATACTGTCGACGATTTGGTCGCTGAGATGAAGAGATTGAAGGAGTTCGCGGGAATGTTGTCCCGCCCAAGTTCCGTCGCTTCAACACCCCCTCCTGCCTCCGCGGCAGAGATGACTGATTCGGGCGGGGAGTTCAGTCCGTCTGCCTCGGACGCCTTGGACGAGGCGCTCGGGGTGCATGGTTCTACTCCCTCCGGACTCCGAGACGATAGTAATAAACCCGGCTCATCTACGACAAGCGATAACTACGACCCGAGCAAAGACCCAGCCTTCTCCGACTTTGCTTCTTCAAATTCCAGCTCAGAAATGATCCTCTCCCCCCTTTCTTCTTCCTCGCCCGCTCCCGACACTGACAAGCTCCAGCCCCACGACATCAACCGGATTCCCACGCGCTACATCGACACTATCTCCGAAGCAGCCTACCTCTCCGACCAGCACTGGCAGCGCATATCCTGGCTGCCCGACCCCAGCCTCAGCGGCCGACCCGATCCGCTAGAACACCACGCGCGCCACAGCCAGGTGTGCGCCGGCCCCAGCTGCACGGAGCACGTGATAACCAGCACGCGCGCGGGCATCGCGACGCTCCTACGCGCCGAGTCCGCGGCCGCGCTCGCCGCGCTCCTCATCAGCCCCACCGACCCCGACGACATCGGCGACCGGCTGAACTACAACTTCGTGGCGTACGCGCCGTACACGCTCGGCTCGCTGGCGGCGGCCGCGGAGAAGCGCACCATCGAGTTCCGCGAGGGCGGCGGCTCGCTGGACGCCGAGTGGATCGCCACGTGGGCCAGGATCTGCGTGGGCATCCTGCGGTTCTGTCGCGATAGCGACCCCGGGGAGTTCGACAGGGTGTTGGAGAGGGTTGTTGCGCAGGAGGAGCGGAGCAGGGGGGGAGGCGGGGTGCGGTACGATGTGTGTGATTTGCTTGAGGATTTGTGTCTCTTTGGCGAGGCGGAGGTTGTGAGGAGGAGGGAGAGGGAGTTGGGGCCGCCTAGGTGAGCGAAAGCAGGTGAGTGTGTGGAAATCAGCGAGGCGTTGAGGTTAGGTGAGTTGGTTTGAAACTTGCATATCTTATATAATTCGTATATTGAGCACCAAGGTAACTGGAGGAGGGAGCTCGCTACGTGCCGTTTCTTTTGTAAGGACGAATATATGTTTTCATATTCAATCTGTTCCATTTGTGACTGAGTCTAGGTCTTTTCTTTGGTCATGTCCTCCTAGTTACCTTGACGTTCTTTCCCCTAGAACCGTATTCGACACTGTGCTGACGCACGGTGGCTTTACTCCCGGGTAGCTGCTCGCCCCTTTTCTCGACAACTGTTTTGGAACATGTGCATCTCAGTTTGCACAAAAGGTACTCCGTTCGTGAATGTAGATTGAACGCTAAGTATATTGTCTATAATATTGAACAAGCATCTCAATTCCTACTTCCATGTGTCATTAATTGTAGAAAGTAGTAGTCGTACCTTCTTCAACAAAATAGTCGTAGATCACCACCTGCTCTCTGGATAAATCCACAGTACAGAGACTGTATATCATCAGTCTAGACCCAAGCCAACCAATCGGTGGTAGGTATTTCCTCACACGCTTACAATGGCCGTCTTGTGTGGTGCGAGACTTCGGACTGGGCGACGTCAACCGATTCCGACCGACGTAGCATAAATCCGCAAGCCCCCGGCCCTTACCGGAAGCAGGTTGCGACGCTACGGGGGTTGACGTCGATGCCATGTGGGATGTGGGATGTGGGAGGCAAAGAAAGTGTTTCTGTATATGGTAGAGATCTTCAAAGTGGCACACAGTTGGCCTTTGCGCAGCGACAAGAGTTCGTGTCACCCCCACACTAAGGATCTGAGGCAAATCTAGATTCATCTACTTAACTGCGCAATTCTTTTTCGAGAGTTCTAGGCATTTGTGTAGTTTCCGCCGGGGGCTAGACGTGAGTGAGGCTAAGATATGTCAATTGATTCTGTTCTTATTTCGCTCACTTTCAACAGCGTATCGCGCTCGCCTTGGTTTAATGAACAAGCACAGGCCAAGTGGAACAAGGATTGCAACGTCGACGAATGCGATTCGTTTTATGAGAATAATTCGAGCACTATCAAGGTTGCACCTGTTTGGTGAGAACCATGTAACTTTGTGGTCTTTGTCTTTATGCTTGATCGTATAGCTACCGTCCAAAAATGAAAAACTCGATAATCCAACTTGATGCTATGCTGTGGAACTTGAGAGCGCTTGGGCCAACATACAAATGAACTTAGGGTGGATGTCTCGCGGTCTGAGGGTTGAACAGTTACAAGTTTCGTTAGAATTTACGGTACACACACCAGTAAGCAACAATTTAACTGTATTTCACGTGCAATTCAATAACGGCGACGAGCCTTAAAAAGCCAAATGGTATCCCAATTCTATATATATACCCAGAATGCGAAGTGTTTATACAGCCCAACTGCCGTTTGCCTCCAACACTTTAGCCTTTAGCTGACTTATTCCTCAGACCCAGAAAGCTCACGCTTCTTCTTGTTACAGGAGAGTCTGGTATCGATAGCAGCAGCCTGCAGTGTTGTCTTGGCATTCTGGAAGAAGTACTTGCCCGAGGCAATGCTCTGTTCAGAATAGGTAGCATCCCAGACACCAATGCCGGCAAATTTCTGCTCGCAGTAGTACGCACTCGCTAGCTGTTTGGTCTGGGCAACGGTGATGTAGGCACCAGGGTTGGCGGCGGCGTTTGCGCCAGGGAGCGTGATGAAGATGCGTGCGTCTTGACTGAACTTGGTGGTCTTCAGCCAGTCGGCCCAGGCCTTGAAGGTGAAGTTGGCTTCGTCATATTTGCCTCCTGGAACGTATGCCGAGTTTTTACCGGCCCAGCCACGGGCAGAGCATGCCGGCGTGTTGTAGAATTGTACAAAGAGCATGTCGAACTTGGTAGCCTCGAGCGTGTCGACCAAGTTCGTGTCAGGAACCATGCACTGAGGCGAGGCCGTCAGGTAGTACGGCTTTCTGGCATCAGTGGCGAACAAAGTTCGGAGTCTCTTGACCATAGCGATGTAGCCAGCCGAGTTATCTTCCGAGGGGTGTTCGATATCAAGGTCATATCCGTCCACGGCGAACTCATTGATAATCGAGCTGTCGAGAGTTGTGTTGACGTAGTCAAAGGGACGTGGCTTGTTCAGCGATGTCCATGAGTCCTGTCGAGGACCGAACATTCCCCAGAGCTGATTCGCAAAGCTTGTGCCGTTCGTGGCGCCGTTGACGTTGTATTCCTTTGTTGCGCCTCCGAGGGACAACAAGATCTTCTTGTCACTTGTTTGTCGGCATGTGTAAAGGTCTTGCTGCAGTTGTGGACACTTCAACAGCATGTCTTTTGAGGGGTCCTTGACACCCTTGAATCCTGGGCCCTTGTATGACTCGGCACTGCATTGGTTACCGAAGTTGATACCTGGGTGTCCGTTGGCTTGCTCGGGAAAGAGATGAACGAAAGAGAGGATGATCACATCAATGGTAGGATCGGCGCAGTACGTGGTCAGACGTTTCTGATTCGGTCCTTGACCCTATTGTTTTCATTCACGTTAGTTATCATGTTAAGCCTCTGATTTACTCAAGTTGTCATATCTTCAAGGGGCCCTTTGCTTGATAGGCTCAGAGTTATAGCCAACTTACATAGTAGACAGCAACATTGTTCTTCGATGTAATATCGAATGCTGCATTAACGAAACAGAGCAGCGCCGAGATGGCTAGTGAAATAAAAGCAATGCGCGCCATTTTGAATGAAAAGAGTGACTATGGCGTAAAGAGCGAATGTAGAGCAACTACACGACAATCTACTGAACACGCCTGGACATCATGCCCTTTTAACTGAGCGCGGCCACTTCCTAAAAGCCCTACATGGAACTTACCGTAAGCCTAACTAAGCATGGATCGAGGAGTCAGCGAGTACCTGACTATAATGCATACACACGTTCAAGTAACGTTCCAGGGCAGGCATTGTTGCTGTCTGTAATCCATGTACAGGGACTGAGTACCATGGGGTTAGTTGACCATTGAACAGGTGAAAACCCCTGGCCTGATGAGCCCAGGTACTATGCTCTTCAGGCTTCCGGGCGACTAGTGTAGGCTCACTTGAAGCTATATCGAGGCCGTCGCCAAGCTGAGAGGACCTTGAACGTAGGCTGGCCTATTAGATGGCAGAACTCTCTCGGTTAATCTTACTGGCTTATGCCTTGGCGTTACCGCCGCCCTTCGACATGGCCTCAGATTGTGGTCTAGTGTAGGCTACCAGCGGGGAAACTGTTATTTTAGTCTACAGTTGAGTCCAGTTTCGGTCTAGAGCCATCGAAACCACGAGCAAGAAAACTCTGCGAACGTGCCCCGGCTTCCCGGATTGGCAGTATCGCAACATGACTTCTGTTCTTAGATCTCGTGCTATCCCCACCTTGTTCTTCATTTTCGGCCATTTTAGTTATACTGTGTGCGTTTTCAATGGAGCCAACTACAATTTAGGAGTTGAGCCTCTTGCCTTATACTCCACTCAAGCAGGCAACACGCACGTGGGGATTTTTCGTGGACCAGGTAAGTACGAAAGTGCGCTGCTGTGGCGCACTCGCTCATATCATAGTAAGTAGGAAGCATTCTCAAAGCTTCTAAAAAATGTTTGTCTCACGGTCTACCTGTTACCCCTATTTTCTCCTGCGGCGTGGTTCTCTGTACTTCGCCGTGGTCTTTTTGTGAACCGAAATTTTAAGTGCTTGAAGGATTTAAACCCCTCCAATCACCGGTTACATCGCCTTACATTGTAGGTTAGTGTCTTATGCATTCACGACGTATCCAGACTAGTTCGGCCCCCAAAAGAAGGGGATTCCCAGGTGAAAACCGTAGTCCGCCCGTACCTAAGCCTAAAGTGTGGCCGTTGATGGAACTACCGAGACACTGCCTAAATGCAAAGACAGGCAACACTGCGGTTCTTGGTAATTTGACCGCGGTGTAATAATCTTATCGCATGTTCATCATGTTCAGGAACGCGCCTAAAGTTCGTGATCGAAAAACGAGCGCCACTCAGTGACTCATCCACCTCAATACGAGGGATGACAGTCATCCCAACTATAACTACCAACAATGTTATGTTCTTCCCAGTCGATGATGACTCGGGTCCCGCAATCAAAGTAACGTATGAACCTCAAGGCAGCAAATGCATGATAAGATAGGCTATTGTCCCAATGCAGACAATCAGCCCCCTTGAATAGACCGTTGGTAAGATGGGGAGATGTTTGACGCCAAGCAATCTTATCAGATCTAAATCGCAACCTGGGGCTGGATATCGCGAGCACCATTCCCAACAGCAATCCTTCCGGAACGTCGGCTTTTGCGGGGAAAGAGATCTGCCGAGACCGGCTGCTATACGAAGATCCATCTGATAAGTCCTTTGTCTTCGCAGTCTCTTTGTCCTGCAAGTTGGTCGACAGTTTCCACTAATAGCTAGCTTGCATCCGAGAACAATGGGAATTGGAGTCTTGCTCTCAATAAAACCATGTATCTATCTACTAGCTATTGCGCTTTATACAGCGGTGAACGAAAAGCTTCTTATCACCCAATTTACAAGGATGCACGCCAGCTCCGGATCGGACCTTCAGCCATATCCAGTCCATTAGATACTCAGTGGTATAAATGTCGCTAACCAGCGAACTCTTGGGCTTCGAGATCCGAACTATGATGGACCCAAAAAAAACTCAGATTTAATTTTTGATTGAGCTGGAGTCGTAGCCTTTGAACGCACCCGAAAGCTCTTCCCGTACGATATAACCATGCTTAGTGTGGGAGAGAAAGCGACGCAAGGCAATGGAGACTCGGTTCAAGACGAAGGGAAGATCACAAATGGAGGGGCTGCTGTTAATACTGTAAACGAAGATGATGACACTCTGCGGAACCTCGAGAGGCTTCGGAAGCAGTATGGCGTGAGCAGAACTTCCCATCTCCACCTTCATCATCTGACCGATAATGCTAAGATGTGACATATTCACATGCCATAGGCAACATGGGATGGCCCGGAAGACCCGAAGAATCCATATAACGTATGTGATCACTGGGGTCATTTTCTTCCTGTTCTAATTACTCCCGGAGGCCATGGTTGCCTATTGCACAAGCGTGTCTCGGAGTATGCAGAACTCAAAACTTTTACCTGAAAGGGCAATTACTGATTCTAGCGGTTGTAGTGGTCTTCAGCCAAGAAAGTCACGATTGGAGTTGTCATGGGCCTAGGCTCACTCGTGACGCTGCTGACAGCGAGTGTGACGGCGGCCGCGCTGGGCGATATCTCGCGGGACCTCGGCCTCGACCCCGCGACGGCGCAGATCAGCTTCTCCATATACTTTCTCGGACTGGCCTTTGGCCCCTTGCCCATCGCTGCCATCAGCGAGACGAACGGGCGCCGAAATATCTGGATTGCGTCAAGTCTGTGGTTCATATTATGGAACTCTCTCTGCCCAGTCGGTTACTCCAAGAGTCTCATGATTGCAGGTCGATTCTGTAAGTAAAGCTCTCAAGAGTCGCTTTCTTCCATCCTTTTCCCCTTTCTCGTCTACATCATAATCATGAGTCTCGACAAGTGAGTATGACTGACTGGTACATAATGTTATAGTGGCTGCTCTCGGCGCCAGCGTTGGAAATGCCGTAAGTAGTGATTCCCTATTGAGTACATGTAAATTGACTCAATATACCAATAGATTCAAGCCCCAGTCATGACGGACATGTTCCACGAGAAAGATCGCGGCAAGTCTCTTGCCATTGCCGGCCTTCTCCCTTACCTAGGACCTGCCCTAGGGCCAATTCTAGGAGGTCTTGTGAGCCAGCTGCTCGAGTGGCCCTGGCTTTTCTACATCGTCAGCATAGCTGAGACAGTAGTATTGATAGTTGGCATCCTCGTCCTGCGAGAAACTTACACTCCTGTCTTGCTGCGCAGGAAAGCCGCCGCATTAAATCGAAATATGGAGGTGGATTCCACGCCGACGACGACGACGACAACACCGTCGACAAGAACACAGCGGCAGATTGACTGGAATGACTTCTTCTCGCGCCTGCGTGTTAACATGCTCCGGCCGTTTCAACTCCTCTTTTACCGCCCCGTGATGCACATAGTCACGTTGAACATGGGACTTGCGTTCGGCATATACACATTGGTGCTGTCCACATTCGCGCAACTGTGGACTGACCGGTACGGGCAATCGAAGCTGTTGAGTAGTTTGCACTACATAGCCATCTCAATTGGGCTTTCTATATCGGCGCAAGTCGGTGGCCGAGTGATGGACTGGGGTTATCACCAATTGCGTGTGCGAGACGGCGCCAGGAGTCGGGACCATACACCCGCTGGTGATTCTATTAGCGAGAAGTTGCCCCCGGGAAAGCCTGAGTACCGCGTTCCGTACAGTATGACACATGTCCTTCCTTTTAAAATCGTGGTATGAGGGGTAGCAAAAACGTACAAGTACTCCGTACCCCTATTATATGAAATTGCTTGACGCTTTTCTTCAAGAACCGCGTCAGATCTCTCACAACAACACCTAAGATAACAAAAATCATGTATATGCTGACCAACGGATCTCACTAGTGCTTCCCGGTCTCTTTCTTCTTCCCGCCGGTCTATTCTGGTACGGATGGAGCGCACAGCGTCATTATCATTGGGTAGTGGTCGACCTCGGCGTAGTGGTATTTACCACCGGAGATTTCATAGTGAGTCCCTTTGAGTACCGTATTTTTCATTCATGAAATAATGTATTAGTATACCTATCTTCATTCCTGTCATGCCATGTTCCCGACCAGTATTTTGTGGAAAGGGCATCAAAAGTACCAGAAGATCTTTATCTTAATCCATTGCAACTTCTATCTACCCCCCCTTTTGTTTAGCAGATTCACAGTGTACTGAAACCGAGAATTACAGTATACCCAGGCTTTAACAGCCTATATTCTCGACGAATTCACAATATTCGGCGCCTCAGCCAACGCCGCGGTCCGCGTCTTATCGCAGGTCCTCGGTTTCGTCTTCCCCATCTTTGCCCCAAAACTTTACGGCGCTCTAGACTACGGGTGGGGCAACAGTCTTCTTGCCTTTATCTTCATCGTTCTCGCCTTCCCGGTTCCAGCATGTCTGTGGTTATGGGGCGAGAAACTGAGGGCACTTGGTAGACAGCGGACTGAAAGTAAATAAGTAAATGGATATTGAGAAAGCACGTTCGCTTTATCTCTTCATTTTATATACAATTTCATCCAATTCTTATTAAATTTTTTTGTGAGATAGGTCAAGTCCATAGGACTTTCGTATTGCCGCTGAAAACTGAGATTTCCTATTCCTAGCAGCCCTTTGGAACCGCGTTTCGTTCGTAAGTTCGTGAGTCAATCGCTTGCCAATGCACTGCCCCATGTCAAAGTAAGTGTAAAGAGAGAAGGGGCGTTGAAGGGAGGCTGGGAGCGTGTGGAGAAGAAGGAGAAGGTTAAAAAAAAATTAGAAAAAGTTTAGAAAGGTCTCTTGCTTGCCAATCCATCCACCCTTCCTTGACAAGAGCATTATTATGACCTACACGCTGCCCAATACCTGAATAACGATCTATTCAAGATTAAGTCCAGCTCTCGTGAGAGAGAACCAAAATTTACCAGCCCGACCTTTGCGCACTGCCGTTTTGCGTAAGAGAGGGTATCGAAAGAAAGAAAGTAAGTAAGTCAGAATACACCAAGACACAGGGAAGGGAGAGAATTGCGCCACCTAGGACCTTGCGGCGCGCAACGGCGGCTTGGCTCATCCTGATTGGCGGCGGGCTGCATTCGCGATGTAGTTTTGTATCACGCTGCTGTTACACCCAGAGTGTCTTAGGATTTCATTCTTCAGATCCAGTATTTCGTCGCGCAAGCAGCCGACGTGACTATGCAGTGCTTTGTTCTTCTGACTCAGCTCTTTCTCGCGCCGTTGCAGGCCCACGAAGTTCTGCTTGGCCTTTTGCCGGCATTTGCGAGCAGCAACGCGGTTGCGTTCGCGGTGTTCCTTTAGCTCTGGTATAGTGCCGGCCGAGTCCATTGGTGTCGTTGCGGTTGTTGATGACGTTCGTCTCGCCGATGGACTCGAAGCAGGGCTTCGGTCACTGGGCGTCATATCAGTTACTTCGCTACTATTTGGGTAGTATCCTTCCGTTCCGAAAGATTGCTGGCTCGAGATGAAATCTGCTTTGCCTAACGGGCTTGCGCCGTCAACGGGTGGCCCCATAGTTCGTTCATGCGTGTATAATTCGGGGTCTGCGGGGTGATTATCTAGTCCAAGTCCATTATTGAAATCCTAATGAAGAGGGAAAGTTAGATGAATCTGAACTTGGAATTGGGTGGTTAATTGGAATTTGACAGCCAAGCCTAACCAATCTGGATCAGGCTCTGGGGCATGCGTACTTGGTTTGTTGCTACATAATGACCGACATCTGCTAGCTTCACCCATGGTTCCTTTGCGAGAGCTTGCCGAGGACTGTATTGACAATCTGTGTTGGGGTGAGGCCAGGTGAATTCTAGTGAAGGGGATCCTTCGTCTTCAGATGGTGCGCCATATAACGGGAAGCCCATGCTTCGAGCGTCATCTTCGAGGGTATGGCCAATGAAAATCGCACCGTTCATCATGAAAAGTAGGTGTGGGGTAATTGTCAATATCTCACTGCAGGGACCCGAATAGAAGTGTGTATTGCTGAAGATGCTATTTCGCAGTTGCGATGGTTGTACAGTAGACCTCCTGAGATGGGCTAGGCTCTGGCGGAGTATGCTAAGTTAAGCAATTTCATATATATCGCAGAGTGGTCCCTAGCGAACCCTGGGACGCGCCAATTCCGCTCCTAGTTCGGTGGTTGCAGATCTGACCGTTTGGTTTCCCCGAAGGCAAGCGTATGGGTACCTAGGTAGCCTTATGAAAGACAAAGAAGATCTCGTGGAAGTGGATGAGAGTTGAGGTGTTGAGAACCTAGCAGGGCCTTTTCTTTGGCTTTAAAAATGCGAACTATGTGAATCTAGGGGAGTGAGGAGATAGAGCTGAGAATGTATGGATCAAGCTAGGTCGATAGAAGGGACTATGGCAAGGGCGAGAATTCATCAAGAGACGAAACTCGCCACTCGTTCTGTTTCGTTTGATTAGGTTCTATCTGTCCACGTTCTCCATCATACAGATTTGGACCGTTGCAGGTAGGCAGCTGTACAATGCTGCAGTCTTCACGCAGCTTTCGATCTATTTCTCCATCTATGACTGGTCACGGTGCCCCTGGTCACTTACTTCAATGGGGTCCAAGTACAGGCAAAGTACTTCCATAGCACGCCTTTATCGGGGATGTCATTGCTCGATGCCATCACACTCTCGATCCGGACACACTACTATGCCAACTCCTTGGCCCTATGACGACTACTACTTTGCTCAATAAGCGCAAGACAAGCACGCATGCGTGTTAGTCCTAACCTGCGACCTTAGTGTGGTCATTGGATTAAATATGCGGCTTGAAGCTCTGGCTAGAAGACCGAACTCTAGCTGTGATTACTAGAGCAATGTTACGGGTATGTAGATGTGTCTCCGTGTATATGGACATGGATACTTAGATATATGCTCCTTGGCTAGCCGAGAGGCCCTTTGGAGGCTTATTCCCTAATTGTACCTAGGATAGCCTAGGTCCAATAGGCACTCACCTAGACGGAGGCAGAGGACGAAGATACAGCCGTTTAACTGAAACTACGCGCATTGGGTTACTTACCTCAGGTACTTCGGTAGGTACAAAGGTGTAGTCACAGCTCAGGTAACACACGGCGCGACTCAATACCGCCTCGTTGATCTGATAGAGATTCAGATCTATCGATGGAGCCACCGAGCACTACGTGCGCATCAGGTGACTTGGCTGGCGAGAGGCCAATGGCGCTGTTACAAATCGACCCCGAGTGACTGTTAGCTCACCCTACAAACTACAATGGCGGTTGAGTGCGGCCCAAGCTCGTAGTCCTGGCCGATCCCAACGCAGTTCTACGTCTAACCAGCCGTCGCCTATAATGAGAGAGGATATTAAATCACCATCATCGATGGAATGATCTTCGATAACCGATGCTCGCGGCAAAGTTTCAGGGACATGAGGTCATTGGCATGTGAAATATCAACGTTATTGCATGCAGCGGTAATTGTCAAGTTAAGCCGCGTGTGGTAACCATCTACGATTCGAATGCTTTCTGTTAGTGAGGGTGATCACTGACTTGACTGTAATGACACAACTACGTAGAAGAAAGTTTGTACTATCTCTGTGCTAGATTACTGCTAGATCTATGAAACTTATGAGTGGCTTTGTTTTATTTTGTTTTATGCCTCTTGTGAAATTTAGCATTCCTCAGAATGTTGGTCATGGCTTTTACACGTCAGGGGGGGAAACTGAAGACGACCAATTAGAGGCAACCTCGGACTCAACTCCGGAGATGTCTGACCAATAGGACACAGCCTCACCACGTCTTGGCAACGGGTAACCTGCCGGGTCCGCAGAAAGAAATCCTCAGCCAACCCCCCCGAAGGCTACATTACTCCATGGATCGAGATGAGTGCCTCTCGCGCATACGTAGACTAGTCTTAAACTCGCCGTGTCTCTAGTGTATGAGTGACCCAATACGAGCTCGGCCATAGTTCGGCTGATCCCGTTCTACATATATGATATTATTCAGCCACTTTGCTTTCTGTTATTTCTGCACCGCAAAGCCCCTACCTGTGAGGCAGCCATTTTTTGGTGCACAATTTGATTTTTGACTACTACGGAGATCCAGGCTTCGAAAGGCAGCATCAGGTAGGCTGCTGTAATGCGTTAGGAGGTCAGTAATCTAACTGTGGACGAAACTAGCAATTCCGCTCGTGGAGCACACCTCGAGAAGACCCAAGTTAAAAGTTCAGTACTACGGTCAAAAAAGGTGCGGCTAGAAGAGGGAAGAAGCCGGTCGTTATCTGTAGCCTATAGAAACATAAATTTGAGCTTTTATCCATGTAAACGTAGGCACTGATACATAATCTAATAAAATCCTCGCCCTTTAGTGCAGACTTCAGTGTATTTTTCTTAAATCTTTCAAATATGAGTGGTTTAATTTTTGTAATTTTTCTATTTTTGTCGCCTGTTGGCATAGAAGTATTATTACACAGCGTTTGGAAGGCTGTACTTCTTTATTAGATAATCTGAGCAGCGGGCAAGGCTTGCCGAGTTGGGTTTATTGTTACCGACGATTAAATGCCGAGGTCCCTGATTTCAAAGACCCTTATAGGCACCATAGCTTTCATTTTAAACACTAACTAAGATACATGTCACTCGAACAAATGTACTACCAACTGGTATAATTACTCAGTCCTCGATACTTCTACTATATCCTACTACTGCTCGTGATGTTATTATCACGGTACCAAGACGACTGTCACCACGCTAAACACGTTGCATCCGCCATCACCAAACTTTATACAGCCAACCGGCCAGCGTGCCGTAGAATCTCAAAATGAATCTATCATTTCATAGATCCCTAGGCCATATTCTGGAGCCTTGGCGCTGATTAGACTTCTAGTACCTGCACCATTTCAAATTAAGTGCGCTGGTAGTAACTCATTCAACAAGAGACTGATTATGCTACGACCCTCTCCCAGCTGTCTGATTAAAGATCACGGATCTTACTTTGTACTCAGACCGCAAAAGAGTGCTCGTTAGTATCCCGGAACAAAACTGCAACAGTACATAGTAGCACTACAACGCATAGAAGCTATCAAGCCGCATGCTTGGTCCGTCTGTAGGTAGCATGTGCCTATTATGCTGGTAAGCTTATGTTTACAGTGCTTTCTACCATAGGTCGCGTCACTGTAGTCGATAGCCCATTGGGTTTATGCCATGACGCCGCCAAAAATGTAGAACGTACTTTTTCAGTGGAAAGCTGCCCTTGAAAACAAGCACCGAACCCTCTGACTCCCATCACCATTGTGAGGCAAGTGTTATTCCGTTAGGCCCACCTATACAAATTATAGTAGTATAGATAAATTATCGGTGTTGCGAAAGGAACCTAACACCTTCATAGGTTACTACACAGGAATATCAACGAGCGTTCTCTACTCTCGTCCTAGAAACATAATTATCTTGTTAAGAATGAAGGTATACCGTAGTGTTTCGAGGCCTCCTTTTACGTAACAGCAAGTAGCTAATTAGCTGCCATAAGCATCCCGGTATTATCTTGACAAGTATCGAATAGTCCAAGGTATCCTGTAACACGCGTCACATCTTACATTTCCTCCACCCTTGCATCTATTTCAAGGCAAATCCTACTGCCACTACTTTCGAGAGACAAAAGAAGATACTCTCAAGGTACTTCGTGCGTAGCAACCATTTACGTCAGTAAGGCAATCAGGGATCATTTGCAACATCACATCGCTGGGCCCTCATTACTACCTCCCTTGCCCAATGCTACGGCATACTGCAGAGACGCATCCAGCACTACGGCGCGACAATACCGATCTATTCCACCCCTGTACTGTTAGCACTCTGGAGATCTATAAACTAGCTAGCGATCATTTCCGCATCTTTCGGGATCTTCAACATTTGTCCTTAAATGGACTGACGATGACTTCACAGAGCATGCACAACAACTGACAGGCACCCCATTACCTGAATTTCACTTCCATTTCTATTCGATCGACACGTTCCCCAATAGCAAACCTTGTCCTACTATTAGAAGGGTAGTGATCCATCTGTCTTCTGACACAAGGGTAGTATCGCAATTCTAGGGATACAACAGGGAGATTTTCTGTACATAGCCTTAGCCTAGGCACGAGACTTCCGATGCCTTCGTTACAATGACAATTACCATATAGTACTCTCAAGGTTTCAGTTCTTGTAGAACCACAGAGTTTACCCTGTCCATTCCAACACTGCTGAGGACACCTAGATCCATTGGAGTCGTCGCGCAACATCAAACAAACATCCTACCCTACCACAAGGAAAACGAAAACACACCGCGAAGCGACGCCAAGAAGGCAAGACAACTTATGTGTATGGGCACGAAGATAACTCACAGCAGGAAGGCATTTACCTTTCCGCGTTCTCAAGTTGACCCGTGTTATGAACAAAGTACGAGGTAATTATACAGCAAGAACCTCATCATTCCACGAAATCTAGACAGTTAGGAGTGAGGGCATTCAGACTCCTGAGCCATCTAACCCCCAGATTATTGATCCTTGATCCCAGCCCCTCTAGCAAATCCGCGACTATCAAATACACATACACATAGAAGAAACGCCATCTCTCCCAGTGTTAATTATACACGCTGCGCGACGACCTCACAGCCAAGGTACTGAAACAAACACGATAATATCATCTACACACACCACTTGCAGAAGACCTTCTTCAACACATGACTTATACACTTCACATTCGAAACCAAAACCATATCTAGCGCTCGCTTAGATTGCGGACTTCGAAGGTTACGAAAGCCAGTCCGCTTATAATATACGTCACAATCAACCGCCAAGACCACGAAAGGGGCAGACGCAGCAGTTGCTAGTATATCATATACCTACCTACACACATAAGCTCCCATTACTAAGCGTAGCTCTCGTCAAGAAAGACGCAAAATCATCTTGTACCTACCACGACCCTAGGCGACAGACAATACCCTCCCTATGGCCGCAATTCCCCCATCGCGATAGCTTATCGCAGTAGTCAGCACCCATCACCAGGTCAAAGTCCATTTACGCCACAATACACTCGTCTCGTCATCATTTAAGCGCACTTTCAGGGGTTAATCGAGCAAGGCACAAATTTACCGGCCACAACTTCTAGAAACAACGTCATTCACACATCACAAAGTGCAGCAGAAGTGAGGGGGGTTTTTTTTTTTCAAATGTTTTTATACACTCGTCGAAAAAAAAGGTACGAATTATAAATACCAACAACGGCCCTGATTGATCGATCCTTGCTCCATCAAAGCGCCCCTTCATTCATCGTCCAAAAACTTGAAAAATAAAAAGCAACCCCCGTCCAAAAAAAACACACTACATTAATAGTAGATCCCATATTCCATCCAGCACATATCGTTACAGATTATAAGTCGCGAAGCGAGGACCGGAGCCGTACGATGCAACAAATGGTTCACAAAAATAACCACCACCAACAAAGCCGATAATGCATAATGATAAAAGGCACTTATCTAGAACGTTGATGCAGTGGCTCCCCTTTTCTGAGGGGGTGCCCGATATGAAGAAAAAAGATCGTTAAGAAACATGGTATCTCCGCGCCAAGGAAAGCAAATATGAGACTTGGTGGTATATATGGTTGTGAAAAAGCGAGTCGTTTGAAATCATGGCAGCGATCCATCATGGGGTAGGTGTTCACCACGCTACATTCTCATCTCGTCCCTGAGCCGGCTGTTGGAACCCTGATGGCTCACCACATTTCCCATAATCATCACACTTTCCCGTCTCTTAGACTTATTACTGAAAGATGCGTCAAGCATACCATTCGAGCTGGAGCTATAGTCTTGTTCATAAGGGGAACCGTAGCCATAATGAGGCCGATCATAAGTTGGTTGTTTAGATGTTGGAATTGTCGTTGTTGGTTCATAACCTAACGGAGCAGAGAAGCCGTTCTCATAGGCTGGGCGAGTAGTCATTTGCTGCACACTTGGCCCTTGTTGTGACAAATATTGCGAGTCGTAGGCCTGTCTAGGTGGTGGCGTGCCTGTTGTACGGAGGCCTAAACCAAGTCCTGATGCATTAGGTGGCGGCGTGGGCGTTGATCGTTGCTGTAGCTGTTCGACGAGTCGTTGCCGATGTGGTGACTCAGTGGTGCCGGCGGTTGATGGACGCCGTGGCTGTGATTCGACGGGCAGCACAGAGTCCGGTTCGGAAACAGGCGATGGAAGTTCATACTCCTCGGGCTCTATGCCGAAAATGCCTTGATAGTTCTGTAAAAGGAGAGCAAATACAGGAGCCGGAATATTCAAGGTAGGCGAAAAGACTATGCCCACATTGCGCACGGTCATTTTATTCATGTCGGCGTGATTGATAATCCTAATCAGAAAGGCGATTAGATATTTCAGCAGTGTTCCGTTGGCAAGCGGGAGGCGCTGCACAAGCTCAGACAATGCCTTTAATTTCTCTTGATGGTTGGTCATCTCCGTAACTGCTACAAATTGCATATGTAGGTCTCGAGTGAGGATGGTAGTGGGCAGTTCACGCAGATAGAGCTTCAACAGTGAAGCAACTGCATGTATATCGTAGTAAGTTTCGTCTGTGAGGAGATTGACATCGCCCTCTTGGTTGAACCGTTCACGTAACTGTTTGATTACGACGTTGGAGCCACTGAGACGGAAGATGCCCTCCTCCAGTATTGCGTCTCTCAAATCGAGATACTGAATACAGCGATACACAACTGCTGGAAGAGGGACATTGATGTCCGCGGGTCCGCAATACCTGACAGCCTCGGCTAATGGTGCCCCGAACGCTTGCCGTACTGGACCGCGGGGTTCAGCCTGTGGTTGGGGTGTACTGCCGCCACTAGAGTTATACAGAGGATCCTGATCATCAGAAGATGAGCGAGCTTTGGGCCCAAAGCCAAAGAAACTACGTTTTCGTTGCTTCTTTTCTTCAACCGAGGGCATGGGTTGAAGGAGATTGGTTTTACTACCCCATGAAGCTGAATCAGATATGATGTGAGCGTCTCTAGGAGCTGATATCGTATACAGAGAAGCTCCCTGCTTCTCTGGGATTTCAGGGCTAGTTGTTCCTCGCCTCCGTGGTGGTGCGCCGTCGGGTATATCACCCTGTTTAGCAGTGTCGTAGCTCATTCCTATGAGTGCGTCTTGGATATCATTACGTGGTTCGGCATATTTTCCAGCGCCATACATTTTCTTTTTGGCGTTCGCACCAGTTACATGAGCTTGTGTGCCATGACTAGCGGGCTTGTGTGGTGTCTCGTCCTCGTTTCCATCTCGGCAATCGATCCAACGCAGAAGAGCGTCGACCCATTGGTCACGCTCCTCATCACTTTCAGCGCAAAGTACGTGTTTTACATAGCTACTTGCGTCTTTCTTCTTCGGCTCCAATACTAGGAATGCGTGTCGATATTGATTATCCGGCTCGTCACCGTTTGGGCCTCCTGCGGGAGAACCTTCATTGTTATGTTGGGCCTGTTTACCAATCTGAGCATTCAGAAGCTTGATAGTTCCAAGATGGGCGCCACCAGGAGTCTCATAGTACTTCAAGTTAGGACTATCAAGAACAAAATATCGAGCTTTCCATCCACCGAAGTTCTTGCCTCTTTTTGTGAGATACCCATTCTTAAAGGGTCTACCACCTGGCCCTGTTTTATGAGGGCTCATTTCTCCATTCCGATCAACCGAGTTGTCGTCGCTGTTAGGTGGCAAAGAATTGGTGGAAAGATATTTGCAGAGCTCGATGGCAGTCTGCAAATCAAGTGGGGTGTTTAACAACTCATCCAAGTAGTTATCAAGAATGCTACGGCGAGCATCAAGTTTGGCAGGGGCATGGCCACTGAAAAGCGAGCGATCAGGCGTTTTTGCTGTGAAAGAAGAGCATTGCTTCATTCTTTGATCCAGCTTTACCAGAGAACCAGTGTCCTTTTCCACCCTCCACAGCTCTCCGCCTTCGGATCTAGATATGATAGCTAGAGTAAAGACAGGGTCTTCCTCAAGCTGTGTGAGCGAAAGTAGACTCGCTCGGGACGGCCTCATCCGCGATGACGATACCTTGACAGCGACGGATGGTAAAGCATTGGGAGGCAGCAGCAGATCAGGATATTCATCAGTGGTCAGACCACGGAATATCTCAGAACGTTCGGGTTGTTCAAGCGTTATCCTTTGTTTCGTGACTTGGAGGGGCTTCGGAGAAGCCAGGTTTGTTGTCTCTGTAGCAGTGGCATAGAACTTGGGCGTATTCGGCGGAAGCGGTATTGGCTGTCGAGGCGCTCTAGGTGAAAGCGGAAGTCCTGCTGAGGGCATGCCGCGGGGTGACAAAGGTGGTGAGAATACTGTAGGTCGAGGGCTCGATGGCAGCCCCGGGCTCATCAGCGCACCATGTACTGTCTGTTTAGATGAACCTGGGCTAAGCATGCCAGCCAGAGATGCTGGCACATTATCCTGGTTGATGGAAGATTGGCTAGTCTTGGTGCGAGGACTGGCCGGAGCGGTGGCTTTAACCTCCTCGGATATAGGCGTGCCCTTCTGACTACCCTTTTTGCTTTTCTTTGAGAGGCTGCGGGCCTCGGCTTCCTGTTGAGCAATGATTTCTCTCTCGCGGTCATCATCTTCCCTAGTACGCCTACGTCCCCTTGACTCAGTCATAGGAAAGTCATCAACTTCTAGCAAAGAGCCGTAATCTGACTCAGAGTCATCTTCCACATCCAGGCTAGCACCCTGTGTTATGTTGCTCTTTTTGTTAAGCTGCAAAGGAGCAGGTGGAGGCTTTCGAGGAGGAGGGGCGGACGGGGGAGGAAACTGTGAGATCCCTTGATCTATTAGTGGAGTTGCCTCGATGATAGACACGGTCGGGGGCTTTGGCTGGGGTTTGCTCGGGGGTTTGCTCGGTAAACTTCTAGAGGGAGGCAATCCAATGTGAATAGGAAGCTCATGAGCGGCATTAGTGGCGTTCTTTGCTGCATCAGCAGCACGTTCCTCTTCTTCGTGATCAAAGTGATCCAAGGCATGCTCGGAAGGTTTTGGCATCGCGTGTGCGGGATCCAAAATTTCGCCAACTTTTGACGGGGGTTGGTTCGGTACACGATCTGCTGGAGGAGTGATGGGGTACGGAGCCAAAGTCATATCTACTGGTGAGTGCTTTGTACTGTCCGAATCAAGGTTTGAAGGAGATCGAGGCGCATCGCTGTGGTCTGATTTTACGATCTTTACTTCAACGGGTGCAGGGCTCCCCGTTTTCGTAACGCCATCAGATTTTGTACGATCATCGTGGATAGCAATAACCTCCTTTAACTTCTTCCTATACTTATCTTTATCCTTCAAAGCACGATCAAGGTCTTTATTTAGGCCAAGTATCATAGCCCTTTGCTTATCCACCAGACGCCATAATTGAGCATTTTGCTGGGACTGTGATTGCTTCTCTTTTAATAAATACTGGATAACGGCCTCCGGTGAACCAGCTGCTCTTATAAGAGTCGCGATGTCGTCTTGCGTGCTTTGCTGCGAAGGCGCTCGCGACGATATTGCGGAAACTGCTGAATCAATCGACGATGTTCGAGGGGGGCCTCTCACAGTATCGGCCTTCGAGAGAGACGAACCACTCGCCATTTTCGGCAGGCTAGCAGTGGCGGAGCCTACTGACTTCGTCCTGGTAATGGGGGAAGGTAGACTTTGAAAGTCATTCGGAGAAAGAGTTGGGAAGTTTGGGCTACTTCGAGAGCGGTTAGTAACATCGCGGTCGCCAGCGGCCAATAAGATAGGCTGAACAAAATATCACTCCCGTTTCAGAACGTACCAATAATCAATCGTGGCCGGTGTCGCTGGCGGAGAAAGCTCGAGGAAGCTTGTGCCTGCTAGGGTGAAATGATAGGGTCGAGGTGGTTGCTGGGTTTGCCTAGGGGAGATTTTGGCCGATCCCGGCGTTGAAGGAGAAGGTAAGGGAGAGCGTGATTGCGTATCGAGAGCGGGCGATGGAAAGCTGGAGAGGTTGGGACTACTCGGCGCTGACCTAACAGAAATCGTTTGCAAAGGGCTAGGCGCAGCTTTTCGTTGAGATCTGGAGAGGGTGGTGAGATCTTGGTCAGCACTGGGACGATACTGTCATATTTTTCTGAATTCCGGCAATGAACAACTGCAATGACTTCTGCTGGCTTTACTGTTTCTTCCCCGTGCACTGGCTGGTTATCGTCGTTGCAAACGTAACGCGGCGTCTTCCTACAGGCCAAAGGTGCACATGCAAGAGCACGATTTCAAACGAATTCCAGCCAAGCGTATAGTTCCCTGAGAACGCAGCGTGTGCTCACGCCCAACAGAAATCGAGAGCTATCAATGCAAAAATGCTCGGTACACCCGACAGAATCGCGGCGTGGCAATGGCAGGTTCGATGCCGTAGTAGAGGTTGCGTGCAGATACAGGCACCATGAATAAAAGAACAGACATACAAAGAAGGAGGAGCTTCAAGTGGGAGGGGAGGAAAAACAAAGGGTGGGACGTCTGGCTTACTTGGCTGTCCGTGTGAAGGGAAAAGAAAATGAGGGTGTCGATGCAATGGTTGCAGTGGTTGTAGTCGCCGGGGTAGGATTCGTCGTCGCCGTCGCTGGGAGTGGCGAGGACGACGATGCTAACAGTTCGAAATCATCTGAAGGAGAGTCTGGCGCGGCTCTGCCGATGGTTGGACTATCTTGGATGGGCTGCTCGTTCTGGGGACCTGGCGGAGTCTCGCTGCGCCGGAGCGTTAGGTGCGACATAGCCCACACCTACCTGCTGTACGCTACCGCTATAACAGGTACCTGCTACCGCTGACGGCCCCAGCGAGCCCACTCTATAGCAGGTACCTGAGTCGGTACCCTGCGCGGCAAGTACCTGGGTATCCTGGGAATCCCAGATAGGCACCCTGGATGCTCCCTGGGCGCGCTATGGAATGCCCTATCGCGGTGCCTGGCGACGATGCGACTGTACGGCGCAAGCAGGTACCCTGGGAGTATAGATGATGCAACAGGACTGCACACGCAAGGACAAGCCGGGGTGTGATTGGTGTTGGTTGTTTCGCACCAGAGGTCAGAGCTTTCGTTACAACCCCCAACCCTGGAATTTCCCCGGCTGGCTTCTGCAACGGCTGTTGGCTTGATGCGGTTCTGTGCTGGGTGCTTGGTGCTGGATGCTCAATGCTGGATGCTCAATGGCTGGACGGGGTTGGGCAGGGTTCGGTTGTGGACGGTCAGGGTTGGCTGGTCTGGGTCTTCTCGCGTTCGCTGGTTTCGAGACGCTCCAGAGGGCCAAAAGAAGGATATGGCCCCGACCCTGATTTGCGTCGCATGTATCCGTATCCTGTACGCTACTTACACCCGCCAGAGACGATCGCGCAGTGAGGTGGACTTGTCACACAGACGGCTATATCTAGTAGCGGATGTAGCCAGGGTCCAAGCCCGCAAATCTCACCCTGCACTGACCGGCGACGGACAACGAAAGGAGGTGAGCGCCTACAGTGAGTCGTGTTGTACGGGGTGTTGTACGGATACCTGCCTCCTGCCTCGCAACCGCTGCGAACACCTCGCTTAGATGGGTATTGTACGTTAGTAATAGCCGGGCAGATGGCGTAATATGGAATGATACCAGAGGCTATAATAGCCAGAAGGTATAACAAAACCAACAGAGCGAGGGCGTGTTCTCTGGGTCACTTTTTCTTTTTCCTTGTTTCTGTCGCTGTTGGTCTGCCGTTTCTCTCTCCTCTCCCTCTCCCTCTCCCTCTCTGTCTCTCTTGCAGGGCGTCTCGCCAATATGGGAATCTCCACAATTATCAATTGTGATGTAGCAACTAGGGGAATGAAATAAATCAACGAAATCAGCTATGCAACGTAAAGCGAGACAAAACTGGGGATTGATAACTGAAACCGAGTCATCGAAGTAGCATCGAATTATAGGAGAATGAACAAACGACTGAGTGGCTGAAATGGATAGGAAGGCTGAATTTCTCAGAGAGTCAGGATTCAGGAACAGCGACATCCCATTTCGCCGTTCTCAGACCAGATAGAGCCCAGAGCCCACCCAGGCCTGCTGTACTCTAATTGACGGCCAGCCAGTCTAACCAAGCGTAGATTGAATCAGGGGTAAAGTCCATAGTCATGCCTTAGGTCCTCGACCTAACCTCCCTATCTGGATAAGACGGGCAGAGACGGGCAGAGACGAGCATCGACTACCTACAGTACAGTCTACAGCAAGTTGGCAGCTTGGTACCTAGGTAAGTACCTACCTACAGTATGTATGTATTTACACTACACTAACCCACATTGCTGCACTTTGGACATGCGCAGATGTGTTGTAGGTACCTAGTCGTAGGAAGGTAGGTATTGTATACGAAGTATATATGTATTGTTGCATTCATCTTGCCAGCGCCTGCAATACATCACGGAACTATAGGCTGGGGGATGCAAATCAATCACGGTCTGCACAAGATTGCGTGTAGGAGCCGACGATAGGATTATAACTCGTCGTCGTTGAGCCGTTAAGAGGCAAGTCATTCATTTGGTCAGGATCGTCGAAAGGAGCGCCACCACTACGCTACCTGCATACCTAAGTAGGTACTTAGTAGGTACATGTGTCCCTACACGTAGGTAGCGTACATCCATTACAGTGGCACAGGTACAGATTCAGTAGCTGTCTGCCCCCCTGAACTGGTTGCGCTAGGCGGGTTCTGGCGGTTTTAGCGGACTAGCCGCTAGGGGCGGCACGCTAAAGACGAACCCCTGATCCACTCGCGGCCGCCACTAACGATTTTTTTCCTCTTTGGCAACCTGCTAGCAACCTTGGAAGTCTAGATAAGGCAGGCGAATTGAATCCTTATTTCTATTTGCGACAACACAACCGCGCCAATGGGCATGGAAACATTGACAATTCCATGCGTATATACCGTTGGTGTGTTGTATGGATGGGATATATAATACATCTACTCTCCCTAGATATGTCTGAAATGAGCTTCTGTGTGTAGGGTATATAAACTCTACCCAGGTACCGACTACCTACTATGTAGGTAGGTAACGCCAACCCTCGTCAACACGTCCACGTGCAGATGACAGACACTAACTAAGTGGGTAGAAAGGGATTGTACGCATGGCGATACTGTCAATATAGGTAGACTCGGGCGCGTGACATGTACATACATACAGTACACGTGTGGAATTTACATAATATGCTTTGCCAAAGTCTCTAAGCGAAGTGCAGAGTTGCGTGTCGTCCGCAGACTTGAATGAATACCTAGCTGTGGACGACGAAGCAAAATTTCATATCAAAGCATCCATCCATATGCCAGCATTGTCCAGGGTTCACCCCAGATAGAGCCCCGGATTTAAACGACCATTTTAAAACGACCCTGGGCTGTACTCAGTACAGTCACTACCTAGTGTCGCATACTACTTGGGCACAAGTTATGTGTGTATAATACTTACTAGGTATATAAGGTCAGATCAAGGTCATCGGATCGTTCCTGATATAGCAGGATATAGTAGGATGGATATATTAAACAAAGAGGGTGCCTGCTCTAGACCCGTTGTCCCGTGATAGATACCATTGGATACCGTGAAAAGAGAGAGTCGTCATTCTGCTATTCAATTGTCTCAGCACATACCGGTAGAGGTAGGTATACCTAGGTTGGTAGATATCCAAGCATTTGCTGTCCCTCGCCCATTGGGAGTAGGATGCGCAGACAATTTCCTACAGTTCCCACCTCAGAGCCAGCTCTGCCTACCTATCTCTACCTACCTGTGTAGGTATCTTGTAGGTATTTATTCGCCTGGTGGATGTTGGTTGTCTCTCATGTGCCCTGCAGGAGACTTCTGCAGGAACACGAATTGGGCAACCCTCGGTGGCCTTGGCAGGCCCTCGTCAGATCAGGATCTCGGTGGATCTGCCCGTCGACTCGAGCTTGTCCTCAACTTAAAAGTAAAGCCGAGTTGGAGATCAAACATCCTGTAGCCATGTGCCATCGACTCCGGTACATATCTGGTAACTCTGCTCCCTTTAATTCCGGTAGAATCGGTCATATCCCGCACGCGACCGCAGATACGCCGCATCCTTCCAGAGGAGACGATTACCTACTTACGTGGAGGAAGTACTCACAAGATACTGGCTGTAAGCAGGTACCGTAGGTAGGTAGATCAGTATATGGAGTAATATGTTCAAGTAAGGGACTACCTTGTAGTGGAGGTTAGCCATATAGAACTCAAACAACCGTCCCAACCAACGACATCGCAGAACAACTACTGCTACGATGTTCACGCAATATAGCGAGCAGAATGATCGGTCGATAGGTGCATACGGCAACTCTGTCTTGCCCTGCAACGTTGGCGCAGCGAATAATCGCTCGAGCCGACCACGTGTAGTTAGCTAGTTCAACGCAAGACGAAACACAGACCCAGATGGGCGTCCGGCATTGATATGCACGCAATCATTGCCCCCCCAAGACACCTCCCTCCACTCGCGCGCCCTTTTTAGGAAGCTCTTCGCAGCCGCCCTCAAATCAGTAATCAAACAACACGGCCAATCCAGTGTCAGACCCACCGATCTGGCGAAGGTGGGTGAGCTGGCGGTGTGATGGATTAGCATTGTCTGTCTGATACAACAACGCCATCGCGATTACGTACTGGACGTCGTCAGTGGATGTCAGTGGCTGTCAATGGTTGTTTTGTTGTGGTGTGTAGGTGCTGTATGTAAGTAATGCCATTGTTGTGGCTACCCTGCCCATCCAGATGCGCCATGATCTCAAGCCAGTAAGATAAAATGGTCTGAGGGTGTTTTGACGTTCCTCTTCGAGTGGCATTCTAGATCTCTCCTCCACCCGTCATATCTCTATATAGATCTAGTCCTTGCTTGCATCACTACACACGTTCAGCGTAACATCGCCTCGTGCTGACCGTGCACTCCTTACGAAACATGAAACGGTCGAATGAGAACAAAGCCGCTTGATGTTCATTGGTATCAGTGGACTGGCGTTCAGCCCGGGGAAGTTTGCTCAGACTCGGCTGACGAGTTACTCGTACTTAGTTGTCAGCTGCTGGCGCATCGAAAGATATGATCAGGCGGAGGCAGATTTTACTTTGGAGTGGTGGGTGGCCAGCCCAGCCGCAAGGGGCCTCTTTGGCATTGCTCGAGTTTAAGATACACACTACGCACCATCCTCATCGCCGCGAGAGACGCCATATTGGTTGCTTGCTTGGCCGGTCGACATCTAGCCCCTAGCCTAGTGATAATACCTTCGTCTTCGTCATCACGTCCCATTCCCATTCCGCCTGACGGATAAACCCCACAAGCATACCAAATAACCGGAAACGTATAGTAGGGTATGTCTGGGGAAAGTCTTCGGGTTTTCCCCATGAGCCATAGCCATAGCCACAACGATATGCCTTGCGTGTCCCGGCTCGGCCCCCTTCCGGCGGGCTTTCGTAGATCACAGGGCCGTGAAGACCTAGGTATCTCTAGGTTGCACTCCGGGCTGTGCATCAATCGGGTCAGCGCTCGGCGAGCATCTCCTGCTTCTCTGCCGCCCGGGACCAAAGTCAAGCTCAAGCATTGATCCCCAGTAGATGATGCTTGCAATCAAACGAGAGAGTGGTGTCTCGTGATAGGCAATTACAATGTCCGCTTAAGGCGCACGCTGGCCGTGATTCAATTGCTAGCGATCGCGTCAACTGCTCTCTACACGAAGCGGCAGCCATCAAAAATTACCTTCTGGCACGGGTAAAATTCGGCACGGTTTCGAGCCGAAAAGTAACATTACATTCTGTGGAAGACAAAGATAGTGATCTTCTGTTGGCGTATCAGGATGTTAGACGGGCAGCGAAGAAAATGACCGCAATCACCAATTCCACACTACGGGATCCTACCTGCCCGTCGGCCCAATTGCCTTGTTGACGACATCACAGATCGGTATACGGAACCAGCCGTCTAATTTGCTCATGTAATCAACGGCTCTCTCCGACGACAACTCTCTGCGAGACAGAAGGATTCCTTAGCATGTTGCATACCTACAACAGCATTACGTGTATTGGCACACCTATACTCTCTACTCGATAGCAGAAATAATTCCCACCAATAGCCAAAGGACGGTCAAAGCAGCACGTAGTACTCATAGCACAGGCAGACCCCGTGTCCTCTTTTTCTGCGGCAGAATAGTGCACGGTTTCAGCATGGGTTTCAGCTAGAGGAGTATAGTAGATCAGAGTGCCGAAACTTTGCCCCGTACAGCCCGGCACCATAATTGCTATACTTAGTAAACAGTCTGGGGTCACTTGGAGAAGAGGCACACGACCTACCTATACCATTTTTGACACTCTCAGTCACGACGTGGGCAACAGAGCAGAGCTTCAGAGTTGATACGAGTTCGTACGGGCTGGGTACAATGCGGCTGGTGTTTCAACAGAAAATGACTGCATTGCTTGCATCGCGAATTCGATCTAATCCGTGATCCTTGTCTTTTGAATTGCTGGGGCGGTAACTCCTGTCCAATTTAAATCGGTCGATTGACGACATATCAACCACCTTTTTGGTCTCGGTGCAGTTTCCTGCATCTTCCTAGGCAATGCCCCGATATCATAGACCAAGCGTCTTCAAAGAGCTTAACGCTCAGGTCCCGCAATATGATTCTTCACAAGCCAACTAACTACCTCTACTGCCTCTACATGGAAACATCTTGAATCATATAACAGACCATATATAAGGTTGTTGTTACCGCATTGCTGTATTGGTCCACCTGCATTGGGAAACCTCATCGCTATCAGAATCATATAGTCTCAGGTGTTAGTTTACATAATATTTCCGTATCATCATAAGGGATGTACTAAGAGCGCTATAAGAGTGGCATGCATATGACTGCGTGTATAGGTCGAATATGCAAGTGGATGATATGATATGGTGCCTCTAGCATACGTAGCGAACATGATCGGGCAGATTGAACGCAACATATTGCAGATTCCTAATGGCTCCGAACTTATCATGCTAGAGTGACACGAACTAAACAACACAAATAGGCCCAGTTATCACAGACATCTATGTAGTAGAGAATTCTTCGCGAACAATAATGCCCAACCAGCATGAACCAATATCAAGACCCACCCACGTTAACAAATTTCTTCGTTATCCAAGAAACGGGGTATCAAGTATTAGTGACTTGAAGTAGCCATGAAGAGTACCAACTTGGTCGATATCATTGCAAAACGAGTCTTCAGTCGAGAAATACAACATACCAATCTTGACAACCCCTCAACCTAAGTCTAAAGTAAGTAGTTGGGACTAAAAAAAATCTCGACCAAATCAAAGAGGAAGCTTTTACCACTTCAACTCCAAGATGAGATAGAATCTAGTCTACCTTCTTGTTTCCCAAGTTTGACTATAGTTTCACACACAACCCTCTTAGTCGTCTGCTATGAAGACATTACCAACAACGAAGCCACTGAAATTATAAGAGTATGAGAACAGACGAGGCATGAATATGAGATGATTTGCCACCAATCGACCGCGACCTTTCGACTTCTGAGACATGTCTGCTTGAAAATGCCCTTATAGTTCGAAATCAAAACTTGTATAATTGGTAACTATGTCGCTTAGGATCCCATATTCTAGTCACTTACGAAGTAGGCATTGCATATCGGTCCACTCCACGTGGATGGCAAATAGACAAACAAAAGTCCCTCACATTCATCTTGCCTCTGATTTACACAGCAGCTGAAATCTCGTTTAGACCATAGTTAAAATTTCCAATTGCCCTGGTTTGTTACCTATAGTGCATGAGTAGTTTCAATAGCTATAGCTATCTATTTCCATGGCAAGCATCCCATCACTATAGAGAAATAATAACTAATTGACGACATTGCAGCATCTCAACAGCCAATAAGGGGTGCCAGAGAAGACAGAAAAATAAGGGATGCCACTTCACCAACATGAAATAGCCCCAGCTTTTCCCGTCTCGAAATATAATACGTAGCTTCAACTCAGGTTATTGACAAAAAAAAAACTAGGCGATAAAATGGAACGTAACTAAGTAAGGATCCATGTGCGCCCAATCCTGACTACGAAGGGGTATCGCTGAATGTTGCTGCGCATAACAGTCGGATGTCCGCGCGAACGAGGTCACGAACGTAAGATCACCTATTAAAGCTATCGGCAGAGCATGAAACAAGTAACTCTGAACACACACACACACACACACACAAAGGAACACAATACTGAGCCATCTAGTCAACCTCGCGCTTAGCTTTAGATTGCACAAGACGCGATGCTCACAGTTTCATCTCAAACATACAGTAAGTATACACAAATGCCCTGCGGAAAAGTCCGCACCACGCTAGTTTAGATGCCATCGTCCTCCGTGGAGACAGGCGGGCGGATGGAAATAGAAAGGTCTCCAGTTCGGCAGAGGCACACGTCACCTACCGCTGTCAACAAGGGATATGGCGGAGTCGCCGTGTACTTAGTCTACACATAGATCCTAACAATCGGCGTTCGAGATATGTGGGGAGGGTTGTTGTTCGTTTCGTTTCTCATAGCGTCAGCAGATATCTGACCGACCAGGTAGGTCCCAGGCCGTTTCGTTAGCCCCATGGAGCTAGCTAGACAGCTGGAAAAGCATACAAGAAGCGTTCCAGATCGACGCCACGCTTTATACACAGGAAGACTAGTCGTGCTTCAGTGAAGGCATATCAACAAGGTCGCCGGGCTGGACAGACAAGGGGGATTGGTTGGTTGGTTGATGGGTCAGTCACTAGGTACCGAGTGTAACATCAACACCAAGGCCGCAAATCACATGTTCCATTACAAGTATCTGTCGGGAGACTACACCACAACACACATTTGAAGTACTTATAAGTTCAGAAACCAATCATCATCGCAGTGGGGAAGAAGCAGAAGGCCCGAATAAGAAGTTTGGCAATTCACACTGGACAGTGGAGAAATGCGAGTCAGAAAAAAAAATACAAAATAAACGTCTGTAAATTGCCCCAACAGGGAAACACCTTGCATCCAGCCTCAACATCGCGAAGCGGCCACGAATAGACGCGCTCCACGTCTGGCAGGTGCTGCCTCGTCGATCCTGCTTGTCAGGTACCATACTTACATATTATATATACAGGCTCAGCCCATTTCCACAACAAGAGACGGCTTGAATCAATCAATCAATCAATCAATCAATCAATCGATCAATCGATCGATCGATCGATCTGCCTTACTATGGTTCGATCCAACCAACGACTATGATAGAGCGATGCTACTATGAAGTCTTCTCAAAACGGCATCAGGATCCGAGACACATGACGCTGATAATGCGACCACACTCACAAGAGAGCAAATGCGATATGACGATGTTAGTCATTTTTGAGTATTATTGATTTCCTATAATGTGCACTTGAGGTTCGTAGCGCTTATATGAATGGTGGTACGACGGCCACGCAACACAGACTTGATCTGTCCGTCTGTCCCCCAAACGCCAAATGTACCAGCAGGCAGGCAGGCTCCAGCGGACCACGCCGACCAGGCCAGCCAGCTATGTTGATCCCCGTCCCATCGTCCTCCGCATTAAACAATTACATCATCATAACAACCCCCCCGGTAGGACGCAAGATCAAGCAGTTCATTTGCTCGCCATTCATTCCCAACGCCGCAGACACCTGATTCTCACAGTGTGTACCCGTATATATCATCTAATATGAAGTAAAAAGCAAGAAAACCATCTCCACCAACGCGCTATTGTCAAACTGTCATGACATCATAATATAACATAACAAGGAAAGTATATAACATGAGAAAATAAGGTAGAATAGTAGTGGTGGTAGTAGTAGTAAATCAACAAATGAACGACAAGTAAATAAATGATAGATGGCATAAGACAGATTAGTTAAGTGAATAAGTAAGAATTTATAAAAAAATAAAAATAAAAAAAAAAGTCAGAGAGAAAACGCATTAAAGTTAGTCGCGAATATATCGTCTCCGACGATGATCCTCGATGACAATCTCGCGGTCCGGGCTCCGCCTTCTCGGCTCGTAGCGACGCGGTGCCTCGATGTACCGGTACGTGTCGTACTGCGGCTCCTGCTGCTGTACGACGGGGTACGGCACGCGGACGGGCACGGGCACGAGCTTCTCGCGCTCGATGTACACCTCGCGCTCCCGGCTATGGCTGTGCCTCTTGCTCCGGCCGGAGCGCGATGACTTGTAGCTCTTGGAGGATTTGCGCGAGGATGTCGTCGATCCCGTCTCCGAGGGGTCGACGTCCACGGCGATGACGTCGATGGGGGAGTCGGGCCGCTCGGGCTCGACCTCGATGGGCTCCGGGAGGGGAGCCGGGGGCGGTATGATGATCGGTGGCGCGACCTCGATGACGGTAGGAGCGGGTTCTGGCACTGGCATTGGAACCGGCGCAGGTAGCACCCGGACGGGTGGTGGTGGTGGAGGCGGTTGTGGAGGCGGGACGACGGTGGTGACCCGTCGTTTGACAGTCACGGCGCCGTCGAAGGGCGGCTCTAGATACAGGACTTTCTTGTATTTGCCATACCGCTTTTCCCGGGGCACTGAATAAATGGTAGACATGTCGTCAGCAGGTGTTGGCTCTCTGTTACCAGGCGAAGGATGGCGATGGTGTTGGTAGTTGATTGTGTGCTAGGAGCCAAGTGATGACGATGACGTCGACGATGGTATTGACGACAGTTCTTGTAAGATTGTGACTTGATGCTGAGGTTGATGATAATAGAAAGTGAACAGCAGTGAGAGGGGTAGCAGACAAGAGTATGTGATCTTCAACAAGAGTAAGAAACTAGTTGCTGACCTGTTGAGACGTAAAAGTACATCTCGTGGGGAGATCGGTGAGATCCTGCTTCTGATATAGACTAACAGCCAGATGCTAGATCCGGGTGCAGGGAAATGCTTGGCGTGCTGGGCTAGCTACACCAAAAAGCTGCCGTGGAATCTGTTGGTGGAGGGTCTGTGTGGACTACGTCACGGCCTGGTGGGCGGGGAGGGGAGCCTAGGCAGATTAGCTGCGATCGGATTGGGCTCACGACGAACACAACACAACGTCTGGCCCACGGAATGGAATGCAGGGTCCTGTCACTCACTTGCGCAGCCAACCGTCTGGTAGGTACTGGTCTTACAGGAGTCAAAACAAGCTGTGTAAGCTGCGCTGTGATCGGGGTCACGAGCGGTGAGTCGGCTGATTCAACAAGATAGGCGCGCGTCGGGATGGAGGCCCTACGTTGGTCTCGTGGATAGCTGGAATTACAGTATTAGGGTGAATGTGTCTACTTGTGTGTTTGGAGATTAATTGGTAGCTTGATCGCTCGATGGAGAGCTCTCTTATGTAGGTAGTAACGAAAGTATCGGATGCAAGCTAGAAGACCCTTTTTTGCAAAGACGGGAAAGGGAAGCTTCACAACAATAAATAACAGCAGCTAGCAGCGTGTGCATTTGCCGAACACACCAGTTCATCCGCGCCGCCAGCATGATCGACCAGTCAGGCACGCAAAGGCTATCATCCTAGGTAGCCCTCTCTCGTCAGATTAGGCTGCCAGCATTGAATTTCCGAATGTTGTGGCCTCTGCATCCAGCGTACTATAAAACGCCATGGCAACAAAAAGGAAGGTTGAGGCCATTGGGCAGACATTTCGCCCCCCCTTCCTCCCCCCCTCCAGCCTGCTGCTACTGTACCTGCTACTGGTGAATTGGGTGCGAAGCGGCTTAGCTGAGCATAATGACGAAGCAGCCCATCTTGGCCGGTCCGGCTTCATGCGAAAGCAGCAAATAGCTCGACGGCACCCGGCAAGGAGGGTTGGACAAGCCAGGATCCAGTGACGTCGTGTTCCATAATGGTGGGCAGACCAGAGGGCAGACGACGGCATCAGGGTCGCAGCAAATGAAACTACGGAGCTAGATGTTTCCAGTAGCACGAAGCAGCTGACAGGCGAGCAGGGTCTTCCTTGCGCCGGCCCTTTAGCCTTTGCAGAGCCCTTTGGGCTTGGATTTGAGGCGTTGGAGAGTGGGCGCACAGGCCAATGTGCCGTAGATCATGGCCGCATCGGTCTCAATTGGTGCCCCTCGTTGGTCGGCTTTCGTAGATATCACAACAAGAATGCTTCCATGCCATCCCCGACTACTGCCCGACGTCAAAAACCGTCTGACTTATGTCTGGTTGGCGGGGCATGGTGCTTTGCCAGGCAGTCCCGGTTGGACAACGTGTACAAAACTGGCTGTGCAAAGTAAGTAAGCCGGCGTTGGCTGACGCGCTGGGTCGACACGTCAAGTCTAGCGAAGTTTTCTAGACTGTTTCTGCTGCTGCGAGGGCCGGAGCTCGATTCAACGCCACCGGTAGGGACACGGAATACCACACACTAGTTTGGTTCTCGACATGCACTTCAGCCTTTGCGCGACGGCGAGCATGCTGTAAGGAGGGAGACATCGGGGCTGCCTGATTGCGACCATCAACATGGCATCTAGGCCAGAGCTACAGAGGTAGACTTGAGTCATCAATGCGTAATGCCACGTCTTGGTATTATCATTACTGCATATATCAGCAGTAGCTAGCCCGTTCACACAGCAACATTCTCTTCAGCGATAGTCCCTAGACATTCTAATGGTGAGGGGGCCGCCGACCGAAACATCAAATCTAGTAAGCCATTCAACACTGAGGTACTGTAAGCTTTTTTCAACCAAGTGAAAGATGACAACGCTTCCTTTGATGGAGCACATATATGCATTTCTTGACCGAGCCGTGCGCACTGTCTCCTGCGAGATCCCGTCGTCGCCTGCAACACAGCAATCGAGCCTATCTATAGAAAACTCAAATGGAGGACATATCATTGACAGCGTAGTGGTGGCAAAGCGGTATCAGTTGAATTATCGGTTCCGGTCAATTCGGCCACCATCTTCCGCAAGAGCGGCAGAGACGGGGCAATCACACAATATTCGGAGTGTCGATCTTCTAAGCGTAACCAGTAACTAGATCACACGCCTTAACGGCGCAACGGCCCACCGGCGATGCCTCGCCAACGCGCAGGAAGGCTGCGATATTATGTCAAGTATAGCTAGATAGCATTCCATATTTGCCACTTGGGTACACATAACGGTGAGGGTCAGCTTATACTCAATCATTGTATTGGGTATCGAGAACAGTTGTCTATGAAGCAAACACCTCGATCTACATGCTCGCTGATGCTATGCAAACTCAATTAAAATGCTGGGATGTTAAATCCAATCAAACTGGCTTAACCATGAAGATCTACAGAGCGTTAGCAAGCCTTCATTGGAGAATGGACTGAAACGTTGACACACCTGGTTCATTGCCTGCATGTCGCTATATGCCATCTTTTTAGAAGCAATATAGCGTGATCTTGCCAGATGGCGAGCCGAGAGATTTTGTGGAGTCGACGCGCCAGTGTTGCTAGGCGTCGAAGTGCCACTGTCCTGAGGTGTCACGGCTGAAGAATTTGACGTCGCTATGGCTTCACTACCCTCTGCACTGTTCGCTTGTTTGCGCTTCTTGTCTCTCTTTTTCTCCTTTCTTCTGATTTTCTCCGATGTATCATCTTCGGATATTTCCGCGGAGCTGTTGGAAAGCGCTGTTTGCTGCGAGACATCTTTGGATTTCTTGCTCTTCTTCCGTTTTACCTCCGATTCGGCCTGTTTTGCACTGTTCTCCTCTTCCTGGACCTTATCCGAATGCTCTGACCTTTTCCTCTTCTTGTCCTTTTTCTTTTTCGCCGACTTTTCTGTTTCTGCCTCGTTGCTTTCCGATTCCTTATCGGCCTTAGAACGCTTCTTCCGTTTCTTTCCTGATTTGCTGTCTGAAGCATCGCTGCCCTCAGACTCGCTAGCTTTCCGCTTCTTGGATTTCTTTTCTTTTTTCTCCATCTCTTTCTTCATGGTTTCAGGTTCAGAAGCTTCCGATTTCGGCTCTTCCTTGACGGGTGTTGTTGCTGGCTTGTTGTCGACTAACTCCTGCATCTTCTGATCTCCCACTAAAAAACCTCCGCTGACAAACCTCATCGGACCGTACTTCCTTTCGACAAATAAATTGGTCTTGATCTCGGAGCGCACTTGTCTCTGTTGCTCAAGCGCCTCTTCCGACTTCCCGTTGAGCCGTCCGAGGAGGTCTTTGAAGACATCCAAGCCAGTGCACTCATCGCTCTGTTTCTGGCGAATTTTCGCGCCTAGACCGAGGGTGTCGTCTTTCAAATTGATCTTTATGGGCGCAAGACTCGCAGCGCTATGCAATTGTGAATGTGCACTGTCCTGGGCACCTAGATATTTACCCGGCTCCCATCCCTGGGAACGAAGGATCTTCTGGCCGAACGTCGTCTCGTCGCGAGTCCATCTCGTGTTGTTCGGATCGTAGTCCAATTTGCGGCGGCTGCATAGAGTAATTTAGCATATGCATAATACATTGCATGTGATAGAGCCAAGTTCTGTTATAGCTTACAATTTCGGTCCTGAGAGACCCATTGTGTCGGCTGGTAATCTGCTGCAAAGCGCCTCGAAAGATGAATGCAGAATACCAGACACGATCACGATGTAGGTGTAAATGAGCTTTCCTAGCAGGTCCCAAATTTTTGACGATAGGTAGGCGGTTAGGTTCAGTGGGGTTCTCGCCGATAAGGTTGCCGGCTGGCTAGGACGCATTGACAGCTGGCGCATTTCATACCTACACATACATAGTCGAGATAGTTTACTTACCTAGGTAGTCCTTGGAATAGGGGCTTGTACAACAGCTTCTTCTGTCCGCTGCACTGTCTTGACAAGGAGCAGAAGAGAAAAGAATTCAGACCTTGTTGATTCATCTAGTGATTTGGGATAAGGTGCTACGTGCGAAGAACAATTCTAGATGCCACTCAGAGACCAATCTATGAGATATCATGAGCAGCCATGAGACCATGAGACGCTAATTTAACCAGATAACCTCAATGCGGCGCTGAAATGGATGTGCGAGTATTCTACTGAGCATGTAGAGAAACTGAAAGAAGGGGAGTGAAAACATGTTGGGCAGAAGAAGGTAGCTACTGGCCTTGGAAAAAATACTCCGCGCCTTCCTTACTATTCAAGTTGACACGAGCAAACTTGAAATTTTTGCCATGCAATGTATAATGAGACATATCTTGATCTTTTCAATGCAAAATTTCCTCTTTCACAATGTGATATGAACTATTGTTACTAAGGTACGGTAGTCTTCTAAGACGAGATCTCAATTGATTATCTAAAGGGGGCTTAAATACATCACACAAACCGGTGCCGCATCTGCACTCGTGGATACCATCAATTCGCAACCAGAATGCCACCCAAGCGCAAACAAAAAGAGGTTGAAGACATCTCTGACTCGGAGCCATACACAGAGGCAGAGCCTGAAATCGAGATAGGGAGAGAGGACACAGTTAAGTTGATACAGAGAATCGTATGCCTTCCTCTATCCCGGGTAGAGAGAGCTTCTGTACACACCATAACCCAAATAAAGATTAACCACCAGAGCCCAAATAATCAAGCGTATGCCAATCAAGTATGGTGACTCCAGCTGATAAGACGTGTTGTCTCCGGCGGCATAGGAAACGCTCGCGAACAAGCGCAACACCAGACGCAAGGCAATCAAGGCCGAGTTCGACAAGTATATCGACGAGATGAAAGAAGCGATAGAGAAACATCACGCTTCCAAGGCAGAGAAAAGGTAAGCAAGTCCAGGCTACCCAGGCAGACCAGGACTACTGTTTCACAAGCACATTGCTACAAGTGGCGGATAGCTGGTCGCAATTTCGTCACCCCATAGCCTCGATGCTACACATCATGTCGATCATTGACCTTTCCCAACTTCCTTCCCACCTATGACGACTTTACCCTTCACATACCACGGGGGTATCTCTATACCATAACCAACGCCGAGCAAACGAGCATAAAAAACTAACTCTTGCCCCCTAGATCCAACGAGATCAAAGCCCTCCTAACCCGTCGTGCCCAAGCCCTCGAAAAGCGAGCCGCCATCGAACGCGACATCGCGAAGCTCATACAGGAAACCCGCGAGAACACAGAGGATCTCATGGTCGTCCTTGAGGCAGCTTACGAGGGAGGATGTCAGAAAGCCAACGATGCAACAGGGTCCTTCGCATCTCTAGTGACAACAAAAACCGCAGCGCCTGTGCCTGCGCCTATCACGCCCCCTAGCCCCATGAAGACACGGCTGTACGATATACTAGGCGAGGCTAAGATAGATAGAGGTGAGAAGGGAGGTCATGGTCAAAGCGATGACCCCGCCAAAGATGCTGAGCATCAAGACAAACGTCTCAGCAAAGCGGATTTCTTCGAGAATATTGCGTGGTGATCAAAACAACGCTATCTAAAGCACATCAGCACACATCAGAGGATGATCACGGGCGAATCTATGTAATAATGATCTTGCTTGATAAAAAGTTCATATAGCTAAGCTACCCAGCTAGACCGATGTTGCTGTCGCAGAGCGAGTACAAGAAGTCACCATGGTAATCTTAATCACAATCATATCGCACACTAATAATTGATCTCAAAACCAACACTTCATTTCTCACACTGCTTGCTAAAATACCGCGGCGGTCCGAGAACCGGTTTTGACAGGCCGATCAAGCGCAACTCTAATTAAGATACACTCAAAAAGTCGACAGTGTGCCCATCCATCTATCGACAACGATAGTCCGCGGCTACTCTGCTCTATAAACATAAACCCTCAAGACACCAGCCATCTATCCCGGCTGGGTAAATCCCAATTCATTCATTTCATCACCAAACCACGTACATATGGGAAAGGGAAACATTCCCTAACGACAAGCCGCCTTTTCCGGGGGGTATGAGTTTAATTGCTTTTATGTGGTCTGCCCAATCTCTCTCTGTGTGTCTGTCTAGCGCAGTTAGAGACAATGCAATGCGAAGGTAGTATAGCCACCCCATTTCCTTCTAGTGATAAGCCTTGTGGCCAATGGGGAAAAAAATCCATGGAATCGCCGTCTTCTTATGCCCTGTATGCGTCTATATCTGTGTCTTCGAAGGGGACTTGTCTAACCCCGAATCCAATTGCATCGAGTCTTGATGGGAAATATAGGTAGGTTTTAAAAACAACGCCATATGTAAATGCGCATGGAAGGGTGTGGACAACGGGAGTGTGCAATGCCAAAGTAAAGAGTAAAACCAAGCTGGTTATGTGACGGCTGAAGCCGAGCCAAAAATTGATGAAGTCATTAATACCGTCGCTGATGATCAGGCTTCCTGCGAGGCTGCTTGTGCAGCGTTCTCTTCCTCGAGAAGCATGAGCTTGCGGCATTGTTGCTCGACGGACTCGCTCTCGGCATCGTCGTCAACAGGAATATTACCCTCGACGATACGGGCAAGCATGAGTTTCTTGACGCAAGAGTTGAAGATAAGCCTCTCGACAGAATCCCGAGTAAGAAGACGAATGACCTCGACGTCCCGCGTCTGTCCAATGCGGTGTGCGCGGTTCGATGCCTGTACGTCGTCTTGCGGGTTGTCCGATTGGTCAAAGATGATAATCTTGTTGGCGGCTGTGAGGTTTAGGCCAGTACCACCAGCGCCCGTAGTTAGGAGAAACACTGGTATGTCCGGGTTGGCGTTGAATCGCTCGATTTCAGGGAAGCGATCGGATATATCGGTGCTTCCGGTCAACTCGCAATACTGGATATTGGCGAAAGCCAATGTCTCGCGAAGGATATCGATGACAAGATCGAATCGGCTGAAGACAAGGACACGGTCCCCGTTCTCAATATAACCACGAACAAGTTCAAGGAGTTTTTGAACTTTAGGGCCCTCTTCCCAAGAGCGGTGAGGGATATCAAAATGCCCGATGTACTTTTTGAAGTGCTTGCACTCTAGGTGCAGCTGAAAGTCTGACTTCTCCATATAGTTTTGAAGCAAGAGTGCTTTGTGACGGTCAGCCTTGCTTTGGACATATAGCTCTTCCTCGCTACATCTATCCCATAGAATGTCAATCATCTCCTTGACAATCTTATCAGTGAAGTGGACGCGGAAAAGTTGGTGATGGATTGCTGCCTTGCGAAGTTGCATCCAGGGATGAGCAACGGACGATCCCCGTTGTTTCATAGGTACAAGGTAACGCCCCTTGATTTCGTCATAAATGGCTTTCTGCTTAGGATGCATTTCCACGACTATATTGTGTTCGGTCTTCTTCGCCAGGTCGAGAACTTCTTCTTTTCTACGCTGTAGGATGAACGGGGCCATGATTGCACGCGCGTTCGACACCCTCTCCTTAGCTAGCGCTGCAAAATTGTGAATCTCTTTGCTTGGAACTTTTGCCTCGAAGATGATATCAAGCGACTCAAAGATCTCAGCACCAAATAATTCTGGCTCCACAAAGTGCAGGAGTGTTAGGAGTTCCTTAAGATTATTCTGGACGGGGGTACCACTAAGGATCAAGCGCCACTCCGTTGGGACTCGCATCATCTGCTTGTATATCAGATTCTTGCGGTTCTTCAGCTTGTGGCCCTCATCAAATATTGCAGCATAGGGTTCCAATTCTTGCAACCAACGAAGGTCTTCTTTCGCCCTCTCCACTTGAGAGTAGCTGGTTAAGATCACATGATTGTTACGAGCCTCTTCGGGGTCCATGTTACGCCGATCTTTCCCTAGATATGGGCAAACACTTAGCTCCGGAGCGAATCGTTCAAATTCAGCCATCCAGTTCTCACATACACTGGGAGGAACGACAACTAGAAAGGGCCAAGGTCTAGTTTTGCCAGAGTCCTCATCATACGTGCCGACTAGATGAGCAATTATAGAGATCACTTGACAAGTTTTGCCCAGTCCCATATCGTCTGCAAGAATGCCGCTGAAATGTTTCGAGTGAAGCATATTCATCCAATTCAAGCCAAGAAGTTGATATGACTTTAGTGTGACACCATCGGCCATGAGACGAGGCTTCTCTGATATTGGTAATGTACCATCCTTTTGGATTTTGCCATTCTTATCCATTGGCCAATTGGCCATGGCTTTCTGTAGTTTGGCACCCCGATCTTCGCATTGCTTGATCACCTCGGATGCTGCATGAAATGCTTCAAACCAGGAGGTCAACTTTTCGACAAATAAGGAACCAATTTGAACACGCTTGGCCTTCGTCTTGGATTTCGTCTCTTTCTTTGACACACGCTCTGCATCTAAAACTGAAGCGAAAGGGCGAGATGATATAATCAACTTGGAATCTGCTGCAGAGAAACCGGTCATCTGAGCGAGTGACTCAGCAGTACACGAATTAAGATAGTTGAGGACCTGCTCGTGACGTGGCGATTGCTGAACAGTAGGGGTCACAGTTGTTTGTTCAAGGTCAGATTCCGATGGAACATCAACAGGTTCAGGCTCGACTGGCGATTGAGCTTTTCGCTTGCGTGAAACAGTCTTGTTTGCCGGAGTAAGTTTCAAGTCAAATTCCGAATCTGAGTCCGAATCTAATGTAATGACTGCAGCTGGAGGCGAGCGGTTACGACGGCCACGCTGAAGTCGTCGGCGGGGCTGGGTGACAGGCTCAGGCCTAATAGGGGATGCAACCGCTGCCATTGTAGATTCCTTGCTAGAAAATTGATGTTCCGACCGCGCCGGCGTGGTTGGTGCTGAGGAAGCCGAGGAGGAAACAGAGAATACGGGCGGAGGTGTAGGTGATCTGTTCTTTCGTCCCTGAACCAAGCGCCTGCGTGGGGGAAGAGGATTGCTCTTGTTGAATGAAGACTCTACAGAAGAGTATGGAGTAGAGGTGGAATTAGAAGTAAGCGAACAATCCTTTTGTGTGGATTTTTGTGAAAGGGAATTAGTTGAGTTGGAGTTGTCAATGGAGCTATTAAATGATTTGAGTAATGTTTGTTGCTTTGGTTGACTAGGCGTTTTGGACAAAGCACTGCCCGTCAGTAATTTTACCGCCTTCGCGACTTGCCATCCCACGCCACTTGTTAGGGCATCTCGACAAGCTTTGATAGTAATAGAAGGCTTTGACTTCGATACAATCTTGTGTACTTCTTTTGTCAAGTGCCGTAACCTCACGTCGTGGATGTCCCTGAGTTCAATATCACGGTTGGCCTTCCATGAAGGCTTCGTTTCAATGGATTCGAGGGGAGCGGCATTTTTTAGGAACGAAGAAGGTTTGATATCTCCTCTCATAGGAGATTCATCCCCTGAACTGTCGCGGTGCTTATAGTCTTCACTTAATTCATCATCCGACAAAGTCAAGTAGGTCTTCATCTTAGCAACTGGGCGCGCCACTGGTGGTCTAAATGAAGTCCCAGCTGGGGCCATTAGAGAACCGAGACGATTTGCTACCCCTCTTTGTGTCCCTACGGAGGGTGACACTTTAGCCTCCGATCTGGGCTGAAATGGTGATGAGGCGGGCACCTCGACGGTGTTACTCGGTGAGCTTGGGGCGATTGGCGAGGAAGGCGGGCGTAAAGTGGCCCTGCCAATGATTTGGGTGGGCTGGGTTGTGCGATCGAGAATCTGGGTTGGCTGCGTAGTTCGCCCGACAACTTGCGTTGGCTGCGTGCCTCGTTTTACGACTTGGGTTGGTTGTGTAAAGAATGGTGATGAGCATGGGATATTCATCATCAGCTCGTCAAGATCCTCATCGTCCAACTCGATATAGTCAGGCTCTTTAGCCTTGGGCCGGGCAGCCTTACCACCGCGCTGCATCTTGGGGGTCGCGGGAATTGAGGGGGAGCTGTTTCTTGCGGATCGCGAGGGCAGCGGCATTCCTGGGCAGGGTTGTTTGACTCTTCTTCAGCTTTTGAACCGAGGATATGTAGACACAGGCGTTTGAGGTGGATTGCGACGGTGTGGTGTTGACCCTATGAGGCTGAAGGCGTAAGGGGAATCATGTATATATGGTACAAGTGCACCACCATATAAATATCCCCGTCTCTTTTTTGTTCCACCCCTCTACTTCATAGGATCATAGTTTCTCGGTATTTTACTTTTGTTTTTTCGGATCAGATTCGATTTCGATTTCGGTTGGACGAGGGGCAAGTGGGAGGCGGTCTCGGAAAGAGTTATTAGGTTGAACTTCTGAAGCGCCTAGGTAGATGGTGGAGGTGGTTGGGAGGACAAGATGGGCAAGAGAAAGTACCCAAAATTTTTAGGCCAGCGGCGACGTGATTGAGGACCCCAATACCGGTCCAGTGGGAATTAAAACGCGGTCGAGGACGCGGCACGGCAATCGCGCTATCAGCTGACTGCGGGGGGTTGGGTTAATTGAAAAGCGTTTGGCCCGTGCACATGTTAATTCAGATTTCGACTTTATGGTTTGTTTATCGTTATGAGTGGGCGCCCAAGCTACTTCACATCAATCAGGTTCATATATATCGTACCTAGTAGTATACCAGTATATTAGCTTGCTCAGGTATATTTTGAGGCCGCAGTCTTATCAATCTGTCAGGTGATGGTAGGTGATGAAGCTTACACCGCTCTTGAAACCTCAGAAAGTAGGCAGAAAAGGTAGGAGAGGCAAATTAATAGCAAGTAAATAAAACAGTTGACGTGACTGACACCCTTTTATCTGGTAGGCTACATAAGTACAGATGCATGCAGCTTTCTAGATGACCCAACATGCCTTAACATAATTACCCAGATACATACAAGTGAAGAGGGAGAGAGGGAGAGAGGTTAGCTCCATCACTGAACCCAAGTGAGCAGTCCATTATGGCTGGTTGGTTACCTGAATATGGACGTAGATGTACTTGGATATGTGGCACGCATACATACTTGTAGTAATGGAACAAAGAACTGAGCTGTCATCGAGGTCAAGATTTCCAGAAAGAGATTGAGTGCAAAGCGGGTAGGTAACCTGAAGTTTGTACCTACCTACCCAGCATGCTTACTTACAATAGCTCCCGATCGGCCCCACCTAAATCCGTACATGTACCTACCTACCTACTTCATCAATGTCAAAGTGAACCTCACAATAATCCCCAAGTCCACACAAGACCAGTCCCAGCTACAAAGGCGTCGAAGCTATACAATACATACATCAGACACACGTAACACCAAGCACTTCATCAGAACAGCCTCAAAAATGGCAACTCGACGCATAATCTCTTCTGAAAAGACCATCCTCGACAAGGACGATGATGACCTACAGTCCAGCTCTCAACCTGGCGGACAATCTAGCACTGCGCCGGCCGTGCCTATGTGAGTTATTCCGAAGTACTGTCTATTGGCCATCCGTACAATCCACCGGTCCTCCATTCCTCCAGTCTCTCTTCTCAATCAGGCCAATTAGTTGCCCAATATCTCCCCCAAAGACGAAAGGGGGAAGGGAGACTAGACTGGCACCTCATCAAAGCAAACCAAATGTGATCAAATCCTTTTCAAAAGCTAACAATGACCCTCTCCACTACCCAGGGACGTCATCCTCAAGCTCCTAGCATTCACTCTCGCCATGATAGTTATTCCCATCGGCTCCTACTTCGTGACAGTAAACACCATCTTCCGCGGTAAGTCTCCCCACACAGCTCTTCCCTCATCCTCACCAATCGATCTCACCCAATCCCACCCCCCATCTCCATAAACCAAGCACACAAACCTCTCCTCTCCGACAAAGCTAGTTGACTCACTCACTCATCACATACAAAAAGGCAACTCGACCTACGCCGGCGCGCTAGCCGCCATCCTCGCCAACGTGGTGCTAGTGGGCTACGTCGTGGTGGCCATGAACGAGGACCAGAGCGACGTCCTCGAGGCCGAGAAGAAGCAGAAGTTGAAAGCGCGGCAAGGCAAAGCCGAGTAAAAAAAAAAAAAGCCACAAACCCAACCCAAAACAAAACTAAATCAGTTCAGAAGTAAACCCGCATCGAATCAGGTCAAATCGGATCAATTCATACCAGTTCGCCTCAGCTTAGCTTGATCATCAGAGGAAGCTCATGTAAAACATAGCTATGTAGCTCAAGCACTACCTGCCTGCCTGTCTGCCATGTAAACTAGGTACTTTCATAAAAATGCCGTCCCTGTTATTTATTTTCCTTCTCCTAGTTCAAAAAGGGCTGTCACAGGTTATATCACTATCTGAAACCGCAGTACGACAACTGGTCTCAAGGGGTATGATAGAGAGAGAATATATTGACATAGGGGAAGAAAGGCTATTTACAATCAAGGTCAAGATATACCGACAAACGTATATTTCCTGCCAGTCACAGTTCCTACACCAGATGCCTAATAATGAAGTAGGACATTGCCATCACGAGTGTCTCTAGATACCACCACAGATGAACCAGTGTCTCTCGTTCCAAAATGAGACAGAGGATAGCGAGCATGGTATGCTGACACGCAGACAAGGTCCTGTGTCACAGGTCCAAAAGGCTACGTGTATTTGCCCTTTGGTAGCTAAAGGCTCATTGAGACTGATATAGGTGAGCTTTGGCTCTCATCGGATTCCTCTTCTCAGGCAACCACTTTTTCCCATCTTTACATTGAGGCTGGCCACTGCCTCTGTATCTCCCCAGCCGTCCTTGGTTCTGGAACCATTCGTGTCCCCCAAAACAAATGCCACAACCCCATACTCGTTATGCTCCTGTGGTATTACGCTCGCATAGTCGTCAAAGTACCCACCCCCCTAGCAACTTTGACCCGATGACCTTGCCAAACTTCGCGTGAGAACTGCACGGTGCCGCCCCAACAATGCCAGCACCTAGAACCGAAATAACGCCGCGTAAATATGATATAAAATGAGGGTATCTTCGTTGTTGTCGTTACGAACAAATTGCGAATTGGAAGCGTGTTGATGATTGGTTTAGGTCTTGATGTATTAAGAATTCTTGCTAAACCGTCGCATGAGCCAGCTTTTTCGTTTTCCACCGGTATCTGGGCGTTCTTGTGATTTGCTGACCACGGGTTTTGAGGGTTTTCTCAACAGAGAACCTTGCTCCTTTCGTGGTAAAGGAGGCGGCTGCTCTGCGCCATTTTTGCCTATACCAAGACCTGGCGCTTGGTAAGAAGGCGACTGACCGAAACTAATACCGTAATCGTTCATCGATTCCTGACGTTTCGGCGGTGAACGACGATCAATGGAACTGTTCTCGCTGCTAGTGGGATCAGTTTGATAGCCCACCGGTTCGCCCATGCTGCCCGTCCCCGTCCCAGACGCAACCGTCTCATACGATCGATGGTTATTCGGCATCGGATAGACATTGCGTTCGTGGCCATTCAAGTATGGTTCTGAGTGGTTTCGTGGATACTTATTTCGCGCCCCCATGCTCGGACCCCCATTATTGTATGGACCACCATCGAAGCCTTCATAGTAGCTGTCTCTCGAGCTCCCCATCATTACCGATTGCCGCTGGTCATTCATCCCACCGTCTGTTCGGTTTTGCCGTCCGTACCAGCTCTCTTGAGGTGCGCGTCCGTTGTCTGGACGAACTGTGTGAGACATATGACTCAAGCGTGGTTGGGGGCCACGATGCTGCTCACTTCCATAGTAACTACTCCTCCTATTCCAGTTGGCAAGAGACTCTGAGTCGGGCCTATAAACCGATTTACGATTGTAACCGCCATCAATGGCTGCTTCGAAGCTTCGAATCGTATCCAAAGGTCGTTCCCAGCGACTTCGGGTAGGATTTGAACGGTCGGGATCAGCTGCGACGCTGTGAGCATACAGGCAGTACTAGATTTCAGAACAAGAAAAGCAACTTACTGATTAGGTTTCCCATAAGGTCTTTGTGCTGAATAGACCTCAACGCAGGCCGGTCTGAGACGGTTTGCGCCTCCATGGCTATAAACTGATGTTAGACATTCGAATTGAACTCGAGACTGAGGGAAGATTGAGGCACAATTAATTCACTTACCAGGTTCTCTTTCGTTCAACGCCATTCTAGGATCAGCTTTACCATGTAGTCTGTGAGCCTCCTTCTCCGCTGACGTCTCTATAAGATTGGTCTTGTGGGCCTGGCCGTTGGCACTCTTTTGAGACTTGTCAGATCGGAAGCTGAATGCTCTTGATCTAGGCCGTACGCGAGATTGTTGCTGCTGCTGTGAGTTGGAGTCAGCTCTTGGAGGCGGCGGCCGTTGTTGCTGTCCCTGCTGTTGTTGTTGTTGTTGTGGTTGTGGTTGTGGTTGTTGCCGACTGCGTGTAGGTTGCTGGTACTGGGTCTGCTGTGGTGGGTAGTTTTGAGGAGCGTACTGGTAGTCCTGTTCCACCGGCGGCTGTTGCTGTTGTTGATAAGGCGGATAATACTGTTCCTGCTGGGGCGGCGGAGCAGGCAGCGGGTGATGGTTATAATTAGCGGAGGACGCCATCTTGCTCTAAGGATAGGCCAGAACTTTTGATTACAATGTCGGTTAGGATCCCTGGTAAGGACCGGGGGACACGAATAGAGAAAGTGGACCAAAGGGCGATCGCTTTTTCGATAGCCTGGGTCTATCAGAGGCCGTCCACCTCGTGGGTGACGGACCGTGGATATCGCAGACTTGTGGGTTGCTCCGTTAATTTCGTGCAGACACTGTTCCTTGTCAAAGCGGGTAGTGTTCGTTGCCGTTTGAGGGAAAGACAGATCGGGTTACACTAGGGAAGCGTTATACGTCTGGCGGAGAGACCAGGAACCGCCCGCTTTCACCTAATTGTCTAGGGAAGAACTGTAGTTCGACCGCCGTTGCGTCGTAGAAAACAGAACAAAACAGGAAGGGATGGTCTTGTCGCAGAGCTGGCGTATGCGATGCAGAAGCTGTGTTCCCCTGTATGTGCTGCTGCCGGAGCCCAAGAACTACGACAGGGAAAGAAAACAAACAACAGCGGGAACAATGGGGCGCGGATATGCCGGCGTCACTATTAGTATAAGGCAGATAGCGAACAGTTGCTCCTAGTAGGAATTACGATATCGACCGTTTGCCCGCGGTGCGGTACAACACAGCTGGCCTGTCGGGCGCGAATCGAAACCAATGGCGACGGACAGGAGCAACGATGAAGTAGCGCCAGCAATTAGTGTGTCTCTTTGTGTTGCACGATCATGAAAGAACGGAAACAAGGTGGAGGTGGGAATATGGAGATAGGTATGGAGAGCTGAGGGAGCTTGGTGTGTTCTGATGTGGCGGATCCCAAAGTCGTCAGAGTGGGCTCAGAGCCGGGGGTAGATTGAGGTCAAGAAAGCAGCCACGCCAGATTTCGACGTGGTTGGTTGCGACTTCTCGGCGGCGCGCGTTGGGCCAAGTTTATTATTAGGTAGTGTCGTACCTGTAGCGTCGTAGCGTCGTAGCGGACGTTGGTGGTGGTACTTAATGGAGTGGCTGCAGGAGCTTAACGGTGAGCTATGTACCACCCACCCTACATGTACCTACCAGCAGTACCTACATACCGAAGGTATGAATGAGAATTGGTGGCAACAGCTACATTACCTGGTATCAGAACGCGTAAAGAGGTACATTCTCCAGACATTGGTCTACACAAGATACGCAAGAGGAGTACCTACTGAAAGCAGGTGTTTAACTATACAGGCAATGTACCTAATCTGATATATAGAGTACACCTGCAACGTTATAAGTAGGGCAGAGGTAGCGTACCTACCTCAGAGCAAAGAGTTTAGGTACCTACCCACTTTGTAGGTACTTGCTTGCCTGGCGCCACGCCAAACCACCGGGACAGGAAGTGAAGTCAAAGCTCGAATCGCACCACGGACACGCAAAAACAACAGCACAAATACTTACCCAAGGTATTGTACGTGCACTTCCAAGCGACAGGTACCAGCACCTCGCTCGGCAGGTAGGTATGAATGTTGCGCAGGTTACCGTACCGTACCAGAGTACACATTGCTCGGGAGCAGGATGGCACGTCAGTGTGTACTGTATCATAGGTACTTACTAGTATGGAGTATGTAAACATTAACCATCCATCTACCTATCCATCCATCCAGTCCTGGTCAAGTTGATTCTCAAACACGAACACAGAGAACCGACAAGGTGGGCCCCTTGGCGGGAAAGTGTGGAGTGGGTTCTGGAGAGGACGTGATGATAAGACAGACGGATGCAGGCCTTAAATGTGCAGATACATTACCTACAGTACCTAGGTACCTACTACCTACTAGATGTACAAGTATTTATTTCCTATTACGCTATGGTCTGCTCGGCCGGGTCGACAGTTCCTACGCGGCGTACGTCGTTTAGTTTTCAAAATGGGGTGATGGATGGATGGATGGATGGATGGGTATCGGGGTGTCGGTGCTATTATCTTCTTCCCAAAGTACCTACCTGCCTATCCTCTACTGCAGAGCGATCGCCACCGTGACGGCTAGCTGATTATTCCAAGAGTCAAACTCTGTATGAAGTATTATATCTCGTTACTACGTCGCAAATAGAGTTAGAGGGGTATAGAGACGGTGTGTCTTCAGCTATGTCCCGGTGACGTCAGGAAGTGATGATGAAAGGGGGTGTTTCAGAATGGTCAATGGGAGATTTCCATTTGCATTCTCCATGCACGACTGGCGGAGAGAGGAGCGGAGAGAGTGCCGGCGAGGTAGTGCGGCAAAAAAGGGATTAGGCCTGTTGATCGGAAGACGTGTCGCACGCAACTTGCTTCCACACAAACCTGTCAGCCCAGAACAAAGGTGTCGCTCGCCGTCGCAAAGCTCGAGTCCATTGTACCTATTGCTGCAGTAGTGTGGTCGTGGGTTATGCGATGTAGATACGAAATACTGCACGTTAATTGCAGCTGAAGATAGGTGCTGATTTGTTACACGCCAAGGAGAAGATGCTTAAGCCCGGCTGTATTGTGTACGTTGCCGAGTGCCGAAACCAATGCTTTACTGGTACTCTGCTGGTACATACACGCATGATATTGGCGCTTATCAGACAAAATTTATGAACGAGTCCTCCTTGGGCTGTTTCTATGCAAGCGGGAAGAAAAGATAGGTACGACTAGTATGAGGCAAAAGGATTTGCATGTAGTGGAACGCAACATTAACACCTTACAAGAGCTCTCGCTTGATTAGAGCTTGCTGAAATCATGCGCATGCATGAATGATAGGACGATGATTTCCTTATGGGGTGAGGATGATGAATCTTCGGGGCGAAGCAGCTGATGTTGCAGTTAGAACCACGAACATCGAAAGAGACAAGAGACCAATGGAGGCTCGATTACCTAACCGGCACGCCACAGCCTACCTACTACTTAGTACATTGTATCCGCGTATGTTAAGGATGTAAAAACGTGAAAGATGGACCTGACTACCTAGTTATGATTCTAGTTTTCTGCTAGTTGAATCGGTATCTATGATATAAAGACTAACTAAGTCCGTGCCTTAGACACACAAAGCGAAACTACAAGCTTCTGGCCTAAGTTACTTGGTTAGGTAGCTGCAGAGCAAAGGCGGTTCATAGTTGGTTGCAGCCACGCAAGCTGGCGAATATACACGTACAGCTACCGAATGTGTAGCAAAAGCGGTGAGATTCTCTCGCTACAATAGTAAGTCGACAGTTGACATAGTTTAATCATCTCTCTTCGGCACTTAAGTTGTGGTGATTATTGACTACCTACTCTTTTCATTTCATGGTACCATACCGAGAGTAAAGGACTGCAATAGTTTGTAGACATCTGCCTTACAGTGCTTGGTAACGAAGACCGATGCAAGAAGAAGGCTCTGGTCAGAATTCTATATGCTTCACCAAGAATCCCATATCTTACTTAGTACCTAGGTATATTAACGATCGACCGATCGCGCTAGAGTCACTTACCTAAACTGGTAGGCGGGGCTAGGTTAGAGCTTTCTGAAGTAGACCCATCTGCTTATGCCTAGCGAGCCTAGCTTCGGTGGTGGGGAAACTGCAACACACCAAGAGAAAAAAAAGAATACGAGAGAGCCTGCGTTGTCTGGACTACCAGCAAGGGTGTTGATAGGATGTGCAGAATGTGGTATGGTCTCAGGTATGGTACCGGTATTGAGAGGAATTGAGAGGAAGAGTGTGCTAGAAAGCAAGGCGGCGGCGAACTTCCCAACCCCCACGTCCGGTAAAGTTACTTATCTTTTATCTCTCACCACATTTACTAGGTAGGTAGTGTCTTTGGTCGCTCGGTGTCTAAACCGCCTACATCCTGCTTACTGTGGAATCAGCTGTTATTTTCACCAGCTTTTGCAAGTTCAACTAAGGATGGTATTCTTACAAATAGGCCCAAGAAGGAATCTAGAGAAGTAGGTAAGTAGTTTGATGGTAAGTATATTGTCACATACAGTACAGGACACAATAGGTAGTCAGGGACACGACATCGTGTGGGGGAGACGCATAGATGATAGCCTTGATCTAACCATCCGGCAACTCAGGTTCGTTCACTCCCTTTGTCTAATTCACTCTTTTTCAAGCAGATACGGTAACTAGCCTCCCACGGACGCAAATTCGAGACCGAAGAAGTCCGATACACCTGCGCTGAGTAGAGACGCAGGCCAGCCGCATACGGCAACGAACGGCTTGGGTACTCGGGACGCATTCTACGTAATCTACCTAGATAGGTAGGCAGAATACTACCCAAGAAATGTTATTGGCTGGGACCCGGAAATAATACGAGCTTGGTACACCTGCAAAGAACGACACTCAAAGACGAAAGGAACCATACCGTATCGTTCGCTTTCTCTCAACAGCTCTTTATTAATTGAGAGATATCTATGTTTCAATAGAAATGCCAAGGCTCATGCGAGTCTAATCATGTCTCGACCTCCATTGAATTTTATTGAACCTTCCCACGGAAAGAAAGCCACCTCGACTCTGACCTTCAAATAATGGAATGGTAACGGTGCCCTGATCGTCCATCAACCGGTCGTGGTTCGTTTCACACGCCAAAGAAGCTTGGATGCTCGCCAACAAGGCTACTTGATACTTCAATGCCGTGCGTCCCTTTGCTTTTGCTACAGAAATTTTATTTTATTTTCCTTATCGCACATCCGGTAGCACGGCAGAGATCCGCAGCCGAACCAGCATTCCTTCGCCAACGACGCCTAGAGATGAGACGACATGCTCTATTGCGTGCACATATGCGTACCAGGTAGTATGGTCCGCTAATGGCAAAGGGGGACTTTATGAAGCAGCTACCAGCCGTCGGGAAGAGTCAAGTCTGTTGTATCTTGATTCAGATGCCAATCCTAGCACGTACAACGCCACCGAGAAGAGCCAGTGATAATGCGACCTTCATGCGGCGGAAATACCCATGAAACAAAGGGCGGGTAATCCCGATGCGAACCTGTCGGTATAATGAAGCAAACAACTTCCGAGGAACTGCTTTCATCCATTCAATCTTTATAGTATCACACAGTATAAGACAAGTCTCTACAGGAAGCGGTAAGAGGGGCGGCAAGATATGCTTACATTTTCAGTCCAATAATGACAGCGCACGCTTGCTTCATGTAAACAGGTACCTGCTACTCTCGGTGCACCTCAGCCTCTAGGTACGGTCTAGTTTAAATTCGAGTTTGAGCGCGAGGACCCTGCGTCCTGATTGACCAGGGGCACATCTTGAACAAGGCGGTTCAAACACACGTCGAGGGATAGCGTTACACTAAATTTCCATTCAGAGATTATTCGAACTTGGTGGTCTTGTTCACGCAAGCTAGCCAAGTGACCGAGAAGAACAGCAAGACACAAGGTTTTCTTACCATGCCAAACTACTCCGACGACCTTCTGGCCTGGAGGGAATAGCTATGGGTAACAACGGATTGAGCCAACCAGCCACTCTTATGCGCTCCCTGTGACAAGAGTAAAGCCCGACGACACTGTTACTGCTCATGAGTAGAGCGGCATATATGCTCGTAACCTCCGGCACTTTTGAACACACCTCCTTGAAAAGGGCACGTTGATAGGAGAGTATGTATCCTATCATAGGGACGTGTATAGGTACCGATCTAATCATTCACCCGCCGACAATACGTAGAAAATAAAGGTAGGTAGCGTACCAACACATGTATGTTATGATCGTGTTTCGAGAGAGCATTGACAAGGTTACGCTCTTCTCTCGCCAAACAAGCAATAGATAGCTAGATACGATAGAATAAACAAAATTTAGTTACTTATCCAATTTTGCATATCCATATTCTTATGCCTGCCGAGTATGATGATCTCTTTCCTAAGACGTTTGACATCAGCAGCTACACCATTCTCAACGATAACGTTTTCGTCCCGTGATGTCGGATAGGAGCTGTTTACACATACGCATATCCGCACATATAAGAAAAGACCAAAGTGCCTCATTCCCGTCGACCAGCGAGTCGATATATCCCACCTCGCTGGTCCAGTAGCCCAGTGAAACGTGGTAATTAGCATGAAGGGGGGCAAAGAGTACAGGACCTGTGAGGTTGAGTTAAGTAGTAGAGTAGAGAATACTGATCATCTCGCTCCTCATTTCGTTGAAGTAATTACTCGATCGATGTACAAGGGCTGTGGCAGCTGCTTAGTTCATTTTCGCCTTGAGCCGGGGCCAGAGGAGAACATGCAAAGTCGGAAGGAACGTCACGCCAGCCGCCCACCGCGGATACCATGTATAAGAAGGTGTGGAACAGGTTTTGAAGTAACAAAGACTGAGACCAATACCACGAGCGAGTAGTGTCAGGCACTCGACATTGATACCTTCGTCGATGTGTCCAAGTAAGTCAATGTTCACAGACCTACGTGATAACCCAGTGCACGGAAGAACACAAGTTATACACAGTAACATGATCTCGTCCCTACTACAGCCGATAATAGCGTTAGTCGCCAATATATTGGGATTCCGATGTCTGTCAGTACGCATGCTTACCACTGACTGTAAGCCGTATTAAGGTCTTCGTAGTCCGACTCCCTCATGACGCTGGTTTACGCTTCCTGATGAAATGTCAATGGAGGATCCGCTAAAAGACCAAGGGACGTTATCCAGTAGCTATCAAATAACCCTAGGAATACCAGCATGGAACAATGGGCCTAAGATTCCCAGGGAAGATCGACTTCACTGTACACTGATCTAGACGAAATAGTCTAGGTAGTCAAGACATCGGGCTTCTATAGTCCATGTAGAATAAGACCTCGGCACAGCACAGACGAAGAACTTCGATGGAACAGAATCACTGATCAACACGTGTCGGGAACATAGAGGGGTATTGTGCGATTCCAACGTAGAGAACCGATGATTGCGTGATTGGTATCGAAAGCAAGCTTAGGCTTGTATTAACTCGTATAACATCGTTTTCTTCTCATGGCGGGAGTCACTTCACCGATTGTGAAATTACCAACCCGACCAGAAATATGTACGTGACCAAGCCGTGTACAGCCACAACCAGCGTAAACCGAAGCACCATGTCACACACTCTCTCGCGATCGAGTCCATTATTGTTGTAATAATGCGTTTTCACGCGAGGGATTCGCCGGTCCATCGTTGTTGGTATTTCATTCTGATTTTGGGTGATGCCTAGTAACAAGGCTTAAGCCGGAAACCTTGCCTACCCCTTATGCAGCCAATGCCAAACCTGATGAACCGAATCATACTCCCAACTCCAGCCGGATACCTCCATCTATATCGAAGAGGGGTACAGCATAATGCGAACAGAAGCGCCGAATGAACGGGTGGGAAGAGGGGTCGAAAACTTGGCTCGGACAACGCCAGAGTTGCCTAGAAATCGTGAATGTTAGTAGAGCGCATCGTCGATATAATAATTTACATCTCCGACTGACCGTGAGGACGAGTCACTTTGCCCCTATATAATCGTTAGCATCTCACAAATGTCGAATGATTATAGATTAAAAACTCACCAGATGACTCGGATCTTGGTGCCACGGACCTCCTTCTGGCCCTTGTAGACATATGCGATACGCTTGCCAAGGTAGAAGCTTCTCAAACGTTAGACCTGGAATGAGGACAGATTCGGGTTTCCTCAAGAACATACTTGGCAGCCTTGGGGTCATCAACACCCTCAATCTTGATCAAGCTTGTGCCAGGGTGGGCTATAATCTTCATTAGCACATGCCATACGCAACTCGCTGGAAGGCAAGTCGAAGAAACGGGTAATATGCATACTGGTGTGCTTGTTCCTGACATATGAAAGGTGGCGACCCCTACAGTGTAACTGTAGTTAGCATCATGGTATCTCGCGTGGTCGTAATTGGGTATATTGCACATCGCGGTGTAGCTGATTTCGGCGATTCGAACCGTTGCGAAAGAGACTGGAGTTCTTACTTGACATATACTATGTAGATAGTCAGCACAGGATCGATCAATACAGATAGCCGCAATCCATCACATCAGGTAGGATTGGCGCAGGTATACGTCTGCTTCTCTACGCAAGGGCGAGGCATCCGGTTGGGGCAGACGACGGCAAGGAAACTCGGAAAATCTTACATCTGTGACCTGATTCAGAAGGCATCTTGACGGTGGCTATTGTGACGCTCTGGTATCCTTTGGGGAAGGGAACTGCGTGCGCTGGGGGTTAGTAGTCGTCGTGATGTCCGAACCTCGAAGGTTGACTGACCGAAGCGGATTGACGAAGGGGACCTGGTTGCGTGGGTTTAGCGAGCCCTGCGCCACTAATAATTCACACTACAGAAAAATATTCCATTGGGTTCAGTTTTTGGCAAGTTGTGTGTGAGACTACTGATAAGATAAGACAAGCCACAGGCGTGGCTGAGAGCTGCGTGGGTGGACTTCCGCTGACTTACCTAAGTAACCAGACTCTGCCAGACCAACCCTCTCTAGAACACACCCCACATGGATTGTTCGACTGGACGGTTCACCACTACCCCCAACTTTCACTAACAGCGCCTAGCCTGCTGTCAGAGCAATTATCACGGCTCATGAATTTCCTTGGTACCCCCTCGGGCGGTATCGTCATCGCTTGTAACTAGCGATTCTAGTCCCCAAGGTTCATGACGTTGGCTATCTTATCGTAACGAGCGAGTGTCTCCAAGCTAGAACCACAGGTGGGTGATCAATCAACGCAGCGTGCTCTGGAACAATGTAAATACTGGCTCACTAAGCAACCAAGTTGGTGTGTAACTGCGAGATCATCTTATCTCCGGAAGCGCCATTTAAGAGAGTACAGGGGAACAAGACCCAGCCCTCGTGGACTGATTGCACCGACAATGGGATGTTTGTAAGCTCATAACTCCGTCCCTCCCAGCGATTCATCCGCCACCGATACTCTGTTGAGTAGTATAGCTGGGGGTATAATACACATACCTACTCCGATATGGTTCGCTCGGACTCTTAGTAAGGACGTCACAACTACCTCCTAGCTATTCATGCTGCTGTGTGCCTACTACCTACTACTACATTGTATACCACATTGTAAGTAGTTGGGCCGAGGCTGGGTATTAAGCATAGCTAGGTAAAGAAGACCGTGGGAAGCCGTCACTTCTGCATGATACCTATAGTATACATGCCAGAAATTTCAAATTAGCCCCGAGGCCACTGTTCAGTCATCACTTATTTGAAAGGCGGACTGAGTACTTGGCTCTTGCAATCGGCGGTGTTTCGCTGTCAAAACCCCTGGTGCGCACGATAGAACGTGACCACAGCACATGGTTTACTCAAGGGCTTTGCATCCTTCTGGGTTTCGAGCACTACTTCGTACATACACTGCATAGTACGTGCATACGGGAACCGCATATCCCGCTCACAGCTAGTAACCGACATGTGGGATGTAGCGTATATGCGTCGAAGCCACCGAACATTAGCAACATGGCGACGTCGGGAATGTGCTGTTTGTAGTAAGTTGTCTACACTAATATAAGTATCTGGTCGGTGAATACTTAGATAGGTAGACAGATAGATGAGGCTAGACGGGGCCGCCTTTCGGCGATAAACCTCGACTCGCTCGGCGCGTGGACTGGTAGACAACTAATAATCGTCACAACGGCGCCTGACACGGAGATATCGAGAACCTGCTGGCGGGAATAGCCTGCTATTTCTACTAAGTAATGAAAATAAAAACCCGAACAAGGCAGATTGGGTAGGTAGATACTGGCGAGACTGGCGAGACTGGGTACGGTGCAGCATGCAGAGAGAAGAGAAGGCCAAGGACGAGACTGAGAGGGCGAGAGCGGGACCTGAGTAAGCTATCTCAACCCCGCTGTGGGCATCCTTTTGCTTGGGCGTTCCAATGACGTGCAAGTGCGCCGGGCTCGCAGCCTTCGTCCCCTATCGGCGACATCCAGGTTACCCACGTCCTACCGGCCGTCGCAAGCTACGAGTCTGCCATCCTTACGATCGGCTGCGCGTACCTACTTTGTAGCTCGTAGCTCAGATACCTGCCTCTCCGGAGGGTGCTAGCCTTTAGGTAATACCGAATACACCGAATACATACTGTATCCCGTTGCGCGTGTTCTCCGCGGCGCAAACACAGTGATAATAATATTAATGACCACGCTATCGATACATCCCACGGCCACGCTCCCAAGTTGCTTCTACGTAGAGGTACCCGCACAGGTACCTGAGGGGGGGGAATGTGCACCTGGTGGCCCTGTGTAAGCTCCCTGTAAGCTCCCTTGCTGCTTGCCGCTGGCTTGCTCCAGCTGTTTCTTTCCGCCCGCTCCGCTGACTCTGGATTTCTGGGATTTCTGGCCGCCTCGACCTCTCCTGCCAGTCTGGGGAGTCCCCTTATTCCACCTCTTCTCTGCAACCACCAGGACTATTTCCAACCACCTCATCTCTCATTTCCACTTACGATTCCTATCTTCCCTCTACTCCTGCTCTCTCTGTATCCCAATTTCTAGCCCGTCTCGCGAGACACAATGGACCACTCATTAGGGTAAGAATGAACCCCGCCTCTGCCCCGCCATTTCATCACCCATTGTGAAATATCTCGAGTTTCGAGTCGCCGCGAACGGCACACAACTCGATGCTGCGATAAGCTGCCACGAGCTGCGAACGATGCACCTAGATATAACGTATTAGAGGGTTGCTATGCTGACTGTTCGTGCTGTAGTTCCGTGGAGCTGAAGGACAGCACGGTCATCGTCGTCCTCGGCGCCTCCGGCGACCTTGCGAAGAAGAAGACCGTCAGTGATCATGCCCCATTCTGGCTATCTAAGAGTCTCTTGTGCTGACTTGATGAATAGTTTCCTGCGCTCTTCGGTCTTGTGAGTATACAATTTGCGCAAACCAAAATTAGAATGCAATGTAGCTAGCCAAGCTAACATTCCTCGAGTACCGCAACCAATTCCTTCCCAAGGACATCAAAATCGTCGGATATGCACGGACAAAGATGGACCATGAGGAGTACCTAAAGCGAGTCAAGTCGTACATCAAGACGCCTACAAAGGATATGGAGACACAACTGGCAGACTTCTGCAAGCTGTGCACTTACGTGTCAGGACAATACGACCAGGACGAGTCCTTCCACCAGCTCACCAAACATCTCGAGGAACTCGAAAAGGGCCAGACAGAGACTCACCGTTTGTTTTACATGGCTCTTCCTCCTAGCGTCTTCACATCTGTCTCCCAACACCTCAAGCGATGCTGCTACCCCAAAAACGGCATCGTTCGTGTGATCGTAAGTGTTTTTCTCCTTACCATGTGCCAGACAAAAGACGTAATACTCATGGGTCGCTGGAAACGTAGATTGAGAAGCCCTTTGGGAAAGATCTAGCCAGCTCTCGCGAATTACACAAGGCCCTTGCGCCCGACTGGAAAGAAGACGAGCTTTACCGTATCGACCACTATCTTGGAAAGGAGATGGTCAAGAACATCCTTGTTCTTCGCTTTGGTAACGAGTTCTTTGGTGCTACTTGGAACCGACACCACATCGACAATGTCCAGATCACCTTCAAGGAACCTTTCGGCACGGAAGGGCGAGGTGGTTATTTTGATGAGTTCGGTATTATCCGTGATGTGATGCAAAACCATTTGCTCCAGGTTCTGACGCTGCTTGCCATGGAACGCCCTATTTCCTTCTCGTCAGAGGACATTCGTGATGAGAAGGTTCGAGTGCTTCGCGGTATCCCTGCAATTGAACCCAAGAACGTCATAATTGGCCAATACGGCAAGTCTCTGGACGGCAGCAAGCCTTCATATAAAGAGGACGACACCGTTCCCAAGGACTCGCGCTGCCCAACATTTTGCGCTCTCGTTGCTTATATCAAGAACGAAAGGTGGGATGGCGTGCCCTTCATCATGAAGGCTGGCAAGGCGCTCAACGAGCAGAAGACGGAGATTCGAATTCAATTCAAGGACGTTACGAGCGGTATCTTCAAAGACATTCCCCGAAACGAGCTTGTAATGCGTATCCAGCCCAACGAAAGTGTTTACATCAAGATGAACTCCAAATTGCCAGGTCTAAGTATGCAGACGGTCGTCACAGAACTTGATCTCACATACCGCCGCCGGTTCTCGGATTTGAAGATCCCCGAGGCTTACGAGTCACTCATCCTTGATGCTTTGAAGGGTGACCACTCCAACTTCGTCCGAGATGATGAGCTGGATGCTAGCTGGAGAATATTTACACCGCTGCTGCACTACCTCGACGACAACAAGGAGATTGTCCCCATGGAGTACCCCTATGGTGAGTACCAACGAACGCGCGGCGTTGTATTATACAAGATACTGATGATTCGTTCCGGTAGGGTCTCGTGGACCGGCTGTGCTAGATGACTTCACGTCATCATATGGGTACAAGTTTAGCGATGCGGCGGGTTACCAATGGCCCACGACCTCGGCGGCGCCGCCCAACAAGTTGTAAGTCGATACAGCGTCGGTTCTGCAAACGAATGTTAGGCAGCCTTGTTTCGTCATTCTTGGTCAGGTATTAACGCGCGAGGTTATAGTTAAAAGTTCATCGTCACGTCGAGTATAAATATGGGATCTGGTCGGCAATCTAGCGTAAGGCAAAACAAAGATACCCGACTCGAGCACGTCGCAATTCAGCAAGAGCGGTTAGAAGGGCCGGTTCAAGGGTTATAGTTATGTTGGCGCTCTGTGATGATTGCAATGCTCTGCTACTCAAGGATAGAAAAAGGAATTAGGTCTTGTGAATAAATATCTACAAAATATTTGATTTATGGTAACACTGGCGGCAGCGGTTGCTATGTGGAAGGAGGAGAAATGGGAGATGGGTTGGGACGGCTGGGAGATCCTTTCAGTTGGTAGTAGGTAGTTCGGGAAATTCACGGTGCCGGGTCATTTTCGTGCCCAGGTCTAAATCACATCTTGCAGCAGCCCCAATTCGTCAAGTCCATCAATGGCCAAATTCAATGTTGCCCAGGGTCTAAGCCGAAGATCTAAATGATGTACTCTATGCACAGGTGCGTCAGGCGAGTGAGTCAACCGGTCTTTTGATGTGAGTTTTTCTTGCTCTGATATGACCGTATTTCGTATTCTTGGTCAGGTATTTCGTTTATTGGCGGGCGTAACTGGGGTCGATGCGAACTTGGATCTAAGCACGGTGCGACCGAGGGGCATGACCAACAACCAACGCATGGCGATGAATCACCACTAAGATGAAGATGTCTTCAAACTAATGTACACTATTTCTTCTCGATATAGATGATAATGATGATGATGATGATGTTGAATACGGTTCCAAAGAGAATCAATCAATCAATCAAGAGATGGGAATGGTGAAGAGATACACGCTAGCGGCATCTATACGGCGTATTCAGCTGTACTATACCCAATTTAGTAGGTATATGTACTTCGTACCTACTTATGTGTATGTAGTACTACTTAATGCACTACGTACTGTAGCAATTTAGAAGGGAGCAAATGTTGCCCATTCCTGATGGTTGATAGATACTGCCAGACATTCCTCGCTGCCCATCTTACTTACTATTACGTACCTCGAGACATCCATTTGTCCACCCTGCGTGCCCTTGCCAGAGACTATCGAAGACCCTGTAGTCAGCAATGCCTAAGTAAGACTTTGGGGCAGATTTGGGGGATTAAAGGGGGGCCACAATCCCGCCAAGCCAGAGCAAATCTGTAGCGGCTGTAGATCTCCTCCCTGGCTCATCGGCGGCCAAGACAAGGATGTCGCTGCCTACGGCTTGCCCCCGGGGTCCCGGGTTCATCAAATTTCCCGCCGCACCGTGATGGCAGTGTCAAGTTTCCAAGCTGCCAAGAGCGCAGGGCCAGATCAGACACGCTCGATTCGATTCGATTGATACGCCGTAAAATGTCTTCTATCTTCTATATTCTATCCCACTTCTTCTATACTCCTTAACTTCCATACGTGTCGATAGCGTTTTTTTTGCATTTAGTTCGGGCCATCTAAACCAACACCTGCGTGTTGTTCGTGGGAATAATAATCAGTTATTCTTTTATCTTTCGTAACACTCCCTCAACCCCTAAGACCCCAGCACAGCAAACTCGACCTACATATAGGACAAAGACGAAGGCTTTTAGGACAGCCTTACACCTAGTCTTCACTAGAGCCTTCCACTCCTATCTAAATAGGCACCCGTATATCTCAGTTTTTCTTGCTGCTTCGATGCAGAGCTCTTTCTCAATCTTGCTGTAACGTGTACTCTTTTGAAACACGTCCATATCCTTTGGCTTTAGCTCTGCTTTAGCCCCCTGCGAGCATATAGCCTTTGCAACGACACGCATGAAACAGAGTCTGCAAATCCTCGAGCTTGCCTCTGTTCTATTATGTCTAAAAAAAGCGTTTTGATTACCAAACTTGACTCTTAGATATTCGGCAAGCCTAGCTCGTTGAGCATTCAAGCTCTAACAATAAAACCGACAGGTCTGTGGGACTCCCGGCCAATTTTATCATCTCGCCATGGGGGCAGAGCTTCCAGAGACTAGCCAGTCGGTTTCAGAGGGGACTGAGAAACCAGCTGTTGTCACCCCTCCTGATCATACTACTAAAGAAGAAGAGGCCGAACAAGATGCGAAGCTACATCCCGAGCGAGAAGCGGCTTTCAAGGACTACCTCGTTAGTACTGCCCTTATATCCATTATATTGGACGTATCTGACTGTAGAATAGCGAGTCTTTAGTTATGCTCGAGGATGGGATCTCCCTCTTTTTGCTCTAGCTGCCGTGGCGGCCGCAGGAGCAGGAGTTGTATGTTGGAATCTTGCCGGCCCATCACTCCTGAGAGGTAGCTAATACTATTCTACAGACTCTCCCATTAGTTAATATTATCTTTGGTAAATGACATATCTTGAGCATATTCTATCGCATGCTGGCTAACCCACTTATAGGCAGGCTTGTCAACCAGTTCAACGGCTACTTCCTCGATCCACCAACACTTACTCGTCCTGAGTTTCAAGCTTCGCTGAATAGACAAGCGTAGGTCCAGTGCTCATTTGACCTGGTATTCGATTATTGTGCTCACTTCCGTCTAGACTATATCTCTTCGTGATTTTCTTAGCCAGATTCACCCTGGCTTACCTTAACAAGGTACAAATTTTGCTCGCTACTTGCTATGTAAATATACTTACGGAATTAGTTCGCATACCGTATGATAGGCATTCGGATGTCAGCTGCCATTAGACTTGATTACTTGCGTTCCCTATTCGGTCAAACCATTCATGTACTCGACTCTATGCCTCCGGGCGCAGCAGCGGGAACCATAACAACAACTGCAAACACTTTGCAGCTTGGTATCTCCGAGAAACTTGGTACACTCATCGAGTATACGTCTACTATTATCGCCGCCATTATCATTGCCTACACTTACAGCTGGTCCCAGGCCCTCGTTACTAGCTCCGTTATCCTATTTATTAGCTTGGTCCTAGGTGTAGTGGTGCCATTTGTTCTCAAGGGTACCGGACGGCTCACTAGAGCTGAGACAAAAGCCTCTGCCATAGCCAGCGAGGCATTCTCATCCATCAGGATGGTCACTGCTTGTGGTGCCGAGGACAGGATGGCGAAACGATTTGCTGTCTGGGTTGCTGCCGCCAAGAGACATGGACAGAAAACATCACCTTTCCTGGGTCTCCAGTTTGGTCTCATTTTCTTCTCCATTTTCGCGACATTCGGCCTTTCCTTTTGGTTCGGTACGAAATCTTTTCGTGAGGGCCGCATTGGTGATGTAGGTACTGTCACCGTTGTACTCTTTTCCGTGTTTCTACTCGTCTTCTCCTTAGAGCGAATCTCGACTCCACTTATCGCTATTGGTAAAGCCACAGTGGCCGCGTGCGAGTTCTTTATTGTTATCGACGCACCTCGGCCCATCCAGGGAGAGCTAAAAGAGCCCGACGTCTCCGCAAGTAACGATATTGTCTTCAAGGATGTCGACTTTGCCTACCCTAGTCGACCGCACGTCAAGGTCTTGGATGAGCTTAACCTCACTATTGAAGCAGGGAAGCTTACAGCCATTGTTGGTCCTTCAGGCTCAGGAAAGAGTACCATTGTTGGACTGGTAGAACGCTGGTATACCCTCCATGATCAGCACATTATCGCCAAGGCGATCGATAAACAGGCGAAGAAGGCAGAAGAAAAGAAGAAAAACAAGAAGAAGAATAAGAAGAAGTCAACGAACCCTGAAGACGAATCAGATGACGATGAACCCCAACCCGAGCCAGAGTCTACGGGCGCTGCTATTGAACTGAAGGGCTCCATATCGACTTGTGGCCATGAGCTCGACGACATGCAGCTAAAGTGGTGGCGATCTCAGATTGGCCTTGTGCAACAGGAACCTTTTCTCTTTCACGATACTGTATACAAAAACGTCGCTTATGGTCTGATTGGCTCGGGAATGGAGAATGAAACCGAGGAACGGAAAAAGGAACTGGTCAGGGAGGCTTGTAAGGAAGCATTCGCAGATGAATTCATTGATCGACTTCCCGACGGCTACGAGACTATGGTTGGAGATAACGGGATGAAACTCTCTGGAGGGCAACGCCAGCGAATCTGTATTGCTCGAGCCATCATCAAGCGACCTAAGATTCTCATTCTCGACGAAGCAACATCGGCAATCGATGTACGTGGAGAGCGTATCGTTCAGGCTGCACTAGATCGGGTCTCGCAGGGTCGAACCACCATCACTATTGCGCATCGTTTATCTACAATCAAGAAGGCCGATAGAATTGTTGTGCTGAAGAAAGGCAAGGTCGTTGAATCAGGGAACCACGAGTCCCTACTTCAGAACGACAAAGGTGTTTACTATGGACTTGTTCACGCACAACAGCTCTCGCTCGGTGAGCCCACTGATGCCAGTGACTCTGAAGAACCAGAAGAGGAAGATATTGCGGCTATTCTCACCCGAGAGAAGAGCGCTGCTGTGTCAGATATGGCAGATGAGTCAAAGCCAGAAGGCTGGAAGAATCGGGGCTTAATTGGTAGTTTCGGCAAGCTGCTATATGAGCAGCGTAGTCGATTCCCTAACTATTTTGTTATTATTGTAGCAGCTGCAGCTGCAGCATGTGAGTATTCCTCCAATTGTCTTGCTTGGAATTTAGCTAGCTAACAGCCATTAGCCAATGCACCGCTACAGGCGTGGCTATTTGCGAAAATCATTGTAGTCTTCCAGTACATCAATGACTTGCCCAAATTCACTTCAGAGTAGGTTTTTCTGTCTTACCCAGTATCCGCATAAGCCCTCTCTGATTGTAGCCTATCCCACTTCCCCCAAAGTCGCTCGATGCGAGGGAGTGTTTATCTCCTTTTGAATAAGCACTCTAGGTGGCACCTTATTTCTCGTCGTCTAACTCTTTTATGGTGCTTGCTTCATCAATTTACTAACTTATTTCCCAGGGCTAACTTCTGGTCTTTGATCTGGGTTATTCTGGGTATTGGCGTCGGCATCTCTTACTTTACTCTTACTCTCATATCTACCCGTCTAGCCTATGTAAGTCCATCCCAACGAACTATAGATATATAAGCTTACAAAAGCCTTGTAGCACGTGTCTTCGACCTATAGGCAGCAGTACTTTGAGGGTATATTGTACCAAAAGACCTCATTCTATGACGCAGAAGAGAACTCGGCCGGGACCCTCACTGCTAGGGTCGGAGGTGATCCTAAACAGTTGGAAGAGTTGCTCGGAGTAAACATGGCACTGGTGTACACGTCGTATGTAACTTTCTATTCTCCATACACGCACATCTTTATTGACCCCATATGTTTAGATTCTTCACTTTGATCGGCGCTCTTGCTATTGCTTATGCCTTTGGGTGGAAACTTGCCTTGGTGGCCACGACTGTCACTGCACCAATTGGTCTGCTTGCCGGCTATTACAGATTCAAGTATGAACTAGAGTTTGAAAAGATGAATAATGCCGTGTTCGCCGAGTCTTCGCAATTCGCTGCCGAAGCAATTGGCGCCTTCCGAACCGTCTCATCTCTTACCCTCGAGGATACGATTACTACTCGCTACGAAGGCTTGTTAATGGGCCACGTAGGAGAGGCTTTCCGAAAGGCAACCTGGAGGACTCTCATTTTCGCCTTCTCTGATAGCGTAGGTCTTGCTGTGCAGTCTTTGATCTTTTGGTACGGCGGTACTCTTTTGGCTTCGCGCGAGTACGGTATCCTGAATTTCTTCGTTTGTTACATCGCAGTTATCCAGGGAGCCGAAGGCGCTGGTCAAGGGTTCAGTTTTGGTCCGAATGCAGCGCAGGCTACGGCCGCAGCTAACCGTATCTTAAGCATCCGTGAGTCGCGCAACAGAGACAGAGACATCAACACAGCGCAGATTCCCGACGCCGAGGGTGGTGTTAAAATTGAACTGAAGGATGTGCATTTCAGGTATCCCTCCAGAAATATTTCGATCTTCAAAGGAATCAATATCACCATCGAAAAGGGGCAATTTGCTGCACTTGTGGGCGCCTCCGGTTGTGGAAAGACGAGCATTATCTCCCTGCTAGAGCGTTTTTACGAAGTTCCCCGTGGCCAGATTCTCGCTAATGGAACCGATATCTCCACGTTGGATGTCTTTGAATACCGTAAGAAACTGTCACTCGTGGCGCAAGAGCCGACTCTGTTTCAAGGGACATTGCGCGAGAATATTCTTCTCGGTGTGAACCCTGATTTGATTTCGGAGGAGCAGTTACATGCCGTGTGTCGCGATGCCAGTATCCATGACTTCATCATCTCGTTACCTGATGGCTACAATACCGAAATCGGCAGTCGTGGTGTATCGTTGTCCGGCGGCCAGAAACAGCGTATCGCCATTGCGCGTGCACTCATCCGGCAACCTAGCATCTTATTGCTTGATGAGGCCACCAGCTCTTTAGACTCGGAGAGTGAGAAACTAGTGCAGGCAGCCTTTGAACGCGCCGCATATGGCCGGACTATGGTCGTCGTCGCTCACCGTCTTGCCACCGTGCAGAATGCCGATGTCATTTTCGTCCTCGGCGAAGGAAAAGTGCTTGAGCAAGGTTCACATGTCGAGCTCCTGAAGAAGAGGGGCGTCTACTGGAATATGTGCCAGAGTCAAGCTCTGGACAGGTGATGCGCGCCTTAATGTATCAATCAAATCCAACTCATTCTTCAACATTTTCCCAGAGCAGCGGCAGTCTGAGCAGTCCCCTTCTTAGGGAGAAGACACCGTGCTCTAGATTTTCGAAATACTTGTATATAATCGTCAAATCCCCAATTGATCATAGAACTGGGAACGCTCAGCTTAACTCAATCTTTCGGGGAAAGAATACAACATAGCAATTGTACAATAATACCGTAGAAGCTTTCAATTCTTAACGCTGAGTTATCAAGTTATATTACTCTGCATTGTTTATCATATTGAAGGAGCATGCCATGTGCGCACACAAGGTGTAAAATGTAACGAGAGGTGAGATCTCTGCACTTGAGAATTGTACAAGAATAGTTGTTGATTTGTATTCCTGGTCAATGTGTTCCGCTCTCCTACCGTTTCGGACTTTCAGATATCTAGGGCGGAGGTATGCAAATCGAAACAGCGTTCCAATTCCATCAATGAGAAGGGCCAGTACGATCGATCATATTCAGCAAAACGTTCAGCCCTTGCTGTCTCCGTTAAAACTCAGCTGAGCAAGCTTTTGAGCTGCGTCCTGAGTTTTATGGATATAAATGTGCACGGGAAACGCATTCTCAGCTGCTACTCCGCCGAAGTAGCCTTCTTCTCCCTCTCCGATCGGAATCTCCACGCCGGTGGATGAGATCCTGGATAGATATTTTGGGCTTTTGGATACGCTGTATAAGGATAGGTTGAGGAATTTTGTCTTGTTCACCATTCCGCGTAAGTCGTCATCTCCCCTTCCTGCCTCCCCTCCCCTCCTCTTCATTTTCTCCTTAGATATCATTACAATTTTATTAGCAAAATCATCACTAGTAGGTCCTCATTAGTTCACTTTATGGTAGCATTCGATCGTGCACCCGCCTTCATTTACGAAAGCGCGGATAGAGTGGCGTCTCTGCGGTCGGATATCAAGACGTACAACGCAGCCTTGTCGACGCGTCTGGCGACGTTCAAGTCAGCGCACGGCGACGCTGTTCGATACCACGCCGACTTTTGAGACGGCGATTCATAATCCCACGGCTTATGGCGCCGCCGATAACACCTGCATTAGCGGCGACGGGACGAGTTGTCTGTGGGCTGACTCGTACCACCCTGGGCTTGCTATATGAACTCCTTGCTGAGGCGCTCGTCAAGGCTGTGGATTTCTTCTAGGTTGGAAATTACCAGGCTACTTGATAGGATGGCTTGGTCCCAGAAGCGTTAGAAGTTCCCCGTGTCTCATTATTGCTATTTCATCTAAACCACTAGGTATGTATAAAATGCTGTTTATATAGTATATATATAATATTATATCGATACATATTACCTACCTACCTACCTTTGCAACGCTTGCCTCTCTTGAGACGTTGTTCCAAGCTGCTTATCCCTTCCCTCTCCCTTTTCTTCTTGTTGTATAAACCAAAGTCTCAACAATAATAATACCAACACATCCAACAATAATGGGAAAGGTATAGAGCTGAGCAACACTAGAAAAAGGGAAACTTTATTAACAAAAGTTCTGCTTCCCTTCACCTAGGTAAAGGGATCTCTCACGTAACTCTCCTTCAAGGTAATTTTCACATGGATCTGAGTGAAGGCAAATAACAAGGGGAAAGACTCACATTCACAAGAACATTACAACAACACTCTTGATCTGATTAACCACAACTTCACTTTGAACGGGATTTCCTTCACAACAAAGCTCTGTAAATCTGGTCCTGGTGAATGTATCTTCGTACCCAGTTGTACCCAATTGTCGCTCCTGCCGTGCCTGACAATATCCAATATCCAACTTGACAGACCCATTCTAGGATTAGCGTTCTTTTTTAGCGTCCAGGGTAGCTGTCACGTAGCGCCATTGCAGCACCATTTTAGCGTCATGGAGGGTGATGATAACGACGATAAGGCGATAAGACAAGTCCTAGTGCCCGAGACGATAACGAGAATGATAGAATGACGGCACCTTCCTCACCTCTCACTGACTGACTGCCTGGCTGGCAGGTGGAGTGAAGTTGCTCGTCGGCTCGGCCTCGACAAGTCATCACGAGATAGATCACCACCAACTTCCTGTCCTCACATGTCCTTGTCCTCAACCATCCCCAGCCTGCAACACATTCCCTCAAATTTCAATACAACTACCTAGTTATATACTTTTCCTGTGCCCCCAGGGGTTGCAAAGTAAGTTAAGATACCCTGCCTTATCGCGCCTGTTTATCTTCCGCTTCTAGATCCCAGCAAGTTCGCATGAGCCCCTTCAGACATCCCACATTGTGCGCCTGGTAATAGGCTGGGCAAGGCTGACTCTCCCCCCTTTTCCAGTACACATTCAACCACAAGCATAGTTACCGCAAATAGTCTTAGTTGCAGCGATCGGGTTATCTACTTCGCGATCGAGTGCTGTTGAAACACACCTCCCACACTATCCGCCCTCCGATGACCGGTGCCACGATCCTCGAGTCCGCATGGTCCATGTTTCGACATGTCTGACTTACCTGAGAACCACGGTCAGGGGCAGCCTTCTCCGCAGAACGCCACAGCATCTTCTAGTCACGGTCCAGGAGAGCCCGGCGGCCCTAGCGGTGCCCGTCGAAATGTCACGGTGAATAGAACTCGCAGTGCCATCATCGATGACAATCATAGTGAGGCCTCTACCAGCAATGAAACAGAGGGAGCTGGCAGTTCCGTTCCTTTCCAGCCTGTGTATGGAACCAATGGCAACAATAACACCGATAACACTGACACTGAGGGCACGGAGACAGACACTAAGGATCTCCGTTTCCCACTCCCTGCAACCCGTCATGAAAACACTCCTGAGCCCAACATCCCTCAACAGCTACAAGCTTATCTAGATACTGGCGCTGGCGTCGATGGTGCCCCTACTCCAAATCACATGGGCTCGAATAGTGACGGAGCAAATGGTGATGAGGAGCAGGCCCCGTCCAGCACACCTTCAACTCCTGAGCAACAAGACCTTGGGGAGCAACCTGACAACGCTGCAGCTACACAAGGCAACACAAATAACCAGCCAGATGTGGTCGACAATAATGAGGGTGATGAGAATGATGAGAATGAAGAGGGCTCCAACAGCACAAGTACTTCCACTGACTCCCCTCATTCACACAGACCTCCCGGTCCTGGTCCTCCGCCCCCACCAAGCCAGGGAGGCTCCGCTGGTCAAGCTAGTGGCACAGGAAATAGAGATAATGAACCCTCTAATCAAACTTCAAGCACAAGCTCAAACCCAAGTTCTCAAACCACCACTCAAGGGCAAAGCCGTGCCAGTGGTAGCAGTTCCCATCATCAACAGGCGGGTCATGATGCCTTGTCTTCTGCCCGAACATCTAATTGGGGCGTTGAGGCCACTACATCAATCTCGGAGGACAATGATGATAATGCTCACACCCATTCTCAAGAAGTAGGCCAACTTGAACGTCAGCTCCCAGTGCGAGTACCATTGGCGGGGGGAGTGTCATCGTCGCCTATGAATCCAATGACACCAAACATTGTGCAGAGACAAGAGCAGCCAGCCATACCTCAGGAATTTACATTACCTAGATGGCAACCAGACTCAGAGGTAAACGAGTGTCCCATCTGCGGTGTGCAATTCAGCATGTTTTATAGGAGACATCATTGCAGGTAAGTTGCCCGCATTTGTTGGAGGATTCCAGTGTTGTTCCTGATTAATAATTGTTTTGTGGTAGAAAATGTGGAAGAGTAGTCTGTGACAGATGCTCGCCTCATCGCATCACCATTCCTCACCAGTACATCGTCCGACCACCTGGCGACTTAGGACCAGCTCCACAACGCTTAGTCCCTGGAGTTGAAGGCAGCATAGCAGACTTCGGCGTCATTGGAGGAGGAGAGCGAGTTCGACTGTGCAACCCCTGTGTTCCTGATCCAAACACAACACCCCCTCAACCTCATCGGTCCTCTCAGTCCACTGTCACGGATGGACGATCGTCGCGCACCAGGCTCTCCAGCAACTCAGTAAGCCATTACAATGCTGGTCCAAGACCACATCCACGCCATGTACCCCAGAACTACAATCATGGCCGAACCAGAAGTGCAACTACAGTCAGTCCAACTAAAGAAGAACTTAACACCCAAACCAGTATTGTTAACGTACTTTCTTATAGAGTACCGGGCAAGGTCCAGCATACTTTGCCTTTGCCCCTTATTCATCTTCTTCCGGTCAATACCCTAATCCTACTTACTTCCCTCAACATCCTCTGTCTCAGCGACATGTCTCGGGTAGTAGGCTTCAGTATGCTCCTCCAACAGGACACTCTGGTAGGGATCATGGCGACTGGTTCTCGGCCTCAGGCTCGGGTCTAAACCGACCTCTGCCTAGAACACCAACGCCGGAACGGGAAGTCCCTGAGGAAGATATCTGCCCTGTGTGTCACAAGGAGCTACCATCCAGAACCCTCGCTAACTTTGAAATTCTACGAGAAACTCACATCAATAACTGTATTTCTTCCCATAGTAATTACGGAGGCAACCGTGCTGTGCCTACCATAGGACCCGGAAATCATGGAACACCTCCGCCACGAACCACTCGAAGAACTAGGATATTCCCATACATTGCGACAGAAAAGGACTGTGTCAATGATGCGGAATGTACAATCTGCCTTGAGGAGTTCCAGGTTGGTGATGAAATGGCACGTTTGGAGTGTTTCTGCCGCTTCCACCGCTCGTGCATCGATTCATGGTTTGTGGGACATCCAGGTCGTTGTCCTATCCATCAACATGATAGCTTCGGTTATTGACGAAGCTAGTCACCAAATTTTCTTTACAACCTCATGATACCCACGGATCAGCATGATATGTCCTGGCTTTTGGGGACCTGTTATTTGCATCAAAAGCATTTGATATTTTCGCGGCCGTTCGCCTTTCCTCTCAGTCTTTGGGCAAGCTTCCTGTCTCGGTTGTAGATACTCGTCTCCCCTCCATTTGAAGGGCCTGTTTGTTTGTTTTTCTTTTACCCGATCTTTTTCCAAGCAGCAGGTCGGAGACTGCCACAAGTCACCCGGCACAAGATCAAGTCTCTTTGTTTTTGTTTTTTTTACAACAACGGAAAGGTCACTTGGGCGTTGGCGTTTGGGTTATTATACAAGCTTCTAGGTTGCCGTTGCATTGGCATGCTTTCTTGCATCTACTATTGGCACACTTCTTGCATCCACACTTTGCATTCTGGTATTCAGATCTGTTTGTTTTTGGCATGGCACGGTGTTGAGGTGTCAATCAAAGTTTGACAACCAGAGTCACACATGTGTCTTCAGGCTTGTTGTAGTATAAATTGCTTTTTTCCTCATAGCTACAGGACAGATTCAGTTACTCCCCTAAGAGTATACTTGTATGCAGATATGCAAATCAGAATCAGAATTATACCAAGTCACTCATGTTGAGCTTACTGCACCGCTCCTTGTGATGTGTGTGAATGTTGTCGGTATGCTGATATGCAACTGAAAGTATATTAATTGACACAACATACCACATAGTTAATGACAGAAGAGCACCCCCACGCCTTCTGGAGGATTGGCTTGGATGTGATATATATAGATGGGTGCGTTAAATCGCATGAGGAAGGTGGCAGGACATGAATAAATGTATGGTCTGTATGTGCATAGTACATGCATGCTTAAAGTATTTTGGTTCTGGGTCCGGTTCATACTTGTCATAGGAGGCACAGACTGTAGATATATCGACATAAGGCATATATGTATGTGTATGTATATGTGGTGTTATCGCAGAATGTAAAATGACTACTAACTGCACTTAACTATTCTTATTTTTCTTGGTTAACAGGGATTACGTACTGGCCTACTTGTTGACCTATTGGCTGGATGGATAGCTTGGTTACGCATCTGGAAAATGATAATTTATATGTTTTGAATATTTTCGTTCGTATATTTGCCCTGGCGTGCTTTGTTACCTTGCCTACATGCGGAATGTGTGAGTGAGGGAATAGGTTCAGGGGATGAGGAGACGGGGAGGTGCAATGAGAGGATAACTTATCTGATTTGGTCTGAGCAGTTCGTGTTGGGATGGAGGCGTGATAGGCTTGGTGAATTGGGGAGGGAAGTATGGAGGGAAGAAAGAAGATGGGAGAATGAATACTTTACTCCTTTTCTCTTGGAGTTTTGTTCTATTTTGTTGTCTTTTGATGGGAGAGCAGGTTAAGAGGGCGGTTTTTGCTTTTTCTTATCTCTTCTTTTCTTCTGCTTTGCTTCCTATTCCATCTCTTTTAGGGGGTTGCTATCTCTCTCTTACCCTCTCTCTATATATGTATATTTGTATGTGTATTATCCTCCATGTAAGTCTTTCTGACGTTCTTCCTCTTCCTATTCTGCGTGTGCGACCTAGCATGTGGAATGTAAATGTATTTTGTTATTGTTTCTCTTCTTCTCCTCTGTCTTTCTTTAGGGGAGATATTACATCAATATGATACACGGCACAACGAAACTCACTTGCCTATCTATCCCAAGCCGAGTAGATACAACGGAAATAAGTTCTGACTACCGTATGATTTACTGCATTTCTGTCTACCCATCCACACACACACATAGACGCACATGACATACATGCATACATTTACACCTACATAGCCCCAGCAGATATGCGTCGCCGATATCCAAATTCTAGGTACGAGAAGGCGGTGAAGGGGGACTTTTAGTACTAGCTACTAGCTACATCACACATCTATGGGATTTGACGATGGGCTTGGGAACGTGGGGGGTCAAGTCGACTTTCCTACATACCCCCGTTGTCCTATGGAATTGTCTACTTAGCCCGGCTGATCTGCAGTTGAACTTGTAAATTGGCTTTCACGAGGCCCCTGATTGGCTATGCGTCTATATTTAAATGTGCCTACCTGCTTGCTTACACTGCTTACTTCGCCTCAGATAGGCTACGTGTTTAGACTTCTCCCCCGTGCAGATGCTTAGCTCACATATTGAGTACCAAGATGCAACATTTTGCGGGGAGGGGGGAAAGCCGGGCGGATAGCGAGGGAGAAAATGTGGCATGGTCCTGTATGTAGTGTTGTGCATGTGTGCGGGCTTGGTTGCATTTGCTTGGTTGCCTGCTTGGTACCCTATTAGACAATGTTAGGAGAGAGACTCAGTCCGTGGCCGACGGAATCTCTAGGGACATCTGCGAGATTCCTGGAGTCTCTGACTGAATGGGGAGACATATACATGTTAGCCCCTCTGTCTTGTCAGTCAGTGCCTACCCGTGTCTGTACGGAAAGCTGGCTGTGTGAAGTACGTCGATGGAAATGCATACAATGAAACTACATCTTCCCAAGCGCTCTACTTTACTCTCTATCTGTTGAATACTATCCCGATAGGTGTTTGCTACGCGGTCTAATGACGATCAACGGCAAAAGAATATCCGTATTACGAGTCACTAGTAGCAAACAACGGCGGCTGGATACCTACATCATTGTTGTTTTGTGTTAGGTAACAACTTCTTGTTTGCCGTCGGTAGATGTCGGGTAGCCATGTGAGAAAAGAGGTTTGATACACTAAAAGTAGAATAGGAGGAAGTTAGTGTCAATAGATTTACATGCCTTTGAGGGATCGTCAGAGTTGAGACGGAACAGAATAGTGAGTTGCCAGAGAGGAATACAATACCTGCGAGTACGAAGGGGGCATGGGACATAATCTATCACTTTGGCAAGTGATGTCATATGCATCTCATATTGTACTACCCGTGCAGGGTTTGTCTGAACCAGGGGTCAGAAAATCCCGCCTGTCTGCCTTTGCTTCTGCTGTGCTCCTATGCTGTGGTTAAGGGCAACTAACCATGTATGTATCTATGTAAGTGGATTTATGTTGTAGAGGGACAGGCATATGTATGCGTTACGCTAAAGGACAGGCGTGATGTGCGCTTATGCTAGACATTTCCGTCCTTGTTTAATGTGTAAGTAAAGCCCACATCAACCAGTCAAGTCAGCCGGACCCCCAGTCCCAGTTCCGGGATTGTGACCATGTTGTGCTCCGTCGATCTGTATAGAGTAGGTGGTCGTGCAGATCGGCTCGGCTGCCTTCAGCCGTGCTGTTCGTAAGTGGAGGGGGGGGGTCAAAGTGAAGCAAGTGGTGCGACACCAGTGCTTCTCTAGGAACTCCATCATGTACGATTTTGGTAGTGTGCTAATTGCTTGACTTACACAATTGCAGTGTACATCACACAACACTAAGGTAGGTATGGGGATGCGAGCTAGCTACGGTGAGGCTCTGCTGCTGGAGAACGATCTCAATAAGACAACATGGTGATATTCGATCATGGAAATGCTGTTGAAACATTGTACGACACCCGGGCTTAATTGCCAGCCCCTCTTAAGCAGATCCCGAATATGTTGATCTTTGATGTAATACTTTCATTGGTGACTGTTATGTTTGTTGCTCGTACGATTATGACTATGTCGAACGGCTCACAGCCTCTTGACTACGTCACTCTCATGATGAGCAACGTTTGTTTCATGTTTGGTTCTGACAGATCCTTATGTAGATTCCCTGACTTGATTAGCGGATTGATCAGCTTTGACGAGGAGGAAGTCCCTGAGAACATGGCTTCATAACTGTACATGTGTTCACTGGATACTTTGTATGTAGGTACTCGATATTTTCACGTCACATTAACCATGACTCGTAGCAGAGCTCGTAGTGTCTACTAGAGATGACTTTGAGGCTGTATGTGTTTCGAATAGGGCCGATCTACAATTCTATTTTACACATCATTGGCTTTCCAGGCCGTTAACTGTCGCTACGCGGCCTATGTCCAGGCCGTGATCGAGACTCAATAACAAGTTACTCTGAACATCTTGGCTGGGATCTATTGACAATAAGCGGTTACAGGAGCCTAGAGAGAGAGAGAGCACCGGTTCTTATAACTGCTGTTAAACCGTACGAGGTGTTCTCGATAATAGGCAATACCGCACGACGACTTCATTCCTTGAAGACGCCTATAAGCTAACCTCTATAATATCACCAACTCAATCATATTCAAATGTAGTCATAAGCGCCAGTACTAGTAGTAACTATAACTGGCAGATATCAGACACATCCGTCAGCCCATCTGGTCTTCAAGCACTTAATCTGTCGTGTGCAACGCTAACAGTAGATGGCTGTGCTTATAACCATGATGAGCGCCATGTTACCCCGTAAGTGTGACGGCTCTGTCTATCAAATGCTGGTCCATGCGCTAAGCCATACAGAACTCATATATTCAACGACGATATTTCATGTGCGCGGAGTAACATGTATACTCAACTCCTTCGAGATATCTGCTATATGGTGGCCGTGCTATTCTCACAAGACATATTATTCATCAGGAAAGTGCAGGGGAGAAGTTGATAAGGATCGCGAATTGGTGAATTACATTTCGCTGCGCCGCCGTTCTTCAAATGACACAATCTTTGATAGAAGAATTGGGTTTCAGCCTGCTCGTTATGTTCAAGGTATATCTTTAATTTACTGAGATGAGACTGCTTAAACTCTCGAGATACTAGAGTGCTATGAAAGACGTCTGTTATGTATATGAAGCAGGTGATGGGCTATCCAGGAAGTTCAATCTTCGCGCGCAAAGATCGAGGGAAGCCTTATGGTTCTGCATGAAACTATTTCAGAAGATTGTTTTTCCGTTGTAGAATGCGACCTCTATCCACAACAGGTCGCAACGATGAATGACGAAGAATTCTTATTCGTAGCCAGTGTCATCACGAGAATTTTAGCTTCACCTTAGACACTAACGCCTGAGTAAAAGTTCGTATCGACATCACGGACATTTAGTTCATACTAATCAATACCACATATAATTCATGTTAGTATATTGCCAAGTCGGTATAATGATCCTCAAATACTCAATACGGTAGGTTCCGACCCCGCTGGAAGGCTCTGGAAAACTCGTGACTAGATTATCATATCGTGTAAAGCCTCAGAACAGACCATGGCTAATACTCATTCAGCTTGAGGCGACTCGAGACGACGTCAGTCGGGTGACTACCGAACACCGAGCCTGCACGTGCTATGTTGTTTCGCCACAATGTGCATATCAAAGTGCGTTACTGTGGTATCGTATGTTGCCTTGTGAAGGATGATACCAGTGCACCGGATGGCTATCCCAATACTCATCTTACATAATACACCGCTTTCTTGTTGAGAAAGAGGCGAAGGGATGTTGCCTGTAACCAAAGCAAAATCAATCTCAAAGAAGATAGATACTACCTACTCTGTACCTACTTACATAATGATAAGATACGATGTGTAGTCGCGATGAAAGGGTGTGATACGGTAAGTAGTTGCTCAGTTAAAGGTGGGCGAAAGAATAGTACTAGGTATGTAGATAGAACACTGTAGCGGTTCGGACCAACTAGACCTATTTAGCCATGCATAGTAAA